TTCGTTTTTTAAAAGCCCTTAAAGGTGCTTTTTTCATTGGGTGTTTTTAAAAAGTGCTTAATTTTCCCTTTCTCAAATTGAGATTTTTTTCTTTCCTATGTTGATGTTGATTTTCGCTTCGAATTATGCAAAAAGACGCAGTTTACATTGTTCTATTCAAATTTTTCACAATTAATTCAACCCCAATCTATTTTGGCGTATTGTCAGTCTTTCCAACTCTGCCTAATTATGAAATTTTTTTTAAACTGCTTAAAAATATTTTTTGAGTACTTAAAGAGTGCTTAATATGTGCTTATTTTTTCTTGGATAATTTGGCTACGCACCTTGTTAAAGTTTCGGCAAACAGCTTTAAAATTGTCAAGATTGGGGTAGTGGAAGCGGATAAAGTCATTTATCAAATTTGGTGAAGCTTCTCTGAAAATTCGCTTTCTTACTTGGCATCAAAATCATGTTAATTGTATCGAATTATGTTTTGTTTCGTAAGTAATAATTTGCGTAAATAGTTTATTAACTGACTAAGCTCTCTGAATGTGAAGATATAATTTTATTTTTATTTCGTTCACAAAATCTTCTAAGCTTCTACTAGACTTAATAATAACTTCTTAGCAAGAAAACTAATCTTTTATTGTAAAAATTTACTGTTATTATTACAATTTTAGACACTTTTAAACAGTTCCAGAAACATTCTGAAATACACAAATTTCAATAACCGTTAACACGTTGAATGCCATGGGGATCACCGGTGACCGGTGAAGCCAAGTTTATTACAAACACTTAATTCGAGTAAATTTTGAATTTTTTTATATTATTATTGTTACTAAATCGGTTTGAAGAAATTAATGCAGTATAGAACACACAAAAATAGTTTTATTTATATACACAGAGATTCCAACTCGCTCCAAAGAGCGAATAAATATTTTCAAGTGGTTGTTTATTAGTTGTGATTCTTGGTTTAATAAATTCAATTTAGTAGATTTTCATCCACCACTATTTCTAAACAATTCGTAGGCTTATAAAATTGACCACTTTTTTCAGATATGTCATGCTAAACCTTTTAAAAAAACTAGCAAAATCGGTCTAATATTTGCAGATTTAGTTTGTAGTTATTTACTGTTTGGCCAGACGGGCAAGCCATGTAAAATTACCTTGGCATTCAACGTGTTAAGGAGCCCAAAGTTTCATCCTCTTTCGCGCCTTAACTATTGAGATCATATTATTCAGCTGCATTGATACTACTCCCGCTCCCACATTTTGATGGTGAGAATGCATGTTTCTTCGGAGATCATACATTTTTGTGACTGATTTCGTAAATGCAGGGATTAATCATGTGCATAGAATTAAATCGGTAAAAGGCATTTTGTAAAGCAAAGGGTATAGATTTACTGAAAGGCATTTGTGAAATAACCTTTAAATGATCAAGAACTGCTAACTGGATGGTAATACACTCAGAAAATATCGAAACCTATTTTGCTAGCATATCATATCTGGATATTGTTCCTGCCGAAGCTATAATTAGTTATTAACAATTAACTAAAAAAAAGTTTAGTTAAAAGTTTCATTGTTAACGATGATACTAAAGTTGTTCAAATTCTATATACATAAAATTTGAGTTAAAATAGTAATAGTTATTGTGCAGCTGTAGTGCGGCGTAAATAAACTACAACAAAACAGTCATGTATCAATTCTCCTAAGTAACACATTCTATATTCTTTCAGAAAGATTCTTTCTCAAAAATTTCAATTCTTTCACTCTATATTTCTTACTTAACACAACGATAGGCACGAAGCCATGTAGAATATAAACAAACTAATCATGCATCGAAGTTGTCAGGTGCACAAAACAAAAATGTATCACTGCAATAAAATGCATATACAAATGATAATCAAAGTTAAATAAAAGGTGTAGAAAAGGAAGAGGAAAAATTATATTTCAACAAGTTTGATGCGCGTTACGGCTTTGTTTTTAATTTTACTTCACTTTAATTAACATTCTAACTTTAGTGGAGAAACTTAGCTTAACTTTTAACTCGCCAATTTGCTTATCAACGATCAGCTGGCTCTGACGTCATAGGTCACATGTGTGGGTATCCGTGATCTTTTTGAAGTGTAAGTACCCAATTAAAATGCACCTTTTGATGGTTTAATGAAAAATTTTGCAGCAATCCCTAACTTTAAGAACACGTTTATCATGCTGATTTTTCTTCCGTATGCTTCGAATCTCATGAAGGTAAACTCCCCAACATAATTCTAAAAATGTCCGTTTCATTCTTTTTGTGTCCCCCAAAAAAATAAGAAAATGGAAAAACGAGATATAAGTAGGCATTGTTCTAAGCAGGACATTCGCCCTCTCACACTTCTTGTTCCTGTTTCTGAAGAAAGAAAAAGTTAGTAGCGAAGTGTGCCTTTTTTTTTGTCTTCGCTCTTTGCTGATTTGTTCCATTTACTTTTCATAATGAAATGGAAAACGTTTTACTTACTTTTTTCTTTTTGTGTTTCAATTGTGTGCCACTAAAAATGTGTAATTGCTGTCATAACTTTCTGCCTTTATGTGAAGCGTTTAGTAAGTGTCCGTTCTCTCTTTTTAAAAACCTTTTTCCATAAATAGGTGCACTTGATAAATTTTGCGCGTTTGGAAGAAGAAAAGGAATGTGACGCATGATGAGTTTAATAATTTAGAAATACAGAAACAAATCTATTATGTTTGAATAGTGTAACTTTTGTATTATTGGTCAATATTTTTCTGTGATGTGTTAAATCGGCACTTTGGTTTAGCACCATTTGTACTGCTTTATATTATTCATTTCTTTTTTATTCTTTTTTATTTTAAAAAATATGGAAACGAATCTGATGCCTTTGAACAGTTTAACTTTCAACTTCAAATCATTGCTCAATATTTTCAATTTTATTTCTGCAAATTATTGTTTAAGTTAGTAAGGAATCGCTTCTTGATTTTTGCGATGTTTGCATCTTTCACCGTGTTTCCTTAATAATAGTTAAATAAAATTGATTTTACTGAAATGTTCTTTCTTTTTTTTTTCGACTGAAATATTTGACTTTATCTTTTATGCTTTAAATCTTTATTTTCCAAATTATTTAAAAATTGTTTAAGATGCACGACACTTTTTTGTTCTATTAAATATGTCTATTTTTTACTTTGACAAATATTTTTTATTCTAATTTTGCATAAAATTTTTTAATTTGGGCACCACATTATAAAATTTTAATTTTAAACATTTAATGCTTTGTTTCACTACTAGTTTAAAATCTTAATAGATCAATAAAAAATTTTGAAAACTTTCTTGCAAATTTAATCGTAATAGAAAGCTTAGAATTGGGGAGCTAGGAATCATAAAATGGCGTCCTCGAACTAAATATCATCATAGGTGATATTTAATTTCAAATAATCATGTGTTGTCGACTAGTAATGATAAACGGAAAGTCATATTGCAGGGACAGACAAGCTCCGATGGGATATTTTGCTCCGTTACTATGTGTAAGTAATATTAGTGAGATTTAAAATTTCCTTCGGTGCATAAAGGGTTAATTTGGGGGTAGTTAACATGTTGAATGTCACGGGGGCCACCGGTGACCGACGAAGTCAAGGTTATTAGAAACACATAATTCGAGTAAATTTCTAATTTTTTTATATTATTATCGTTACTAAAATGGTTTGAAGCAATTAATGCAATATAGAACACACAAAAATAGTTTTATTTATATGCTCAGAGATGCCAACTTGCTCCGGACAGCGAATAAATATTTTCAAGTGGGAGTTTATTAATTGTGATTCTTGATTTAATAAATTCAATTTAGTAGATTTTTATCCACCACTGTTTCTAAACAATTCGTAGGCTTATATAATTCACCACTTTTTTCAGATATGTCATGCTAAACCTTTTGAAAACTAGCAAAATCTGTCTAATATTTGCAAATTTAGTTTGTCGTTATTTACCGTTTGGCCTGACGGGCAAGCCATGTTAAAATTAGCGTGGCATTCAAAAATGGCGCATGCACTTTAGAAGTAATGGATTTTTTTCAGATTTCAATTAAGTGCTAAAATTAAAACAAACGTCGATATTTAGTGTATTTTTTGAGTTCTACTACAAGCTATTTTTGAAAACAAACATGTCTATTTAAATATTCTTCTTATTTGGATCGCTGAACGTTAAAATAGTATTTAAAATACGGAAAACCTTGGAATATAAACGTATATTTACTTTCAACCACTATTATAAATTTATAGAACCCCTGGCGACTTTTTTAAAAAAAACTATATACCTGTAAAATCTGTTAATGAAAAATAAAATAAAAATATTATTAAACTAAAGTACGAAGTAATTTGCACAAAAGTATGACGTTACTTATTTATTTGGATTGGTTAATAATACTTAAAAGAAAGAAGAAAAAAAAGCAATATTTAAACGAGTAGTTTGAAAAACAGAATCAAATGTAATGTCCGTTTTCTTAAATAGGGATAGGTCCGTACACTGGTACAAAATTTATGGTCCAATTGTCTGGACTCATTAGTTATTTCTTCTTTCTGTATATCTTTAATTTCAATATTTTTTTCTAGAACAGTCTTATTATATCGTTTTTAAACTTATCGTCCAAAACTGGGTTCTAATTGAGGCTTTTTTTACTTTAACATGCTCAAAATTGAGTTGAGCAGATAATTTATAATTTAGTTCGCGATTAAAAATAATTTGCGTACTTGAAACGATGCGAAACAGAAAAAAGTTAGTATATTTGTTGTATGGTGCAAGCCCGCCGCCTGAAAAAAAATTAAAGACAAAAAACACGTAATTAATTTTAATTTTTAATGGCGATTACTATTTTTCCGCATAATATATTATTTCTATAAATTATAGTTTAAATCATTGGGATATGTTTTTCACTTTATGAAATTTCATTTTATTTTTCAATGTTTTTCATTAATTATTATTCTTATTGGAATGAATATTTTTAGAGTCATTATTTGAATTATTGCTTTTTCTCTTGCAGACTTCTAAAGATGGATCTCAAAGATTAACAAGCTCCTGTCCTGCTTTGTATATGACATCGGGTAAGCTAACTGTGTGCATCTTTTCTTGTGGTTTTGTGTTTGATCTAATCGTGTATATGAGTTGACCAAATGAAAAATGGACAAGTGCAGGCCAACTATTACGCTTTCTTCAAAGTATTTTATCGAGTGATAGACATTTAAAGGCAAAACTTTCAGAATTTTTGGTTTTTGCCAACATTTTATATGTCTTACAGATAAAGTTTTGGAACAAAATAGCGTTGCATATGAACTTTTATATCATTTATACATAGTAGTGTGGAAGATAATTTCAAATGAATAAAAAATAATACAATTAAACATAAATATCTCTACCACTAGAATAAAAAGCGTGAGAAGTTTGCTGCCCTGCAATTGTGACAGCGTTAGAAATACAGTAATAATAGCAGTGTCACCGTTCATGGTTATAAAGGAGTACCGCAAATTGCCTGTTACTGATTAACCAGTTCAGATAAGAGCATTTTAAGCGAAAGTACAGTATTTCTTTTATTTTATTAATTTTTTTATGAGAGAATTGAACCGTTCTTTTTCTCACACTATTGCATCGATGTACAGAGTTGATATCTGTACACTTCAATTTTATTTTATAACTTGCGTTGCAATTCTGAGTTTACAACTATCAATTTTCAACACCATTTGCAATTTTGAACACATCCCCAATTATATTATTATTATTATTTTGATAAGAAAACTCTTAACTGTATCAAGCATTGGGACAAACTGGCCTTCAGGGAGTGTTCTTTTTGATGGAACAAACCCACATTTGCGTTTCATAGAGAGAAAAACCTCCCACGGTTTGCCTGACGGCAAGAGGATTTTTACCAATGATCCGTCGACTACAGAAAAAATTTTACGTCAGCCCTACAGTGCGGTGTACGCTTCGAATTTATTTTATTGCCGTCGTTGAACAGTCGACCCAATTTTTGGGTTTGCGACTACTAATGTCCAATTCAGTAGCATTGTAATTTTAAACCCAATCCAGAAGACAAGGAAACTCAATGATCAAGTATTGGGAGAAATTTGCCTTTGTATAGGACTTTTTGATAGAACTAACCCGCATTTGCGTTACATGGAAAAGGAAACCACGTAAACCTCCCACGGTTAGCCTGGCTGTAAGGGGACTCTAATCCATGATTCATCTTCCACTGAGGGTATTTTACGTCAATACTGTGGTCGGTGCAAGCCGGATGCGGAATTCGTATCGACCAGCCATCGCTAGGATTCGAACCCGGTTCACCTCATTGGCAGGCGAATGTACACTTCGATTGTCATTAATTATTTTATCAACAACAGCGATGGATTAGTTGAAACTCATGTTAGTTGGTTTTCCTGGGGGTTAGTATGATGTACACCATTCTCCAAAACGTTAACGCCATTTTTTGATAGCTGTTAGTCCTCGACAGTGCAAACAACCATTATTCGACTAAAAATATCCATATTACTCTCACCATTTGCCAATAAAAATCGTACTGATCGTTATTATCTATTGGACGGATACATCTTAGTCTACTTAACATTCACTTTAAATGTTCTCATGTGAACTGGTTAAACAGTTGTACGCAGCATTCGGTGCACTCCTCATACCTTAATTTATAATCTTAAGAGTAGCGCTATAGCATTTCTTGAGCTAGGCAATCCTTATATCTTCCTTAACTGAGATTAAAACCTCTTAGCTCCGTAAGAGCCTTGTGCCTGTACAATCTTAGAATTTCTTAGTGTTTTTCTCCTTCGTTTATTATAAAATTTTGATATTATTTTAAAACACAATACCTTTTTAAAGGATTAGCGGCCAAGTCCATAAATTGGGGAGAAATAAGAGGAGTTTAGGTTTTTCCTGAAAAAAATTTTATTGAATTTACTCTCTTTATTTATGTAACTTTACTCTGTACCTCCTGTTACTGTAAAATTTTATAAATGCTTTATGTACTTTCATTAAAAAAGAAGAAAAACGAAAATTTAACTGTTAAATCCTTTAGTCGGAAATTATGAAAGAAAATTTAAGCTTTCTAACTAAACAATTTATCTAAAGTAATCGATAGAATTATATGGTATCTTATCTCTTAATCTCATAGTGCTTCCTCTTTAGTATAGCACTTCAAAAAATATTGTTGAGTAAATATGAAGAATTTTTGGCAATATAACGTTAACCCAAGTGTCATCCAAAAAAGTAATTTTTCATATTTTTTTGAGACAAAAAAATCATAAGTTTGCGAAGTTTCGAATATAACATCAGAGTGCATAAAAACATCCTATTACTAACATGGAATTCGTGGGTATTTTTCTTAAAAATTCTCCTGGACAATTTGAATTTGTGACTTCCCATTTTATTGCCCCAATGCCGTCATAAAATGGTTACTGTTAGTTTACTACCCAAAATTAAATACAAATGCGTACGAAATTAAATAATTGTTCAGCTTTCTTTTGCATCAAGGTCTCGATTAAGAAAGAGACGAATATATATTCGTATTTCTTACGAGACAATAAAACAGTTCATTAATTACAACCATTCTATATATTTCTTCACTGTCTTAAATTTTATGATGCTCATTAATTTTAAGAAACGATCAAACATTATTTGAGAAGTTATATATTTTTTTGTTTTTATTTAAAGGAGACGGCTCCAGCGTATCTTTGGATGGAGCTGCCATCACGATGCGGAACATCCAACAGAGGAGGACATCCTTATCTTCCAATTCTTTTGATTCTGCTTTTATCGAACCATTTAATGTCAAGATTCATGTCAATGATCTGACTCCTGCCCCATCTCAAGAGTGCCTCAATCTCTGCTCTCCTCCCAGCGAAAGCGACTGCTCGTTCACAGGAAAGTCGTTGTATGAGGATACAAATGTTTCTAAAAAGTCTAACATTGGTGGTACAACCTCGAAAAGACTCGCTAAGCGGTCCAGCAAGAAAACACCTACACGACGACAAAGTTGGTCTTCCTTAGGTGCTGGAGGAACAAATTATGCTGACGATAAACATCTCTTGCAACGGAGGTATGCAGAATCGCTTGGAATTTCTTTTGGGTATTATATTTTGCAAAATCACAATCATTGCAAATGGATTTGCAATTGGCGTACTAAAGAATTCTATGTATTCAAATAGATTAGTTATTGGTTTGGTTGCAACGTTGCATCAGAGCAACACTAATGGGCTATAGGAACGGTTTGGGATTGATCGTTAATGATGATATAATGCCAATACTAGCGCATGCCCATACTGCACTACTACCGTATTAAGGCTGCATTTCGGAGGCTCAGTCGTATTATGAAATGATGCTTATTCGCGAATAATATGCTATTTTTATAACTGCTGTAAGTATGCAACTGTTACTCATGACTGTTAGATGCAAAGCCAACGCTGTATTTTGAAAATGCCGCAAAACGTCAATATAGAGAAAAGCCACAATTTTATGAAAATGAAAAGCGTTTGTAGTCTAATTTTTTTAACATTTAAAAACTTATTCCAATGCTGCACTACCTGGGCTTATAAAAATTTGCAAAAACTTAGAATATTGCAGTGATTTTGATAATTTTCATCTAGGTTGAAAAAAGTCGTCAAATTGGCGATTTAGTTGAACTTTTAAAATATTTAAGTTATTTGTCTGTTCTAAAGCCCAGATAATTCTTCACGGTAAGATTATGTATATAGTTTAAAATCATCGCATTGCTTCAAGTGGCAACTGTGGCTTTTTCCCCCCTTGGCGACAGAGCTTCGAAAAACAGCGTTAATTAATAGGGCAGGTAGTGGTAGTAATCACCCAGGCATTCCTCAACAGCCCAACCATGTATGGACGTTTCCGATTCTGAAATCAACGGAAGCAATATATTAAAGTGGACTCCGAACCACTGAGATACAATCAAAGAAAAGTGCAGTCGAAAAGTCGAATAGAACCCTGACCCTAACTGTGTTACTTGAAGACCACTCTGTCTGGAGAGCTACCTGGATTTGGCTTTGGTATATTATAGAATTGTATGCATTCACTATATGCGAGATCTCATGAAAGTAAATATATCACGTAGCTATAATGGTAGGCAGTCAATATAAAGTTGAATTACTAATCGCGTATGCATACACAATACTCAAGATGTTATAAAAGTAACATTGCTACAACTTGAAAATGAAAATCAGTTGAACCCACCATGCGAGTTGGTCTTGGTAAGTCACAATCATACCGCAACTAGTGTCAAAACGGTCCGGTTCACGTGGTAATATTTTAAGAGGGTGCTATACCGTGGGAGAAACTTTTCATTGCGAATTCTTTTTTACCTATATAGGTAACATGGTGCGTAGCTTTTTAAAAAGTGCTTAAAGGTGCTTATTTTCGATTTTTTTAAATTTAAAAGTCCTTAAAGGTGCTTTTATCATTGGGTGTTTTTAAAAAGTGCTTTATTTTCCCTTTTCAAAAATTAGATTTTTTTCGATTTTCGCCTCGTATTTCGCAAAAGCGTTCTTTTCACATTGTTCTATTCAACGTTTTCACAATTCATTTCACCATAGCGTATGAAAGCGCCAATCATTTTACACGTTTGATGAAATACTTGCGAGACCCGCATGTACGTACGTCTACTGAGTTGGGTTCGGTGAGATTTCTTGAAACTCTGCTGCATTTTGCAAGATATTCTCAATTTCAGACTTCATTTTCCACCCTCTGTTATTGAACCTAAAAATCTCGATCTTTTTAGCTTGTCTAATATAATCAAGAAAAGAACTATTTGTCAGAAACTAGTTATTTCATCATGATCATGTAAAGTCTTTGAAAACTATTTTGAATTTTGTTCATGTATATAGTGCATAAAAATATTTTTTGAGTGCTTAAAAGGTACTTATTTTTTGTTGAGAGATTTGGCTACGCACCTTGGGTAATGTAAAGAAGGAAAAAAAATGAGTTCAGGTAAACTGAGAGTAAACCATGAACTTTCAAATTCTGAAAAAATGTTTTTAAAATATCAAAATATAAACAAATTATTGCAGGATTACGCAGTGGGGAAGTTATCATATAGTAATTTGTTTGCGTTTTGATATTTTAAAAACGTTTTTTTCAGCATTTGAAAGTTCATGGTTTACTCTCGGCTTACCTGAACTCACCTTTGCTACACTTTAAATTACTTACATAGGTGAAGGAAAATTTGCCATGAATTTTTTTTACACGGCATAGCGTTGTTTTTAAGAAGGACCCTTTTAATGACTACTCCTTTTTGCTTTTTCATGTTTATACGTAAAATGGTGTGAGTACTATTAGGGGATTATAATTAAATATATTTTCAATCAAAAATAATAGGATTTAACAAAACTTTTTTCGTATTTATGTCTAAAAATTATGTACAGGATTCGAAACGAGACCTGTGGAATTAACTTAACAAACTAGTTATTAACTGTAAACAGTAGGTCAATACAGGCAGATGCACCGTACTACTCTATCTTAATTTTTTTTTTTTATTCTTTCTTTTCATTTTAATGGAATAAATTTTAAAAATATTTCGTGGGAATAGGTGTAAAGCTCTATTTTGCTCACGCCTAACTTTTTCTCTAAATAAGATTTTTTTTTTTTTTTTTTTTTTTTTTTTTTTTTTTTTTTTTTTTTTAGTTTGGAGAATTAGTAAATTAAATTCATATAAGCTTTCATCAAATTCAAATGTTTGCTTAGCAGACAATATATGACGATTTTTAAAATAATTGTTGAACTTTTTAACTTTTGATGTTAAAAAGTATTTAATTTAGCATCCGTTTGTTTTTTGATAATGATTCCCAAATTCATTTACTTAGTATTATAAGTGATTCCAAGCATTAATTTTTTTGTTAAAACCATTATAAAAATCGAAATACAAACTTAAGTTAGTGCTGCACTATTGACTTAAATAATAATTAGATTTTTTTTCTAGTTTCATTTGGGTTCACGTTTCATTTGCTACATTGCATTCATTTGCTACATTACACATTTGATAAGAAATATCTCATCTAAAAATCATGAATTTTATTTTGCTGGGTTTGTGCACATGTTTCGAAAATGTTTGTGCAAGAATTTTATAGCAGCGTTTCTCCAAAATAAGATATAAATAAAATTCCCCGTTGTATTGGATATTGAACTCAATTGAATCTTATTGGTAATGTTTGAATTTTATTGGTAATAAGGCTTTTATTTGCGTACTGTTGTCCATCCAAATTGCCCCATAAGTTTTCTGTCGGATTAGGATCAAGACTACCGTTTGCCAGCTTAATATTTTGATTTTTTTCATTTTAAAAAATTGTTCGCAGTGTTGAAATTAAATAAATTTTTTCCACTTTTTTATTTACTTGATAAAGTAAAACTTATTTCAGTCGCTGCACTATTTTAATATTATTGATTTTATGCAGTGTTTCATAAAAATGAGTGATATTTGGTTCGGTTTTATAATTTTGTTACACACAATTATAGGAAGGAGTCTTAACAAATCGTCAAATGGTTTTGATAAAAATAATAAAAATAAATAAAAGAATTTAAGAACTAAGGATAAGTTACTTGTATAAATAAAAATGTGTTCAGTCAGTTCCTCATCAAATCAAAGTTTTAATTCAATTACAGTGAAAACTGTTAAGTTAACCAAATCTGTAAGTTGATTACCTGTCAAATTTGAAAATAATTATCAAATATCAAACTCTTAAAACCAATTTAATTTACCCATTATAAGTTAAAAATTTAATTATTCTATTTGATCAACTCAATAAGTGATCAACTTACGCTATGATCAATTTACACTGCAATAGGAAGGCGTCTTACCAAATCCTAAGGAGGTTGTATAACCATGAAATGTTATTAATACATGCTTAAGAAATTATGAATTTTTGTTTTTGTCTTATCGTTAAATTACTGCGGTAAAAAGGCAATTTATTTTAATAATTTAGCCAGCACTGTTTGTTAATTTATCAGTGTGTATACATGAATAGCATTTTTACACAATAAAAAAGCACTTTTTTATTCAATTTAGAGAAATATTAATATTTTATCTAGGCATTTAAAGTTAGAGCACAATTTTAAGATTCGATTTATTAATTATAAAATGTAAAAAAAAATTTTTGCGATAGAATCGCCTATTCTTTCAATAGCTTCAAATTTATTGTAAAAAAAAATTTTTTTTTTTAATTATTTATTACTTTTTTTGTCTAAGGAAGTAGGATAAGGAAGACCCTTCCAAATAGAGTTAGTTGCCTGTCTGCTGCTCGATTTTTTTTAATAGAATCTCATGCTCTCTACTCCTCGGCCTGTCAACCTTACTTATTTTGTTTGTTTTGTTATATAAAAAAAAGTGTCCAGATAATGGATTGTTCCTGAAAACGTCCCCCATTATTATTATAAGATACGGCCCTGAAGTGTTTGCCATCTTTAAGATACTCTTCAGCTGGCATCTTTCGTTTTCTATTTACCTCTTATCAAAAAAGAATATGTCAGTATATTCTCCTTCAAAATATTATAACGAAAACAAAATGTTAGCTTAAAGGCAAACACCCCTATAAAATTTTCAAGGAATTTGTATTATTCTTTATATAGTACAGAATTATTCTAAGTATTCGATTGTATCTTACTGTTCGAAAATTTTTCGAGTGCATTTAAATTTAAAAAGAAAATAACTAAAAATCGCTAATAATTTATTTAGGCATTTAATTACAATTGAGTAAACAAGTTTTATTATTGTTGACAAAAAAAGAATCATTTTATGTAAATAATTCAAAAGATGTGGAGAAAGACTAAAAAATTAGCATATTTTAGGAAAATAGAAGCGTATTGAAAGACAAAGGCTTTAAAAAGTAAGACATATTTTAAGGAAATCGAGGCATATTGAAAGATAAAGGCTCTAAAAAATCGTTTACGTTATACGAACGCTAAAGGCATAACTCCTGTTTTTTTTTTTTTTTTTTCCCCTTCCTTCCTGTAAATGGATGTAATAACCCTCTCAAATTAAAAATGCATTATTATTATTTTTTTCTTCTAAAGGACGTTTTTCGTAATCGCGGGCTGGATAACATTCTCAGTGATTTACGTAATGCCATTGATGAAAGCGTTTACAGCATCTATATATTTTTTTCTTTTTTGCATATTTCGCCATATCTTTGAAACTATTTACGCGTATCGAAAAAATTTCGTATAGAATTATAAACCTTAATTTATTTACCTTAATTGGAATCAGTTCCCGAAAAGGAACTATATCTTTAATATATTTATATTATTTTTATTGTAGAATTAACTTTTTAGATTATTTCTAATATGCATTTTTTTTTTAAATATATAATTTAATCCAAGCAAAAAAAAGCGGCTATAAAATTCAAAGGATCTATCGATATCATTAGGTTTGAAGAAAAAAAGTGAAAGTGACTATAAAGAAAGTGACTACTAAATTATTAGAGTCTACTAGCCACTGGCTACTAACTGAAAAGTTAAATTTTCAAGTCTAGTTGTGATTCTCTCCACTTTAAAGGAGTGAATATTTATTTTTTTAGCATTTTTGTATTATTTATTAAATATCATGCAAAATTTGTTCAGTTTATTTGAATTGTTTGAATTAAATTAGTTAAACTGTGTTTGAGGAGTATTTAGTTATTTTTTATTAACTGATACATTGTTTACTATTTGAAGGTGGAGTCTCAGCAGTTTAGACTCAGAAACTGAAGATGCATTTTGCAAATCAAATACAACTGCAAGTTTCAGGTCTAAGAAGTATTCCACAAAAAATATTAACCTCTCACAGATATCTAGGGAAAAGAAGCAACATTTTTCTGGTAAGTAATCTGAAAAGTATGTTAATATTTTTTCAAACTGAAATTACTTTGCAAAAATATAATTTTTTTTACCGAAAAGCAAACCCATTAAACAGTTTGAAAGGAGCAATCTAAAATTATATTTATCAAAGAAAATTTTTGATCAACAAACCTATCTAAAAATGATCAAATCATCTTTAGATATGAGTTTTTTTTCTCTCAAGTTTTCTTGCATTTATTTCATTGTAGCTTCTATGATTTTTCTCTTCATTTACTGAAGACAAATCTGAATACTTTAATCTGCATTTTTATATTCATTTTTATTTTGTTCCTGTAATATATAGGAAATTACTTATAAAACTCAACATTGAACTGCTTTAAAAAAATTTAAAAAAAAAATTCATTCTGAATTATTGTTTTTCTCTTTAACATTCCCTATTCATAAAAACAGCATAAAGTGTCCTAATCGCAATGGACTAATTTTTTTGAGCACATTTTCTTTCAAACATAGGACATTAGCAAAGTTAGCCTTCAGTATGTTAATATTACAAGCATAATTTACTGGAAAAAAATTTTTAAATCATTTATATGTTTGTTAAAGTTCTGTAACCATGTTCCACCTCGCTAAAATGTACTGGAACATTGCACCGGCACAATCCAGTCCCACTGCACCCCAGCATATCATGATCTTTATATCTAGTAATATGTGTAGCTGCTACCCATACTCTTATATTAGTCCTATAGGTGTGTATACTTACCATTATTTGTGTATTTAATGATATTTTTTTAAAAATAGAATTTTCTGTATTTCATCAATTATCCATATTTAGAATTTAAGTGCATGTTAACAGGTTCTAAACTTGATTCTCAAACGACAATGATGGCTATCGAATTTTTCTCCTTTTACACTGTTTTTGAAGCAGTGTTTAAAAAAAAAATAATAAAAAAATTCCATGAAAACAAATAGTTTCTTTTTTTTACTCAAAAAATTGCTTCTACTATTGGCAGAAATGTAGTTTTTCTGTTTATAGTGTTTAAATATAGTTAATAGGATAATATGTGTTTCTTTAGACATTGATAACTTTTGTTACCTAAGTTTTTCTATTAAAAACTTAGAACTTGAATCTATAAAAGCAACTAAACTGAAATTCTATTTATTTTCTTTAGTGATGATAATATTTTTACTGTTAAATATTCTATAAATAATATCTGTAATTGATAATTTGGAAGAAAAAAAGAAAATACACATACTTTTTGTGAAGGATTTTGTTTTTGTGAACTTGAAAATAATCTATTCGCAATTTTCTTTAATTGGAAAAAGTAGTGTGATTATTAGCGTGTTAGTAATAGGGTTTCTTTAGCTAGGGCCCTATTTTTGTGAATCATATGTAAAAATAAGACTCTGTTTATGTGAAAAAAACACAAAAATTAAGTCTTTTAACAATTTTAGTATTGTTAGAAGACTAAAATTGTAAATTAAAAGCGTCATTGACTATGTTTTTGAAAAAATAAGTTTTGTAAAAGGTTCATTTTTCTGTTAAAATATTTTGTGAAGAATCCGCTTTTAAGATAAGCAATTTTTTGAAGGGTCCATTTAATGATAAAAAAGACTCACATTAAATGACTAGATGGTTAGGTGAGTTATACTCTGTTCGAAACTTTTTTTGTATTACTTATTTTATTTTTAAATGGTTTTTTTTTTAACACTATATGTATCATAATTCAAAAGCTATATATATATACTGTACTAAAACGAAAATTTTTCTTAAGGATAACATAGCAAATGTTGCATCAAAAGACTTCCTTTTTTTAATGATCAATATTTTAACTGAAGTAATAAATTAATTTTAGAGTATTTGAAGGTATTGTTTTTATTTAATTTTTTTATTTTCCATTTACTCTTTTTTTTCTTTCTAAAGAATTCAAATTTTATAGATCATAAATATGTTTTGATATTATTAAAAAAAATTTGTTTCTCTTGTTATGATAAGAATTTTAAAATAAATTGCTGATAAAAAATTAATTTATATTATTTTCATTTCAGATGGTAGCTGTGAAGAATCAATATTATCTAAGTCATCTAAACAGTCTTCTAGTTTCCCAAGTATGGGAGTTACAACAACTGAAGCTGACGAGGTTATAAATCTTTATTATTTTTTTATGTATATTATTATTTATTTTATGTAATGTTGTGTATTTTATGTGATAGTGTTTCAGATAAACATAAGATTTATATTAAGCAGTATTATTTTTATTTATTTATTAAAATTTGTTATTTCAAATAAGAACTATGCGTAATCCAGATGGCATATTTATTTTAAAAAGATTTTATGTATATCATGAACACAGTGCTAAATTGGCTGGCTTCTCCATTATATATTATCCAATTCAGTATCATATTTTGATTCTTCCCGCTTTTTATCGTAAACACGTTCCAACTAGTGAGTAAGCCCCTAGTTCATAGAAAAAAGATTGCTTGTTTTATGAGCTCACTTTAAAGTATTGTTATAAGAGGTAGTTGGTATTTTCAAGTTTAAAAATTTAAATTATGCATGATTTTGGAATGTACGTCTTAAAGAATGTTCTGTAGTCCTCACATTTACTGTGCACATTTAGAATCATTGTTAAAAAGGTATAATTCATAAAGGGTCTCAAATTAATATTTAAGCTTTAAAAAAAAAACACTCAAATTTTTTTTAATCAAAATTACTTTTAAAATTACTTGTTTGATGGGAACTAGGTATTTTCTCTTAGTTGCTATATCCCTCTTCTCTGGAATTAAAGCAAAATATGATATTTTTTAACTCTTCTTCAGTAATGTTTCTAATGATTTTTTTTTCTTTTTATTATTATTATTTTATTTTTATTTTTTTGTGTAAACATTTATTTTTGTGGTCCTTAATATATATATTTCTTCACTTCATTTTTTACAAGAAAACTAAAACTATGTATTAAGGGTGATGATTAAAGAAAAGTCTATATATGTTCGATAATCCATAACCTTAATTGGTATTTTTAGAATTTTTATCATAAATGAATTTATAAAACCTTGCATAATATGGGATTATTAACATTTTATGGATGAAAAGAGAAGGTGATTAACTTTCATCCAGCATTTTAACTGGTTTCTATTGATTTTAAAATCACTTTTACTGTGTATAACTTTGATGATTGTTTGAAAATGTTAAAAACTTACATTCTCGATATACTGTGACTTCACAAGAATATTTCTTTATTTATGATCCAAGGAATTCTTATACTTTATTATTTATCTAAAAATTATTATGTATGCCAAATTTTAGTACAGAAAACATAATTTTTAGACATATTTTATCTAAATTTTCTCTTTTTAATTTGTTAGAAGGTAGAGCCCCAGAAGACCTACAGTGCTGGTAGCTTGAGTTCCTCTGCTCTGCAATTCCTGGACACGTTTAAGAACCAACCATTGCAAAAATCTTTGTCCACTCCTACTATAACAGTTGAAGACGAAATAATTAATAAAGGTGAGAGCTTTTTTTTTTTTATTCTGCTTTTCTCTGACTTTTTTTGTAAGCCACTAAATGTAATATTTCTTTTCTATCATTTTTTAGCCAAAGAAGAAAATACACTTTGTAATAGGCAAAGGTAAGCTATAAACTTTTCTTATAAAGTGATCCCTATTTTTTTAGAGAAAAAACTATTTCATGAACTTATTTTATTTTCTAATCGTCATTGAACAGCCGACCCAATACTCGGTTTACAACTACTAATGTTCAACTCCGTAGCCTTGTAATTTTAAACCCAATACAGAAGACAAGGAAACTCAATGATCAAGTATTGGGAGAAATTTGCCTTTGTATAGGACTTTTTGATAGAACTAACCCGCATTTGCGTTACATGGAGAGGAAGACCACGAGAACTTCCCACAGTTAGCCTGATGGCAAAGGGACTCTAACTCATGATCCGTCTACCACTGAGGATATTTCACATCAGCACCTGGTCGGTGCAAGCCGAATGCGGATTCGTATTGACCAGCCATTGTTCGGGTTCACCTCATTGGAAGGCAAGCGCTCAATCCCCTGAGCCACCGCAGTTCTGTATCATGATCTTGTCTTATTAGTAATTGCATTTTAACCAATTCAGCATTTGTCCTTTTTAAAAAAAATTATTACTAAGGCTGGACTATGACTAAAGCCGGATATACTCTGTTTCAAACTAGCTCTGCATAGTTTATGGGTAAAGAAATCTCTGGTCATGGTGATTTTGCTCTAGATTATGTGACCGGGTACACTCCCTTCTTTACAGCTGATAATTTTTCTGTATTTTGTGTCATTTTCTGCACAGAGTCTCAAATCTCCTACATTTTACTACAATATGCATTAAAACTGTGTAGCTTCTTAGAACTACTACACATAGGTCAATAAGGATAGGTTCTCGTGCCTTTCTCAGACAATGACATCTTGAATTTTTGCTGTGCTACAGTCTGATCATTGTTTTAATATTGAAAAACGTTCAATAATTATTGAAAAATATTCACCCAGTATCCTAAAGAACAAATAAATCATACCGAAAGTCTTGCAGTCCTTCATGACGTCATAGCTGCTCAGAATAATGTAAATCAAGGCATTCGTATCATCAGGCGGAAGTTATAAACGCCTCTTATTGTACTGCCATCTGCTGAGTATAGAGAGAACCTCTGTCAGGAATAAGGCGAATAAGATGATAAGCATCTGACAGTACAAAAAAATTTATCATATTTTTAATTCTATTAGGGATAAGAGTTAATTGTTTTAAAACACTGCATTTCACTTGGATGAACATTATATTCTCATAACTGTACTTTTGATTCTTTGAATAGGGAATAAAAATTTTAAGTGTGTTAATTCTGCATATTAAGTAATTTTTTTTCCTTCAATTTTTAGTGAATCTTCTGCATTTAAAAAAAATGGGGGTTTTCGGGGTTTTCATAATACTGAATCAGTTAAGCTCATTCCTTATTTTATTTATTTTCAGCTAAATTTATTTCGGTTACAAAGAAACATATTTCTAATAGTTAGATTCTTTCATGTAAAAACCATAAGTTTATGTTATAGAAATTTATTATATTGTTATTAAAATTTCTTAGCCCTCTGCACATTCTGATTCTTTTATGTAAAAACCATAAATTTATATTATAGAAACTTATTATATTGTTATTAAAATTTCTTAGCCCTCTGCACATTCTGATTCTTTTATGTAAAAACTATAATTTATATTATAAAAACTTATTATATTGTTATTAAAATTTCTTAGCCCTCTGCACATTCTGATTCTTTTATGTAAAAACCATAAATTTATGTTATAGAAACTTATTATATTGTTATTAAAATTTCTTAGCACTCTGCACATTCTGATTCTTTTATATAAAAACCATAAATTTATATTATAGAAACTTATTATATTATTATTAAAATTACTTAGCACTCTGCACACTCTTAACCTTTTTCTTTAAATGAAAATATCTGTTTGAAATTTCATCTTGAATTTTTTTTTCTTATTATTTTATTACATGCACATTTATATTATTTTTAGTTTAAGCACAATGCACCCTTTACCTCTTCACGACCTTAGCCCTCAGATGCACGACTCTCTAGAATGTGATGAAAATATGGCCGAAATTCAGCAATTATCTTTAACTTCATTAATTAGAGAGTAAGTTTAGCTGTTAACTTTGAAATGTGAAATGTATTTAATATCTTTGATCAGACTTGTTCATGATATTGTATTCACCTTGTAAATATTTCTTTCTTTTTCCTAGTGTCCAAATGCAAACTGCTGCTGGTGATAGCGATGAAGAAAAAGTTTTTGTAAAGAGAAAGAAACGGTCAAGCATATTTTTTAAGAAAAAGCCTGTAAGTTTGTGTCATGCGTTTTTTTTAAAAAATATCTCTATTTTTAAGGTTATTATTCATGTGATGATTATTAGTTTTCAAGTGATTAAGTAGTACATATCTATCTATATATATATTTTAATAACAGTTAATTTACGAGTGAAGATTTTATGATTAATATAAATAGCAGCTTAAATTTTTTTTAAAATAATATAGAAATGGCAAAATAATAATAGTTTAGTGATTTATTTTTACTGTGACTTTTTTATTAAAGATGCTTTTTTATTTATAAGTAGTTGCTCAAAATATTTTAAAAATTATATAGCGCTAGCAAAATAATGATTGTTGTCTAGAGATTTTTCTTACTGTGAATTTTCAAGTAAAGATACTTTTTATTACTATAAACAGCTGGTCAAAATATTTTAAAAATAATATAGCACTATCAGAATATTAATCCTTGCATCTAATGATTTTTTTACTTAGAATTTTAAAACCAAGATGCTTTTTAATTATCTAAGTCTAGTAACTCAAAGTAAATAAAATAAAAATTATATATAGATAAAGATAGCTAGACAATCTCCGAACGAGGCCTCTAAAATGAAGAAAATTCCTGAGCTCTCAAGTGTAAAGAGGTATAATACAGTGCAATAAATAAGCTTGTACACTAATACATATTGAAGATACCCTGAAAAAACATGTTAGATTGATTCTTATCATAACATTCTGTTGCTGCAAATTATATTTTCTTTTGCCCTTTTTTTTTATTTTTAATATTAAACATAGTTGTCAAACTCTTTTTGCCCTTTTTTTTGTTTTGTTAGTAATATTTTATTGTGATTTTAATGTTTTTATTTTTCAGGACAAAAATAAAATTAAAGAAGGAAAGAAAGCTCCCCACCAATACATTATATGTTCTGGCTCATTGGGTGTCTGTGATGTTTGTCAAAAACCATTTAACAAAAAGACAGCTTTGAAGTGTGAAAGTAAGTTTTCTTGTGCTACATATATAATATATTGAAGTATTTATTATTTCTGGCAAAATTGTATTTATTAGATGTATTTATTTATCATTTTTAGCTTGGAGCAAAATAATAATAAGCCGCATTTTAAAACTGTTCTAGAGAGTGTATTTATTTCGTGAAGAGAACTGTGGACAATGAGATTTCCTGTGAATTATAATTTTATTTAGTGGAAATTCCGCAAAATTTTGAAGTATTCATCAGAAAATAATACTGTGGAACAAGTTGAGAAAAAAAGCAAGGCTATATTGCTTCAAGTCTTACATACTTAATATTTCTTTTTGTTGGCCATAAGTGTAACACTATTGTAACATTAGTAATTGAATCTTTTTTTTTACACTTTTAACAGGAATGAAAATTAATAAATTAAGTATTTAATTTTTCTTGCTATTTTCATTGCAGATTGTCTAGTTGTGGTTCATGATAGTTCTTGTAAAGATCAGGTCATTGACTGTAATAAATTCAAGCTGCAGCGAGTAAGGGTTTTTGTTAAATCTTCTCATTTAAAATTTGAACATTATTTTTTTTTAAAAAATTGGCTAAAATTCTTTTTTGTTTTCAGTCTCAATCCAAGTCAAATTATGTATCATTAGGAAAAGAAATGAATTCAGCTGGAATCAATGGTAGTTCTTGTAAGTAATTATTATGGGTAAAACAATCCTATATAACTTTTATGTATATATAACAATCATATATATCATCATAATCATTATATCATATATAACCATCTCTTATAACTTTTAATTTTTTAGTAAGCTTTCTGTGAAAATAACATATTTTATAATTTAGTAATTTTTTATTAATATGTGTATTAGTTATAGCTTATTTGTGTACTTATTTTATTAGTATTGTGTGTGCAAATATATTTTCTGTGCATGCCTTTTCTCCCAATCTATATGTAAATGATGTTTGTTGAGCTTTTTAAAAATGAACCCAAATATTCTGATTGGTTTCATTGGAGTAACTGCTAGTGCAATATTTTTATTTGTTAATTAATAATCAAGAATGCTGTTGCTTTTACTTTAAAAAAAAATTCTGATAAAAAAATCAAAGTAAATATGTAATATTGTGATAATTAAAATAGTGTCAGTTGGTCATATGATTATGTCCCTAAATGTGAGTTACTACTATCAGGCGTAATTTATCCTCTCTTTCTTTATACTATTATTTCAAAATGGTCATTTTGTGGGAGGGTTCTCTTACTTCTTTTTCTGTAGTATAAATTAATATTTTCCCTTGGTAATTGGTTTCATTCATGAGGGTGCGCAACCTTTTATGGAGGAAGGTCTCAAAAAATAGCTTTTGCAAGCCGAATATTTTTAAGTAATAAAATATTTGAATTATTTTACTTTTTTTTTTCATCTTTAAAAAACTGAAATTTTAGCAGGTTTTAAATTTTTTCTGTTGAAAAATTAATTTACTATTATTGTTAGTTAATACTGTCGTAAATGTTTGAATAAATCTTTAAGCTAGATTTATTTAAGGCAGTTTTTATATGGTTGAAAATTTTATTTAAAAAAAATCTAAATTTTATTAGATTTTTACCTTGAAACACCTTTAATTTGTGCCTCAGCATTTGGGAATTTTAATGTTTTAATTTCATTATTTCTTTAAATTTTATTAAAAATAGTTTTAAAATTCCCGACACTAGTTTTATAAGTTATACCTCTTAATTTTTGGCTTTAAGCTTTCAAGCACTTTGATTATTTACTGACCACATTCAAGGACTTCAGATCATGTTCCCCTAATTTAGTTTATAATATTCTGTGCGCAACTTTTTATTCATTTTAGCATAGATCCATGATACATTAGTCTGTAAGCTGGTGGCTAATTTAATTATTGCAATATAACTTTTTAATAAATGTTGCATGCTTGTTATGTGTTTATAATACATTTTAACCCAATCCCTGCCTGTTACATAGTGTATGTGTATGTGCTTTCAGGCAACATATCTCATTACTCAAATCGATACCTCTATTTGGTGAGGCCCTTGTCACAAAGCATGTGTCATCTAGGTGTGTTTCATAATATCATTCATCATTGTTGGTGAGAGCTTTCAATTAAATGCTCTGTTCTTAATGTAACATTTGGACAATTTTTTTTATTCACTTAAAAAAAATATGATTATTAAGGTGTGATTTTATTCAAATTAATTTGAAGAAAAAGTTAAAACACTAGTTCTATAAGTTTTACCGATTAATTTTAGACTTCAAGCTTTTAATAGTTTCAATGTTTTAGCCTTCAATGCTTTGTATAGTTCAAAGTTTTATAACAGATGTTGCTATTAAGAACTATAATTATTTTTTGAGTACAGAATGAATTTATTTTAATAACAGAAAATTGTTTACTTTATCATAAGGACAGAGCATTTTATTATCATTTTTCATTATCCCATATCATTTGTGTTAAAGCATGCTGACTATTGTTAATCATTTAAATTATGAACATATTCTCAACCCTTCTCAATCAATCTTCAATTTTTGTGTTCATTTTCTTTCATTTTTCATTCATCTTCCTGATTCTTTCCCTTTATCATTCATTGATCATTTCCTCTGCATGGTTGCTAAAGTTATTCTAACAATGTTTTTCTCTATAATATAGCTTTTTTTTCTAATTTGTTTTTATTAAAAGAGTTTATGTTTGTGTAAAAAATTTTATTCATTTTGAAATTCTTTATAAAATAATTGTTGCAAAAACGGAAACTGATTCATGTTATGAATTAAAAATATTTGAATGCAGCTGAGATTTTTCTGACTAAATAATAAACTTAACTGTTTAATTAATCATTAGTTTGAAGTAATTATGTAGCTTATATTGATTTTGTTATATATCAAATAAAAATTAAGATAAATGAGTTATGGTCATATTCATTTTGAATAACTTGCGTTCACCTTTTTTTAGATATTTTTTGAAAAAGGTGACTTCAACGTAATTGAAATTGTAATTCTATGTAATTAAAATTGAGTTGAGGAAAGCTTTTTAAAGTCATTTTATTTTTATGCAGCAAATCATGGAAAAGGCTCACTACCAGCAAATAGCAGGCTCAATTTCCCTTCTCCTCATGCCAATGTAAGTTTTTATTTTAATTATACTATTATATCATTAAAAGAGAAAAAAAAGAATGTTTTAATTGTTAACAGCATGTTGTATATCACTACTCTTATTATGTTAAAATAGGATACTCTTCTTACTTTAGTCTACTTGTTTTTATATTGCAATATTTTATCAATCAATGTTATCAATCAATCATTTAAAAAAAAAGAATATTTTTATTGTTAACAGCATGTTTTAGTTGAATATAGCTGCTCTTTTTATGTTAATAAAGGATAGTCTTCTTACTTTAATCTGCTTGTTTTTATATTGCAATGTTTTATCAATCAATGTCAGCAATCAATCATTTAAGAAAAAGAATATTTTAATTGTTAACAGCATGATTTATACATTATGTATAACAGAATATGGCTACATAACAGATATAACAGAATATGTTATTATGTATAACAGAATATAGCTGCTCTTATTATGTTAAAATAGAATAGTCTTCTTACTTTAATCTATTTGTTTTTATATTGAAATATGTTATTAGTCAATGTTATCAATCGATCATTTAAAAAAAAAAAATAATTTTAATTGTTAACAGCATGCTTTAGTTGAATATAGCTACTCTTATTATGTTAAAATAGGATTGTCTTCTTACTTTAATCTACTTGTTTTTATATTGCAATATGATATCAGACAATGACGTAATGGTCATAGTATTCTGTAATATAGTTGAGTGATATTTATATTGCAGGAATGTTTAAGAATTAAATCTTTTCTAACATTAAATATTCAATCATTTAAAAAAATTTCTTCAAAGAGTGTTAATCTTTATTAGTTTGAAATGTGTAAATAGTTTGTGAAACAAATATCATATTCCCTCGCTAATGAGCTACAGTAATCTTTTACGACATGTGAACTTCGAATTTGATTTGTCACTTTTCATTGGGTTTGATTCAGAACAATTCTATTATGAAGCCACATTGTTTTCGCATTGTTTTTCAACCCTTTCCATTTTTTAAAATTCTTATTCTGATATTTTTTAAGCTATGTGATGTGTCTAGCGTGTATTTGGAATTTAAGGTGTCATTATTTGACACACTCAACTTGCATCAATTTTATCGTAAATCTCCATCATCTAGAGATTGTGTTTACGACAGCTGTTTGTTGTTTCACGACCATTATCTCCTCGTGGTGTTTTTTTTTTTCAATTATGATATCATTAATATGATGTTATGACTAGTGAATTTCGTATTTTAGTAATAACTTTTTATGTTCTCGGTGCGCAATGATTCCATCATAAATTCACAAAAATTTCCGTTTGCTTTGCTCTGTTGTTAAGTGCAGTTATTACAGGTAATTATAATTTCAACCTTGTTTTCAAAATCTCAAGAGCTATCTTCATTGCACATTCAATTTACATCATTATTATATAAAATGTACTTCAGATTTTGTCTGCTTGAAAACTGAACTAATTTCAGCACAATTGAGGTACCCGCAGAGCCGGATTATACCTTTCGTAGGCCCTAGGCATAGCCGTTTTTGGGCCCTCCCCTCATTCTCCCACTCCTCCCCTCTTTTCAAAATATATGCTAAAATTTTCTTGCATATTTTTTTTTACATTTTTATTGATATGGATTTTAATTTGCAAATTTGTTTATCGAACTTTATCTGCAATACCGACATACTGCCGATATTGCAGTTGATATCGATAATACCATTATGATTAGTTCGATCGATAACTATGTAAACACTTCACGTCAACAATACAACAACAAACCAGCAAAGAAAACAGTGAAATTGATAGTGAGATTAATTACAAGAAATATTTATACAGTAGAGAACCAATTATCTGGGATGCTCGGGACCATCGCTATCCCGGATGTCTGAATTTCCCAGTTTTCTGGATCGACCAAAAAGTGTCATTAATCGATGTTTTATCGAACCCGAATTACAAGGAAATTACACAAAAATTTGTCAGAATCTGAGATTAAACTAAAAGCGCAAAATTTGGTGAAAATTTACTCATCCGATTTAGAGAAAAACTTTGTAGATGAATTTTTACTATTTTCAAATTTATATGAACATAAATCTGCACAAGAAATGTTGAAGGCTCAAATTAAAGATAAACTTGTGAATACTTTTCCTAACGTTCACATTGCATTAAGAATATATTTGTCGATTCTTGGATCAAATGCAGAAGGAGAAAGATCTTTCTCCAGATTAAAATTGATAAAAAATTATTTGCGTTCAACAATGAATCAAGATCGTTTGGCATCGCTCGCACTTATGTCTATTGAATACGACATTTTGCGTAGTTTGGAATTCGACAGCATAATACAAGATTTCGTTGAATCCAAAAATCGCAAAAAAGTAATATATTAGATCATAAGATTCTGCAAAATAATTTATTACTGAAAAATATTATATTTTTATTTGTAATTTCATAATTTTGTGCAAAATACACTTGTTGTTTTTAAAGCTAAATTATTTTTGTCAAAAAATTTTTTTCTTCCAAGTTTTTCGTAGGCCCCTGAATTTCGTAGGAATTTCCTAATTTCCTAACGTTCACATTGCATTAAGAATATATTTGTCGATTCTTGGATCAAATGCAGAAGGAGAAAGATCTTTCTCCAGATTAAAATTGATAAAAAATTATTTGCGTTCAACAATGAATCAAGATCGTTTGCAATCGCTCGCACTTATGTCCATTGAATACGACATTTTGCGTAGTTTGGAATTCGACAGCATAATACAAGATTTCGTTGAATCCAAAAATCGCAAAAAAGTAATATATTAGATCATAAGATTCTGCAAAATAATTTATTACTGAAAAATATTATATTTTTATTTGTATTTTCATAATTTTGTGCAAAATACACTTGTTGTTTTTAAAGCTAAATTATTTTTGTCAAAAAAATTTTTTCTTCCAAGTTTTTCGTAGGCCCCTGAATTTCGTAGGCCCTAGGCACGTGCCTGTAGGTTAATCCAGCCCTAGGTACCCGCTTCCCCCCCCACTCTCTCCTATCAATGTTTATCAAGGGGTAGGGCGCTGGGCCCATATCCAAGAGGTCGTGGGTTCGATCCTCGCCGGCCGAAGANTTTATTTGTATCTTCATAATTTTGTGCAAAATACACTTGTTGTTTTTAAAGCTAAATTATTTTTGTCAACAAATTTTTTTCTCCCAAGTTTTTCGTAGGCCCTAGGCACGTGCCTAGTGTGCCTATAGGTTAATCCGGCCCTGGGTACCCGCTTCCCCCCCCCACTCTCCCCTATCAATGTTTATCGGGGGCGGGATTTTCTAATTAACTGAATGCATTTGATTGTTTTTTACTTATACTTTTTTATTTTGAATATAGATACCTCCTCTTGGAGAAGCAGCCTCAAGATCTAGTTTTATTAATCTTAAGTAAGTGCACAATTTTCTAAATCTTTCTTTTACATTTTAAGCCATTATTTAAGTGGTATAATTCGATTTTTGAAAGAAAAAAAAAGGCATAATAATTTTATGATATTTTAAGCAAGATTTAGATACCCTTTTTCATATTTATAATAATATTCTACTAAGTATGTTTTCTTAAAGTTTCCTGAATTGGTTCATGCTTGCCATTTTTTTAAAAATTGGTTCAAACATGAACTTATTTATCTTAATAAAAGAAGAAATGGACTTCAACCACTTTTAAAAAAATAATGGCCTCTTTATGTTAACATGCAGTTTTCTAGCAGTGTTCCTGATTTTTATATATTATTAAATTCCTAATTACAATTATTTTTTCCTTCATTTATTTATTTTAATCTTATGCTATTAAAATATTTTATGAGATCTTGTCTTTAAACCTTCTATGTTTGCTATAGTTTTAAATAGTGTTTTAACTAATTTTTTTTTAATTACAGTAAAATGTTTAGTGAAGAGAAAGATGGTGATGGAAGTGTGGAATTGTTGTCTAAGTATGTTTTATTATTATTATATTTTAATCTTTGTGTCATTCTTTTAATCACGCATTTCATTACTTTACAACTGTCTAGAGCACTCTCACTAGCCTCATTGGAGCTTTATGTTGAATGACAGTACAAGTTTCATTTGTTTTCTGACCTTAACAAACAATATTTATTGTAATTTTTTGTTTTACCAAATAGAATTCATTGTCAATTAAAGTTGTGACTAACTTGAGTCCTCAAAATTTTTTTAAATATATTTTTTGTTTGATAAAAGTGCAAGGTTTAATCATTTCCTAACAGCTGTAAATAGAATTTAATGCCATAGGAAATTTTATTATTACTCAAAATTTTAACTGTTTTCTGATGAACTATTGCTCTTATTCCCCCAATTTTTTGCTTTGTGTCTGATGACAATACTAGTTTCATTGTTTCCTGGACATTAAAAGCAGAATTTACGACACCAAAAAGAGCTTAACTGATCAAAATTTTTACCACTTTCTGACTAAGTATGCTAAAATTTTACTTAATGCCCTATGCTGGTTGACAATACAAGTTTCAATTGCTTCTTAACACCCAGCAGAATTTATCACTGTATTATTAGCAAGGAAAGTTGTTGTGCGTCAAAATTTTGACCATTTTCTTACTGGCTATTGTGCTTATGCTTGGTGTACTCATTAAAATGCAAGCTGCATCACTTTTAAAAGTCTAGGGTATGGTGTTTTTTGGTAATAGAAGTTTATTATTAAAAGTTTTGTTCTTAAGTTTTTTGTTTTAAGTCTGACAAAAATACAATAATGTTTTGGTTTTTGTCTTTTTGAAAAATGCAATTTTCAAAATTTTTATTTTAGTACTTTCTGCAAAATGTATTTAATGGTTGAGCCATTAAATTCTATGTAACTAGGAATTTTAAAGAACCTTTTTTATTTTCATTTTTTGAATGTTTTTAAGCAAATTTTTAATTCCTTTATTTAAATTTACTCTATTATATATATATACAACTCTATATACTTATTATGTTGCTTAGAATTCAGAAAACAGAAACAGAAAACGTTTTTTTTATTCTTTTAAAATAAAATATTCATCAATATACTATCAATGACGGTCATAATTTTAATAATTTTAAAAAAAAAATTATAATAATAAATATTTACTGTGTTTTTTTCCAACTTATTTTAAAAAACTAATAACTTTATAAATGTTTCTAACATATTTTTCGTTGTTAAGATTCTAGTTTACTTGCATGAAAAAAAAGTTTTAATTTTGGCCAAGATTTTTGTTTTCTTTTTCCATATAAACTTACTTTGTGAGAATATTAGTTTTATCCCTATATTTCTGATTCGTTGCGACCTTTATAGCAAATTAACACTTTCTCTTTTATTATAGCATGACAGAAATCAATTCTGCTTCTATGGAGTCTCTAGATGAAGGTAAGCTTTTGTAAATATTATTACTATAATTACTATATTTTCAATTATACCTAAATTTTTAAATTGGAAAAATGGTGTAGAGTTATATGGTGTACTTTTTAAAGTTTTTTTCCCCCTTAATGTTTTGATCTCATGTAGATAAATTTCTTTTGTCTTTGCGCACTTTTTACATTGATTTTTTGCTACAAAATTATAGGACTGGAATGCTAATGGGAAGAATTTTTTTTTTCTAAGGGGAATTGTTTTTTCATTATTTTGAAATTTATTTAAGAAACCTACATTTAATATTTGCTTGTATTTTTTTAATAAACAGAAACAGTAATTTTTAAAAGTAGTTAATATTATAAAATCAAGTTAAAAATCTATTTTTAAACAATTTTAATGTTTTTAAGGCATTTTACATAGGTTTTACTATATTTTCTCATATCCGAGGACCTTCAGTACATGTCTGCTTTGAGCCTCAACACAGATCAATTTAGTAGTCGGACGGAACGAACAAACACTGTGCAGTGGAGGAAAAATAAGAAAGATGTCACTACATTCGAGCTACTAAGCTGTTTAGCAAGGAAAAATACAAAAGATGTCATTTTATTTAGACTACTAAAGGATCGAATTTCTTATTTATGGTAACCCGTGCTGAGGCCTTCTCTCTTCTAAGAAATATTGTTTAAGCCTGCATATTTTTATGTATCACTCACTCCTTCTCAAAGTAGAAACCTCTTAGATTGGTATTTTTACTTTTACAAACAGTAGCCAGTCAACAGATACAATTACTGATGAATGAATAAACATAATATTTTATTGATTGTAGTATTAGGGATTTTATAAACCTTTTTTTAATGAAATAAATATATTTCTCTTGTAGGTGCTGTTGAAATTAGTGATTTAGAGGATAACCAGATGCTCAGATTAATTGAAGATGAGGCTGAAACATGGAATTCAGCTGCTGATAAAAACGTTAGTAGAATTCTTTGTAATTGCTATTTTTATTCATTTAAAGCTGTTTGCAATTTGTATTATGTGACCAGAGTTCAATTATTACTCTATTTTTTTATCACTTGATATTTTATTTTATATTCTTTTCATTGTTATTAAGCATTTCTTTCGTAAAAAATACTTTTAAAAAAATCTGAATATTTATTCTATGTTTCTTAGTTACCCTGATATTTCTAATTTTTCTGCTAAGAAAAATTTTTTTTTCTTTATTTGTCTTGATTTTTAGGTTTTGCTCTAAGTTTTCTGATTTTTGTCTGTATACTGAAACATAATATGTTCTGTGATTGCAAAAAGAATTTTTAATTAAAACAAATGCTTGTTTAATTTTCTTTACTACTTTTTAACATGGCTGATTTAAAAGAACAAATTATTACTAAAGTTCTTGTTGATAATACAAGCCAGAAAAATGTGTCTGTGGATTATGTACTCCAAGTGTCGTTTATCCATTTCTTCGACTACCAGAGTGCTAATTTTCGGCTCCAAATTTTTATGTTTTGTTTAGTGTTCCATTAATGAAATTATAATGGAAGCTATTAAGAATTTATATTCCATACTAAGTTATTCTGGAATTGAAAATTGTTAATTTATAATTTCCCTTAGAATTCTTAGGGGATAAAATTTCCCTTTAGAATATTGGAAGTTCAAAATAACCATAAATTTGAATTGCATATACTCTCTCGGCTGAATAAATAAAAATAATGAATTTCACAAATCACAATCAAACAGTCAATTTAGTAGCTTAATTATTCATTATTAAAAAATAGGCTGATTAATTTAATTGCTTCACTGAGTCTTTTTTTCTAAGTCAAAATTTGTTCTCACTGAGTCAAAACACATTTTTTTCTGTCAAAAATTTTTTTGATGGAGTACCGAAGCAATTTTTCACAATCAGAATTTTTTTAAGGCCTTTTCTGCTTCCTTAATCACTGCTATGTTTTTAAGTAGAATTAATGACATAGTTAGGAACTTCAGTTTTGACAATACCATTGTGAGAGTATCGAAACAATAGGTAATGTTTAAGTATAAATACTCAAAATGCTTTTTAACTGCATTAGAAAATTTTGTTTGAAGGTGAAGGCTTTCATTGCAATCATTTATGGATATTCATGCAAAAAATTCTAACTTGTCGATATTTTAATGGTATTTTTTATACAATATTCTAGGCACTAAGCAAAAAATTCAGTTGTCCCGAATTGCAAATAAACAAATTTAATTAAAAAGTTTTGTCTGTATTTAAGTGGAACGAATTAGTTTGCCATTTTCCCTTCTTAGAAGCATTCTTTTATGTGTATTCTCTACTCTAACGCTCCCAATTTTTTTGTAATGTGCTGTCCTGATTTTTAGTGAACTAGGCCTAAATATGTCTAAAATTCTGTAAATTTTTATTTTGCTAAACTTGCCTTTTAAATTATCTATCACTTGGACTTAAAAATATGTACATAATTTGTAAATTTGGTTTGTATCTGGTTCCTAAACATTTTCTTATTTTGTAGGTTATTAAAAAATTAAAGGACAGAGAAATCAAGCGGCAGGAAGCAATTCATGGTATTATTTTTTTTATTTTCTGTATTTTTGTTATGGTATGTTGTCATTCATGAATTCAAAATAATAATAATTTGCTCATAGATAATAAAAATAGACTAAGAACTACATAAATGATTTCTGTATAGTAAAAGTTCATATTAACAAGTACAGCATTTTATAAGAAGTCTGCTATTTTCACAAGTTTCTAAGATACTATCAAAATGTACATTTACTATTGGTAAAATTTTTTTAAGGGAAATGTATTTTTATGTTGTTTAAATGAGAAATATTATATAAAAGAGGAATAATAGTAATCATTTTTATTTGTTTCTGGTATCAATATATAAAAATAAAGATCAACCTTTATTTCATCGCATTTCCTACTTGCAATCTTAACCCTTCTTGTTTTAAGGCAAACATATGTAACCGATCACCTACTAAGTTATCTTCCTCTGTACTAAAGAAAATATTCTGCTATTTTTAGCACTTCAAATAAATATGCCTTAAGTTGACCACATATATACCAGAGGTCTGTCCAAGTCAAATTTACTATCATTTAGCGGTACCTTCACAAATTCAACTTTAGGAAAAACTGTAGTTTCACAAAAAACTTTTTCTTAAAATTTTATTTTTGTGTCTCGTAAGAAATGATAAATCCATGTTTTAACCATTATTTTTGTGTTGATTTTTTAATGTGATTTTTAATTTTCACAAATTATGTATAAATTTTCACAAAATAGGTACCTCTCAGAAAAACCTAGACAGACCCCTGTATACTGTGACACCTTATTTCCTTTCTTGACAGCTTTTTTAATGAAATCAACCTTCAGTGTTTTGACTGCTATCAAAAACTGTTTTGGTCAAAATTTTGCATGTTGCTGAAATTTGTTAAGATTTTTCTACTCTTTGTTGCTAACTTGTTTCAGTTTTAATGCTAGTTGTTTAGTGCGGTGGAAGAGGATGCAGAAATTCGGAAAGAAAATGGAAAGCTTGAAATTGAAACAAAATGAAGACTTCCATATTAAGAAAACAAAATTATATTAAGATGATTATATAACAAGACCATCTAATGAAAAATTATCCTACGTCAATGTTGTTTACCATACTAGAGAACAAAAATAAAATCAGAGAAGCAGTTTTTAAAAAAAATATTCCTAAAAATTATTGTTTTTTTTTTTTTAAATTAATAATGTGTATATGCTTATAATGACCAGCTCACTATGTCGCCATTTCGCAATTCCATCTGTAATTGCGAAATGGCGACACAATGAACTTCTATGATAATTTGAGCATTTTGGCTATCAATTTACTTTTGTTGTGTGAAAAGTTTTTGTTCAATCCTAATAGTGAGTTTCTCAAAGTACTAGAGCTTAATTATAATTCAAACTAATATTAACTTATTTATTTTTCAGAGCTCATAATAACAGAGAAACATCATTGTCTTACTCTACAAATCATGCAGAAGGTATGTCTTACACTTACATAAATGTTATATAATAAATTATTGTATGAAATTAATATTGTTGCATATATTTTTGTAATTTTAATGTGTTCTAGTTTTAAATCAACAAAAATAGATATTTTTTTTCCAGTGTGTGCTAATCTTAGTTTTGTTACTGCAATAAGGTTTTTTTTTAAAATTTATATAGGTATATCACCAGGGAATGATAAAGAAATTGAATGTACCTCGTGAGTTGGTGGATAGATTGTTTCCTTGCTTAAGTGACTTAGTCGAAATACATATGACTTTTCTTCTCAAACTAAGGGAACGTCAAAGCGAAAGTCCTGTGATAGATAACATTGTAGATATATTAGAAGATCAGGTAAACATTTTAAAAACCTTTTATAACAAAAAAAAGTATTTGTTTCTCAATTTATTGTAACAAAATATTTTTTGTAATTCATAGTTTCAAGACCAGAAAGCAGAACAAATGAAATTTGCCTATGGTCAGTTTTGCAGTCAACATATGGAGTCTCTTAATTTATATAAAGACATGCTAAAAAGTGATAGAAAATTTCAAAATTTTATTAAGGTATAAATGCTTGTTGTAGAGCTTTTTTATTTATTTCTTACACTGATTTGTTTATAGTTTTGGTTCCCATGAAGTGTTTCAAATGTTCTTTTTCAATTTATTTTTTATTTGTCTTATTTTCTCAATTACCAGGCTTTGATAATCGTTATGAACTATAGTTTTTTCTGAACTATTATTTCTGAAGAGCAATATAAAAATCAAAGTTGGGTTTACTCTTTCTTAATACTAGATGTAAAGATCATTTCTAGATGCAAACCAATTTAAGAAAGAAAAATCTATGACTCCTTCTTAAAAATTATTTACTTGATTTTAAATTAAAACTTGATTAAAAAGTTGGGTTTACTCTTTCTTAATACTAGATGCAAAGAAATTTAAGAAGAAAAAAATATATGACTCCTTAAAAACTTGATTTAAAAAGGTTGATTATTTACTTAATTTTTAAAAAATGAAAGAGTTTTTGCTTGAAGAATGCACTAGCTGATTTTTTATAAACTTAAAAAACTAATGCTGCTTATTTTTGTATATTTCATTTGATGCATTATCATATTATGTTTTTAAATCCCATTTGCTCTATAAAATTAATAACATATTTTTTTAATTATATTCATTATTACAAGAAGTATTCATTAATTGATTTTTTACACTCTTCAAAAATTTTTATAACTATGCTTTGTTACTTATTATATATATTCTTTATGTTACTCATTGATCTTAGCTTTCATATCAGGTAATAGTGTATTAATGACGCTGCTATTTATCATTATAAAAGTTTTAAGGTCTAATATTTATCTAATTCTTTTTTTTCAGAAATGCAAATCTAAGAAATTGTGTAAAACCAGAGGAATACCAGAATGCTTACTTCTAGTCACCCAAAGAATAACAAAATATCTTTTAGTTTTAGAGTCATTAATAAAGGCAGCTAAAGGTATTAAACTCTTAATTATACTTGTTATTTCATGCCTGTTTTTCAACTTATCTTAATAACATTTATGTATTTTTTTTAGATAACAAAGAGGAACAAGAAACTCTGGAATCAATTCTGCCTTATGTTAAAGTTAGTATTTACATAAAAATTTTCAATACTTTCAGAACATTTTTTTCCCGTCTTTATTATCATTGTACTATGTATAGGTTCTACACTGAATGTGCATGTACATGTTCTACACTGAACATTTTGAACTCATTTTTTTTAAATATTATTTTTCCTTTTTTTATTATCAAATCATACAATATTTAAATGATTACATAAGAAACAAAGAACAATTAAAGTGTGCCTAAATAGTTTATTTTTTTACTTACTCAAAGCTCAACTTTCATAGGAACTTGGTTCTATTGTTATTAATTAGTAAGAATCCTCTTCAGCTAAGAAAAGTGATTCGACTTCTTCTGAGTTAGCCTTAGGAGAATTGGCATATCCTCCTTTATTAAGTTACTTAATATCTTCGAATATATTTGTTTAATTTTATTGAAATGTGTTCTGTTGAACTTAGTTACCAACTTTTCAGTATGTCAATATAGTAAGCATAATCTCATGAAACGGCAAGCATAAACTCAAACGGAACAGTTTTTTTTTAAACTTGTGATGAGAAAAAATTAGCAAGATCAATTTTGAACTGGAAAAAAGATAAGAAAATGTGGTGCCCTGTTTGTATGAAATTAAAAAATCAATTTTAAAAGCAATATGAAGATCTTTAACATTAGAACCAGAAAAAGCATTTAACAAATTAACAGTGATATTATTGTGAATGGCATTAAAAATTATCTACACAAGTGTGCGATTTCATGTAAAAAATATTGAGCTCTTAAAAAATATGTGGTTAACAATAACACCTGTAAAATTTTAGTGAAAACCAAATGAAAAATGAAATCAAGAATATCAAAAAGTGTTTACTCAAAATAAGCTGTTCGAAATTTGTGTTTTGTAATAAGATCCTATTAAAAATATTAAGATATGAAATTCATGTGGTAATCAGTCCTAAAAGTGAAGGTCAAGATTATGTGAATTGTGTGGATCGAATCAAATTTGGTACATCAAGAAATATGACTCAATGACATGATATTTGCGTTTTTGGAATATTGTATTAAAATATCGAGATTTTTTAAAATCATATAGAAATTTAGCAGAATAACTGCCGGAAAAGTGCATTAATTTTTATGGAAAATATTTTTTCGTATTATCTTAGACCCGTAATTTTGACATTTCTATTGTTCATTTGACATAAGTAACATTTAAAGTCCCAATTTTTTTTTAATTAAATCTTGACCTTCTAACCTTTCAATCAGTACAAATTTCTGAAATTATACTGTATTATTTAAACTTTACTTAAATTTATAAACTTTTTTTGGAAAAAACTTAAAATTTGGTAACTTAGTTCTATAAAGCATATTGCATTGAATAAAATGAAAAAAATTCAAAAGTATCAGTTCATTAATAAATGGGGGAATTGCTTTTAATATATTTTTTCGTGTGTTAAATTAGAGGCAGTTGAATACCGTTTCTATCTGAACATAATGTTTTCTAAGCACTAATTTGAGTCTACTAACTCTAAATAAACTTTATTATTTATCAAATTCTAATTTGTATACTTTCCCGTAATATAGATGTTATTGCATTCTCGCTGTCAGATTATGTTTTTTTCTTTCAAGAAAGTAACCAAATACTATTTTCATTTTTGAAGAATTAAACATGAGCAATTTTTATGTTTTAATTGTTGTGATTTTTTAGAGGTTATTCTTAATAATTTTGAAATTTGTTAAATAACCAGTATGGTATTACTAAATATGATCCTGATTATCCATAGATTTTAAATTATCTGTTTTTGGATTTTTTTCAAATATTAACATACTTCTTTTAGGACATTATATCAAGTGTTGATGTTCAGGTAGCTGATAAAGAAAAAGAAATTAGATTATTAGAAATTTTCAATAGAATGGACGCCAAAACAACCGTATTTTATCGAGGGAAGAAATTCAAGGTAAATTTAAAATAATGCGATCCATTGGATATTCAATCTACTGATTTTAATGAATTGCTTTAAAAGCTCATTTCATATATTTTTTTTCCTTTCAGAAATCTGATCTATTAGCTTGTAATCGAAAGCTGAGAAAAGAGGGTCCCGTCTCTTGGAAGAGTCCTAGAGGAAAAACTATCGGTAATAAATATTTTTACTTGCTTAAGATAGAGGTATATTAATCAGTAAAATAATCAGTCAGATTTTTTTTTACATATTTGAAAGTGTATTTACATACAATGTTTCTTTGAACAAGCCTTTTGGTCTTTTATTATCTTTAGATACAACCACCTTTTTTGCTACAATAAATGGATAATTAAGTATCAAAAATTAAGCTTTTCTTTTCTTTTAACTTTTTTAGTTGTAGTGGTACACTTGGTTCATTAAACTTTCAAGACATAGTAATTTATATTTCAATATCAGTTGATAAATCAATAATCATTAATCTCGAATAATCTTGATATTTTTAGTTAAAATGATTAATTTCTTAATAAATAGTTTCTCTGTCTCAGAAGCATTTTCAAGCTAAAACTATTAACTTGTGTTTAAGTATTTATGTATGATAATTTGGTTTTGTTTGAAATTTTTTTTTATTATTATATTAAATTCAGTGTTTGATAAAAGTGTTGATTTTTGTTCAGTGGTTGATTTTTGATAAAATGTATTAATGTTTTCATTGTTAATTTTTTTTTTAACTGTTACATGTGTCTAAAGATTTATTTTATGATTGAAAAATGTTAAACTTTTTTTTTTTTGTACGCTTATATAAAAAACAAATCTATACAATAAGAGCTTGGTGCATTTTAATATCTTTTTGTATGTGTTCTAAATTTGTTTAAGTTGTAGCTGTATATAAAAATTTTTATATTTATTATAGCATTTTGTATTATGAAGTACTTTCTTAACACAATCGTGGAAACTTTTTTTTTCAGTCAGTTCAAAAATACCCACATATTTTTTTTTTAATTAATTTTTTTGAGTTTATACTTTGTCTGTTTTAATTCATTCCTGGTAAGTATTTATTATGTTTGTTTTTTTCAAAAACTTATTTGTTAATCTCTACGAAATAATCATATAGTTCATATTGTTATGATACAATGGTGCTTAAAATTAAGAAGAAATAACTATGTTACTAACTGAATAATTTGAATGCTTTTTACGTCAATTCGTCATTACGTCAATTATTTATCAAATTCTAATTTGTGTACTTTCCCCTTACTTAGATGTTATTGCAGTCTTGCTGTCAGATTATGTTTTCTTCCTTCAGGAAAATAACCAAAAATTATTTTTTGCATCTTTGGAAAATAAAGTAAGAAGATTTATTTTCATTACTTTTTTTTTTCTTTTTAAAAGAAAGTTTTATAAATATATTTCATAACTTTTAATCTTATTTTAGCCTGGAATTGTGTCTCTTCAAAAATTACTCCCTCGCAAAAAAGCTGGGCAAGATAGTCGAGGCATTTACTTAATATCATCCAATCCTAATGAACCTGAGATGATTGAATTGTTCTGCAAAAGTCCTAAAGACCAAAAAGCTTGGATGGATGCGATCAGGGAAGCTATTGATATGTGTCCTGATGAAGGTACTCTTTTCTTAAATTTCGCTTAATTTAATTTGACTTAATTTGTTTGATTTCATTCCATTCAAGGAGTTATATAATTTGATTTTTATGTTTATTTAAATATCATCTGAATAACATTTCAGATAGCTTAATCAGGGACTGATCTAGAAAGAGGGGGGGGGAGTCCTAGGCACTGAACTGTCAGGGGCTCTCTGGTATTTAATTTAAACAAAATTTGCCTGTCGTTTAATAAGTGTTCTTAAATTATTTGTAACATAAGTAAATTATTATATATTAGTAAATTTGAGCTTATATTTATTTCAATTGTTGTTTACTTATAAATCTAATAAACAATTCTTAAAAAAACACAAAGAGAAACTATTTGTAACATTTAGGGGGCCCCCAGAAATGGCCATCAGGCCTCTGAGGCCTGATGATAAATCAGGTACTGAGCTTGATGAATATTAATTGCTATACTTTTTATATAACTTTATCACAACTAAAATAGGAGTTGTATAGACAAATTAGAGTTTGCTTGATGCATTTGCATACAAATTGTGTGTAAAATAATTTTAATCATCTTCATTTAAATTTCACAGTTAAATTAAAATTTTCCAGTTGAATATAAAATGAATCAATGATAGTTTAGTTGTTTGCCTATTGCTGTTCAGAAAAATCAAATTGTGTGTAAAATAATTTCAATAATTTGTATAGAACTATAAAAAATCAACAACCATTACTTGTGCAATTTTGTATATTGTATATTCAGTGAAAATGTGTAAATGTATGTTTATTACTCTCACTTTAAAGATATAGTTAACTAGTAGGAATTTATTTTTTCTAAGCATGGGATATAAGATTGAAACATATCTATGTAGTATATATCCTAATCATTAAATGGGTACATATTACATTGTTGTCTATATACTTTAAACTTGACATACAGTTTGCCCATTTTATAGTACTTATGGGAGAACTGTAGCAACGAGCTTAATTTTCTCTTCAGATAATAAATGGGTTTTACTTACTCCATGTTAACCTATATTTCAGTTACTAATTATATTTTTAAATACATTTGTTCTATTTTATTCTCTGAAATCTTTTCCATTGAACTTGGTTTCCAAATTTAAATCTTTATAGTTGTAAGTATTTTTAAAATTTTTTCAAAGAAATTCAATCATTTTAAAAATACTTTTAGCTTTAAAATTTATACTGTGTTCAATTGAATACAGTAATGATTAAAATGAAACAAAAAATATTCAAATTATTAATTTGTTTAGTAAATAAGGAAATCTGTTCATGCAATTCTCTGCAAAAAAACAAGGAAAAGAAAACTTTTTTCTGAACTGCACTCTTAATAATGAAACATATTAGAAAATTTGGAAGAAGCCAGTTTAAGCAGAGAAAAATTTAAAAGAAAAATAATAAATGTAAAAAAAAAAATTTTAAACACTTAGTAGAATAAATTATTATTTTAGGCTTAAGGTTAAATCATATTTACATGGAAGTTAAATTATATTGGAAAGTTTTCCACTTAGGTCTTCAAATATCAGATTTTAATATTAATGTTAAAATCTATAAATTATATATAATTTATTAATACTCTGTGTTTATTATGTAGCTCAAATGTATTAATTGAAATTTTTTTAAATTTTTAATAGATGAGGGTGTACCCAGTGAAACGGAAGAAGAACGAAAACTGGAAGCTGCCAGAGCAGCTCGTATTAAACAACTTACAAGTAAGAAAGCTATTTATATAATATTTAAGTTTTATTGGAAATTTTTAGGGAATTAATGATTAGAGAAAAATAAGGAAATACTTTAAATTATAGACGTTTGGTATTTCTTTTTTAAATGAAATATTTCAATTGAAATATGTAATTGTTTACAATTTTGATTAATTAAAGTATCACTCAAAACTTTAAATGAAAAAGCAATGAAATCCATTTGAGATCAGAAATTAAGTAAGATATATTAATTCTATCAATTTCATTCTTTAAAGAATTTTTTTTCTATAATATTTATTAATATTTAAATCATATTTTGAAATATATTTTGCTTTTTCAGGTCTTTTGCATGAAAAAGATTTGCAATTGGCTCATATGTGTGATGATAGAATGCAGGTTTATGTGGATTTATTGGTAATGTTCTTAATAAACTGAAATATTATCTTTTAAGGCAGCACTGATATTTTCAGGATATTTAAAATAAGTGCTAAATTTCCCATTTCTCTAAGTGTAGTCTAAAATCATTATTCAATAATAATTCATTTGCAAAACTTATTTTATTTATTAAATTTTCTTTATTTTCTTAAACAGAAATGGTATTGATTAATGAATATGTGTTTTGTGGTTTAGAATTTATGACGGCTTTTTCAAGTTACGTAAATCAATATAATTTTTAAAAACTTACCAAAATATTTTTATTTTTTGCCTTTTTGTTACAAGAGTCCTATTTAGCTGGTATAAAAGATATGCCATGCTTGTACGAATGCAGTAATTAGTTGGCAGGGGTCCTCCAGACATTTTGTAAAAGGTCCTGTTTTTGTAAAATTGTGAAAAAACTATTCATAATTTGTGAATATAAAATAAGTGTTAAGTCTCATTCTTTCAACCAGGGTCCTCCTTTTGTGAAAATAGTGACTTGTTATTGCAAAAATTGCTAAAAACCTTTTCAAGAAGTTTTTAAATTGTAAATAGATACAAGATTCTGCTCAAAAATTGCTGCTACTAAATTGATGCAACATACAAATATTTGGTATCTAGCCTATACTGCTCAACACAGAATATTCATTTTGGACGAATAATGGAAATAAAATCACTCACATTTTTAATAATTTCAATTGACATATATTAAATAACACAACTTAGTGATGTATCACTTTTAATGTGTTACGCATTAAGTAAACTTAAACAATTCTTAAATTTATAATGCTTTATTTAAAAAATTACCAAAAATTAATTTTTATTTACATAATATTATATTAATTAATTTTATGAATAAATTGATCAATCATTTATTTACAAAAAATATATATATGATTTGATATTAATAAGAATGCACACACGATGTTTGTAAAAGTAGAAATATTTTCTTAGAGTACTACATTTGTAATTAAAACTTAGGGAAACTCAGTTTGTCTCAAACCATCTTTCTTCCTCCCCCCCCCTGGAGTGGTCTATTCGATTAACAAAACGATAATGAAAATAAACAAATTTGTGAAGGGTCTGATTAAAAGATAAATTATTTTGTGAAGGGTCCGTTAACGGACCCAAATTTCTTCTAAACAAAACCCTAGTTGACATCAGCATCATATCATTTGGTAATTGCCCATATCTGCTTCAAACTACCACTGGCTAATAATTCATTTACCTATAGACAAATACATTTACTTATTTTGGATTAATACCTCCAAATGTATGTTTTGTAAGTCAAAACTAGTTTCTTCTGCATGTTATATTTAGGAGTGTTATATTTTCATTCTCTAAATACAAAAGTAAAATATAATATGCAATGTGCACACTTGGTTGTGTGGTGCACCATTTATTGGCATCACTTCAGCAGAGTGAACTGGACAAACGGTTTAAATTAAGAGAAATGAGATCCCATGAAATAAAATGAATGTAGACATTCAATTTTATGATTTTTTTTTTATTTATTCAGATGTACCTTTCTTGTAAATTAGTAATTTAATTAACAGCATTATTTTTCTTAGTTATTAGATTTAACTTTTGTAGTTATCATGTTTCTGGTTAATCATTTAAATTTATTTTAGTATTTCAAAATACTTTACTATAAAGTTGCAAAATTTATTTTACTTTGAAAACAGTCAAGCAACAGAGAAAATATTACTCTTTTAATCAATCAATACAGGAATTTCTAGTAACTTTTTATATTATTTCTGTTTTTTCTTCTTCTATTTATGATGTATTATTGTCATAAATCTCTTTAACTATGTCTTTTTGTTTACCCAAAAATCCAAGCACATTCTCTTCCTGATCTTTATATGTTGTTAAGCTTCTATATTTTTTTTAATTTGGCATCTTAGCTTAAGTGTTACTTTTTTACTAATAATAACCATGCATAATATTTTGTACCTATATAAAATTAAGTAGTATGTTCACCTTAAAGTTGCACCAATTTGAATTTTGATAACACCACTTATGTATTTCTGTGTTATTATACTTCTTATTGTTGACAGTTTGCACCTGTGATAATACGTGCATAAAATACTTAGTTGCGTAATTACTTAGGAAATGGTTAACAGTTTTAGTAATATTATTAAAGTAAAATTATTTTTTTTATGCAGGAAATGGTTGGAATTGAATCTGAGCAGTTTGAAAGTGTAAGTTTTTAAATAGATATTATTTAATATACTTATTTTGAACGTTGTAATAAAAAAATTTTGAACATACGTAATTAACCATAAACTATAATTTCCAGATTAAATATTCTCCTTTAATGGAAAACACCCCTGGAATGGACACAAAAGAGCTTATTTCCTCTGCAATCACCAGTGGTATTTATATTTTTCTTTGATTAATAATAACCTTGTTTCTGGAGGTCTAAAACTATTTCTGTTTTATAATGATTTTTTGTGTAGTCATAAATTTTTTTTTATTTGTAATATATTAAAAATAAATTACATTTAAATAAATATTAATAATTATCTTAATTAAGTTGTGATAATTGTTTTTTTTTAAAAGTTCATGAAGATCAAAATTATGTCTGTTTCATAATAATCACAATATAATCATGAATAAGTATCAACAATTAAAGACAATCAAATTTTTTATAATTTTGTTATTATTTTTGATAAAATTGTACAGTATTGCCCATCACAAAAAAGATTCAAATAAAGTTAAATATGTAATTTTTTTTAAAGCATTAATATTATGCAAATATTAGTGTTTCTCAAAAATGTAATAGCTTGAAAAAAGTTATATGTGAAATGTAACATTTAAGTCTTCCAAAATCTGCATGAAATCTTTGCTATAACCCGGCATCTACAAATCTTCTAATCTATGTTTTTATATAGATTTTGAAAGACCTAAATTTGCATTCCAATTGTAAGATTTTTTTTTTGTCCTTTCCATGTTTGAATTAGAAAAATAAAATTTTTTATTATTTTCTCCTTGCATAGCATCAAGACTTGCTAGTAACCTGTATACTTCTGGTACTAATTTAAGTCGCAGTGTTAGCAGTGCTGGTGAGCGCCAGAGTGAAACTTACGTTTCTCCACTGTTGCCAAAACGTGCTGAAACGTTTGGTGGGTTTGACAATCCTACAAAAGAACAAGTCATTCCCATTAAAGGTATTGTATGCTTTTATTTTGTGGTTTTCCACAATGCACATGTATGTACATGTTATTAATTTCAGCTAAATAGTAAGTTATTAAATGTATACACAGATTTAGTCTTCCATATTTATTAAAATCATAATTAATAATTGAATTTGAGCAGATACCTCTCAAGTAATACTTTACAAAATTGTAACATTATCCTGATTTTTATAACTTATGGTATTATTGCTTCAAAGTCAGAATTATGTCATTAGAATTTTTTATTGTCTTGCCTGTTTGTTTTTTTTAGTGATGCTGCTCTAGGCAGTTGCATAGTGAGGAATCCTCTAATTGTTTAATTAATTATTTAAATTTGTCAGTATTGTAACTAAATATTTAATTATTTCTCTACAATCTAAAATATTAATCTATTAAATGATAATTTCAAAGTGTAGAATATTAATAGAAAAATGGGTGGGAAAAATTATCAAACTTAGATTTTTATTTGTTTATTTTTTTTTTCAGTTCCGATGTTCAAAAGAAAACTTCTTCATTTGAAGGAGCATAGTGAGTTGTCTATTTTGCCTTCAAAGCCTAAACCAGACACTGGAAGTATGGGTGAATCTCTGGAGAGTGCACTTCAAGTAAATATTAGAAATGAATTATTATGCTTTGAAACTTTACTCCTTTACATGTTCAAAATGATAAGGAACTATGTTTTTAAAAATTATTATGCATCCTCAAATAAATTATTATACTTCTTTCATATAAAACCTATTTATACCTGAGTCTATTTCCTATTAATTTGTAAGGGTTCACTAGTATTTAAGGTTTACTTCTCACCTGGTATAATTATAGCAATTGATTATGAAACTTAAGTATTATAATCATACAATTAATTATAATTAAATTAGTTGTAACAACAGTGAGATAGATAAAAGTTAAGACACAATAAGGAAAAATATTTGTACTCCAGAATAATTTACTTCCCACCTGGTATAATTACAATAATTAAGTATAGTATATAACTAATTATATAATTTATTTACAGAATTTATTTATATAATAAATTTATTGTAAAAGTGACAGCGTAATCAGTGTTACAGAAATAATAAAAGGATTTTTTCGGCCATATATGCATCTGTGAACCCAGTAAGTAAAAATGCCAGATTAGGGGATAATCTTAAAAGTAGGCTTTTTCCTATTTGCATTGTATAATTTAGACTCTTCTCTATTTGTGAATTACTGTAATGCCTTTCCTTGATTTTTTTTTTTTTTTTATATTGTGAGAAAATATAATTTAAGTATATTTCTTTCTTTGGATTACAAAATTTAAGATACAATTTCAATTATTTAAAACTTTTTTCATTCCTGTTATTCTAAATCTATTATTTTTAAGTAGATTTGATCCTAATTGTGTTTTGTAACTAAGGTTCCACTGCAGCTGTAAACTTTTAACTGTGTTAATTATTGTACCTTATAGTTGTATTTATTAATTTTTTTACTTTAATTTTTCGTTTAAATGTTTTTTTTTTATAGTATAAACATAGCCCTCAAACTGCTATTCAATGTTGTTATGTATAGTTATAATTTTGATTGTTTGTGCTTATTTTTTCTAGAACTTTGGCTTACAAACCTCTCTGTCTATTACTGGGAGAGTACCATCTGTTTGCAGCAGTCCTGTAAGTAAATTAATCTAAATATGCTAAGTGATATGTAATCTAAATAGCTAAGATATATTGCTCTTGATTTACTTTTTTTAGTAGCATTTTTAAGTAAAATAAATTTATCTACATAATACCAAATATTTAATTAGTAATAAAAAGTAAACACGTTGCATTATTTGCATTCTATTTGATTTTAGTTTTGCTCAGTTTTCTGAATGTATGTTATTTAGCGAAAAATAGCTATTCCTAACCGGTATACTGCTATATGCTTAGAGCAATAACACAAATCGCTGAATTATTCAAGGTCTCTAAAAGCATTTTGTTTACAATAATTAAAAATCGTGATGTAATTCTAAAGGAAGAACAAACTGTTTTAATTTCATAGCATCATACTCGTGAAGCGAAGTTTCAAAATCCGAAAAAAACTCTGACTGGTTCAAATTTATGCACAGTATTTAAAAGATTTAATTTGAAACATTTAGATGTATTTTTTACCTTTAATGTACTATATTAAACAATACTTTTGCTTTATTGAGGTAAAAAAAAACTGCATATTAGTGAGTTACATAATTCTGTTTAAAGTGTAGCATGTTTATTGCCAAGTCCAGTATTTATGAAATATAAGTAAATATTTGCTGTAATTTTATTTATGATATAACAATCTCACATTGTACCCCCCGTTTTTGTTTGAACTATAGAAGTCGTTATATCGACCATCAACTGTGACACTAATTTTTCTTGATTATAATTTTTAAATGTAGTAGAAATTTTTATTTTAGACTTTATTAGTTTACCTAACAATGTTTTAAAGCAATGAAATGTATGTTTTATTTTTCATAAGGTTATTTTTTGTTGAAATGGCTAATATTTAAAAGAGAATTTTTTTGTTAAAACAATTTCTCAATGAATTAGGTATTGTACTCTTACTGGTGAAAAAGTATTATTATTCAATATGTGTTAACCATGATAAACTTTTTAAATCATTTACAAGGCTAAATGATCGATTAAATAATTTAATTTTTCATTTAATTAATAATTATATTCTGTCTTACTTTACTGTTTATGACTCTAACATTTGAGTGTTTATGACTTCTACACAGTTTTGCATATTAATGGCTAAAGCATGGTATTCAATTGTGTATGTCTTGTAGTTGTTATTATAATTTTTTCTCAATAAGAATTTTTTTTATTTTAGGAAAAGCAACATAGTAGAAAGCTATTATCTCCCAGCTTTCAACAACCTCCTGATATGCCTTCTTTCAGAGAAATCACCACTGAAATTGCTCACCTTACTGCTACTCCTTTACTCATGACTCAAGGAAAAGAACAACTAATGCAAATAGTTGAATTGGCTCACCATTTAAACACTATAATTGTAAGTAATAACTTTTAAATGGCCTAGAATGTAATTAAAAAGATAGCTGATTCTGTCGTAATTAGCGTGGAAGATAATGTTTGTTTAACTTTTATTAATTATTATTTTCATTTTTTTTTATAAGATGTCTCTGTTTTAGTCATTTATGGAACAACTTGAAAACGATAATGCTTTAGTTTGAATAATTTTTTCTAATATCTTTTATAAGATATTTTTTTTTCAAAGAAAAAACTAAAATAAAAACAGCAAATATGGGGAAAAAATTTTACACCGTGAGTGCAATTTTAAATTTAANCTTTTATTAATTATTATTTTCATTTTTTTTTATAAGATGTCTCTGTTTTAGTCATTTATGGAACAACTTGAAAACGATAATGCTTTAGTTTGAATAATTTTTTCTAATATCTTTTATAAGATAGTTTTTTTTCAAAGAAAAAACTAAAATAAAAATAGCAAATATGGGGAAAAAAATTTACACAGTGAGTGCAATTTTAAATTTAAAAGTTATAATCAGAATTCTAAATATAATATTTAAGAAGGAAAAAAAAAATTGTGAATTTGTATCATATACTGTCTAAAAGATCTGGAGATTTTTATTTGAAGTTCTTCAAAATTATAACACTTTAATTTTCGGTTTTTTTATATACTGTTTGAAAGATCTGGAAATTTTAAACTTTCTTTTGAAGTACTCAAAACTATTTCTGTAGTATTTTTCGATGTATTTTATATCTGAACTGTGTTATTCTTGAAGAATTTTTTTTTATATTGGCATATAAAAATATGAGTTTCTTAAATGGCACGAGCTAATGAAAAAGCTCTTTGAATGACATTGTCAGTTTTTGTATTTTCAAAAACAATTTTAGAAATTGTGTTTTGTTGTCATAAAACTTAACATTTAGAAAATTAGAATTTGTATTACTTCAAATAAACATAAATTTGAAATTTTTAAATGTTTAAGTAGAATTTGGTTTCTGCAAGTTGATTTTAAAACAATTAGTTGATATTAATACAGTAGGGAACCGATTATCCGGAACGATCGGGACCATCGCTATTCCGGATAACTGATTTTTCCGGTTTTCTGAATCGCTACAAAAAGCCATTTTTTTTTTTTTTTTTATTGTTAAACCCAACTAAACAAAAAAAAATTTTGGGAAATAATCTTAAAAAGAAGAAAAAACAATGAAGTAATACTCTAATGATTATTTCCAAAATGATGGTAGGGTAAACATCTTTCAAAAAAGAACAAAAAATCCTGAAATCTTATGAGGAAAAACACATTTTTTAAAAAAAAAATGGCGGGAAAATTTATCGAATTTCGTTCCGGTTTTTTGGTCTTCCGGTTTTCTGATTTCCGGATAACGGGTTCTGTACTGTATTTCATCTTATTTACTGCTAAATAATTACATTCATGTAAACAATGCTGAAATACAGCATTTTCATATATACTAACAATCATGGAGGTAAGCTGAATTTTACCTACTCAACTTCTAAAATTTTTTGTTATTAAATGTTTATTTGCATGTAGTGGAGTTGTAAAGTAATAATCAAGCGAATTCACGATCATTTGTTATTATACTTTTTTTTATCATGATTAGGGTTGCAAGTTTGTCGCGGCGCGAATTTTCGCGACTGTTTCCACGAAATTTCAAGTTTTTTCAAAAATTCGCGAATTTTTTAAAATTACGCGATTTGAAGGAAAGTTATTCAATTCGCGCGATTTAGATGAAAATTATTCACAATTTGAAGTTATTTTTTTCTGTTTTATCTTATCAATAAAAATATATTTGTAGTTATTATTTTTCTGAAGTTTAAAAATTGATTATATTTTTTCAAAGCATTCACAAAGGTATCTAGCAAAATGTTATTAGAATTGGGTTAGGCTCTATACAAGTTCCTCGCTTTTGTATTAAAATTGAATATCGTGAACTAACTGAAAGATAAGATTTTCTACATTCTAATTCTTCATAAATCTATCAATTCTTATCTCCCCCTCCATTGACCAGAGGGACAGTCCTCTCACTGTATGAGCCCCTATCTTATAGCACTCACCATGTAAAGGGGGGGGGCAACCACAAGACATTTGTAATTAACAAATTATTTGGGGGATTGAATTTCATTGCTGGAATTAGTAGGACTGAATGAAAAGTTGATTGAAGATTGGTGGTCACAAAAAGGGTGGTCTTCTTATCTTTTTGTTGACTGATTGACACCAGTGCCTCCCTTTCCTAACAGTCAACTAGAATATAAAAGATAAAGGAAAACAAAAGAAGAAAAATTGACTCTTTCACAGGAGTGAGTAGGTACATATAATAGTGAGAAAGTACATATATTTACACTGATTATTTCAATAGGTACAGAAAGGCATGATTTCGTCAACCAGCATCAAGCTTTTTTAAAGCATGCAAAGCTTTTGATCCTAGTCAATTCAAATACTTAGATGTTTTCCAAGAAGATGATAGTTGTTTTATTTTTAACTCTATCCCCATGTTTGAGGATGAAGAAGAGTTGAAGAACGAATTTAATGCTTACAAAGCGACAGTTAATGAACTACACGTTGAAAGTAGACAATTAACTCAGTTTGGGAAATCGAAGATGGAACGCTATCCAAAACTGTCTAAAGTGGCAATTAGATGTTTGTCAGTACCAACTAATAGCGTGGATGCCGAACGATCTTTTTCAAAATACAAAAATCTATTGAGTGATGAAAGGAGAAACATTAGCGAGAATAACTTAACCATGTATAATATTTTGTATCAAAATTCTGTACATTTAAGTAACGGCATTAATATTGCTTAAAAATAAAAAATTTGTAACTTTGTTATGTTTTTTATTATTTTTAAATTGATTTTCGGTGTAAATATCAGTGGATATGTTATCCGCGAAAATTTCGCGAATTTGTAAAACTTTTGCGCGAATCACCCGCGAATTTATGTCTTTTTTTTCCCGCGACAAACTTGCAACCCTAATCATGATCACAAATCTATGAACAAAAGTAAATATTTTCAAATTCTTTATTCAAAATATTAATCAATAGGTAGAAAGATTTCCATGAAATACTGTTTAATAATTTAATTACTTTTGGTTTTGGGCTTAACATGTTATTTAACCTTTTATTTTAAATTAACCAAAGCGACACCTGGTTTAAACCAAAAATCTAGGGTTTGTTTATCCACCTTTCACATGATCTAATTTTGTCATCATACTTTTTATCTTACCTAATTTGACCTCAAAAGTGTTATGTTGAGAAAAAACTAAAGAAAGACTTATCTTCTTCCTGAATGTATGTTTGTAATTAACATTCAGTAGCATTTTTAGTATGTAACATATTTGCATATCATTAAAGGACAATAATAGAGCTTTTTTATTTCTATGCATTCTTAATAAAGAGAAGAATATTTGTTAATTCTTAATAAAAAGAAGAATATATTGTATATTTAGAATATAAAACTAATCACCATGAATGAGACTTTTGCTAAATCAAACAGTCATCACAGTGCAGAGGAAAATTATTAAATGAATTGCATAGATACTTGACAATGAATTGTAGATACAAGTCTTGTCTGATTGAATTTCTTTTCTCTCTTTTTTTCAGTGTTCTGTTTCACATTTATCATCATCATATGAAAGGTAAGTAAGGTTCAAAAAATCTTGAATTTAGATTCTTGTTTTATTTGAGTAAGAATGGGTCCTTATTGATTACAATTTCTTTTCCAGTGCTAAAGTGCAATTGGCTGAATCGGATTACAAAATGTCCAAGTTATCTAAAGAGAAGGAAGTTCGCGACAAGAGAAATCTGTATAGACCAGAACATCAACTGGAAGAATTGCGAAATTTGCAAAAGCAGCTGAATCATGATCGAGCAGCTTGGCAGCAAGAAAAATTACATTTTGAATCTGAAATGAAGAATAAGAAAGAAGAGTTGGAAAAACTACAGGTATACAGAACAACAATTTATTAAATTTCAATGGTTCTTTTGGGTCAATTTTTATTTCATTTTTTAAAAACTTTTCTTTTTCATTAATTTATTTAGTAATGTGATTATTATTTTAAGCATTTATGTATTCATCGTTTTTTCTGAGAGCATTTACACTCATAGTTTATTTTAATATTTTTCATTATTAAAATCAAAAAATATTTTCTTAATAAAAAATTAAAAGACATTTTTTAAAATAACCTAGCCAGTTATTATTAATGGACTTACAAAAAAAATTAATGGCTCATGAAAGTTGGAATAAAAAAGAGTTACAAATTACATTCATGTACTCTATTTCATTTTTAAAAAATTTAAATTTCATGTTTATTTTCAGGAACAACTCAAAACAGAACAGACAGATGTAACCCATCAGAGGGAACTTTTATATCGCAAATTAGATGCACTACAAAAGCAAGGGATCATATTGAGCCCTTCCCATAATGTTGTGAATCTTAACGCCTGTTCAGTTCGTGATACCGATGCCAAAGAGGAAGGCCATAACTGTATTGTAATGTCTGAAAATGTGCATCCAACTTCAGCTGACTTTACTCACCGACGAACAGTCTCTTACGACCTGGGTCAAGATCGGTCAGAAGAGCAAATACCGTATGTGTCATCTGGGTCTAGCTCTGCAGCTCCATCTCATCGAATAGACTCTAAAAACAGACCCTCTCTTAATGTATGTGTCAACACATCCAGCAACAAAGTGGTGCCTTTGCATTTATCTAACAGTGCTACAAACATGCAAAAGCGACAATCTGTTGCTGTTCAACCTATTAAACAACAGTTACCCTTAAAACTGGCCAATACTTTTTCTGCTAATGGTGCAAATATAGTTCCAGTACAAGGTGGCCCACAGCAAGTGTTACCTATGAAACTTGCACTTGGTTCACTTGCACAAGGTAACCCTACTTTAAATGTTGCGGAAGGGAAACATGCTCCAAAAAGATCGCACAGTGCTGCCAGCAGTCCTTCCTCAACTTTGACCACTCCAGTGCATGTGAGAGGTGGTAGCAGTCCAGCACTAGTACAGACTACTTCACCTACTGCTGGCACTGTTTCACCCAAATACAAACCTGAGAGCAGTATTTTGCATCACCTGAAGCTGACGAATGATAAGTCAAAGAATAAGAAAGATGACGGCAATAAAGAAATATTTTGTTGAGTTAAATTGATCTCTTCTTTACTTACACTTATTGTGGAAAACTTTGATTGCTGAAGTACAAAGTGTTCCAATCTGATGCTGGTCATCGCACACTTTTGAAATGAATGGAGTAGTACTTGATTATTGTTGATGGTCTTACTAAGTGATACAGCCACAATTGTTTTACACTTAATGATGTTTAATGATGATATTTTATAATCTTCATTGACAGTTTTTATTTCCTCCACTTTAAATGAAATATTTATGAACATGTGGTACTTCACCATTTGTATTTTGTAAATATATGTATAAAATTGTCTGTTCTGAAAATGGTACTTGTGAATACTTATTTATGTAGTGAAATCGCACCAAAAGTTATACAAAGTACATACATTGCATTTGTGATTTGTTTCGCATTTTTTTTTATTTATTTTCGGGACCAATAATAATTATTAAGTTTGACTGCAAGCAGTGTGATATTGTTTTTAACACAGAATTTATAAATTTTTGTACAAAATAGTATTATCTTGTATGTTATATCACAAGCATGTTAACTTCTTGTAAATTTTGTAGGAGTTCTTTTGCAAATAAAAAATAATAGTTTTAAAAACATGAAATTCATGACTAGATGTACACTACAATTATTTATTTTTTAAAGCAAATTTCATTGATTTTTGCTATATATATTTTTTTGGTCATAGTAGCATGTAAATAATAATGCTCTCATATGTATTCTTTCATATCCTTACATATGTACTACTAACTCAATTATCAATATTGCTTTGATATGTCTTTCTTGTGTGATAATTTTCTGTGATCATTAGTTGAGTGCTGTAGTATTTTCAATTCATATCTCTTCGCAGATCATAGTAAACACTCTCATAAAATACTCTATATTACTATTTTTGCTCCCTTTTTAAAGCACTGTCTTGAGTAGATAGTATGAAATCTTAAAACTCATATAATGTCTTCCCTTTTTCTCTTACCATCTGTTCTTGAAAATATCTTCTTTTGTTGTCCCTTAAAAGGGATTTGCTCTTTTTAGGTAAACACAGGTACCATTATCCTAATGTATACCAATTATCATTTCTTCTTTTTTTCCCCATGAAGTTTTCTTTAAAACACTATTTGATCACAATGGAAGACGAGATACACTTTGTGCTGCATATGAATAAAGCTAAAACAGCGTGAATAAAAAGCACCTTATTCACGTTGTTTAGATTTATTCACTGTTTGATAAGCTTATCCAGATTAATGATGTTAACCTGTGGTACAGTTTAACCAATTCTGGCTTCTGTGCCATTAAATTCTATATTCAACTCAACAATTGTTATTTTTTGACAATTTCTTGATTCTCTTTTTTTTTTCTCTATTTACATATGATTGATTTAATTTGATTCTTAAAATATAGTAATTATTTTGATTTATTTTGTGTTTTTGTCAACGACTTTGAAATTTTGGTTTGGAATGTCTGTTAAGTTTGTCTGGTAATTTTTAATTAATGCCTAAAATATTTGCACGTTTTTGATTATGTTTACTGCAGAACGGCCAAAATTTATAGTATTTTCATTTATTGTATTTACGTCTAATAAAATCAGCTGAAATTTAAGTATTTATTATCAAGATATTGAAATCAGCAATGTATAAATTACTAATGATGTGATAATTGGATGAATTAGGTTTCTCAATATAATAATTTTGAACCGACTGCATTTTTAAATTAATTAGCTTAATGAGTTAATAATTTACTCTTAATGTAAAAAATAGTTTTATTTTGAACAAATATATATTTTGCTGTTTATATTCAAGTAATAAACTTACTATATATGTATTTTAGTTTGCCTAATTGTTCAATCGAAATTGAATTAAAAATGTCTATTTATGAGATTTATTTGGCTATGTTTGTTTTAACTAGAGTTTGATGTCTCTAAAAATGACTACCACAAGTCATATTTTGTAAGTATTTGAAGTTTAGCTTTTACTTGTTGTCTAATTTAATAATCTAGTATTTAAAATCATAAAAATTTGTAAAAATTTTTAGATTACTGTATAATCTAATAGACAACTTCAAATCTATAAATTGTAATTTTGCTGCTGAATATCTTCATTTTTCAATGCAATTCTTCTGTTTTGTGAAGATAAAACTTCCTGTATAGAAAAAAATTCTGATATTTAATTATTAGAAAGCAAATCATTGTTAGATAATTTTTCATTTATTTCTATTCTTGTATTTCAAAGTTTTATACAATAACGAACCTATTGGGCGCCCATTAACGTTCTTATTATCTGTATTAATTTCATCTGTTTGCAGCCGTAGTTATAAAAGCGGTGTCAGAGTCTAGTAAAGTGGCTATGTGCTGCAACAGACCACTTACAGTCCCACCTTATGAAAAAACTACTGAGTTATTTCTATCCCGAAAAGGGATACACGGTAAGGAAAAAATTAGTATTCAAATTTGTTGAGCCTCTTTAATTTAGTATGAATGGATACCTTTTGGACATTAATGTTTAGAAAAAAATGCTTTAGAGGTGAATTTATTTGTTTCAAATTTCCTACATTGTGATCTAATGAAATGATATTAAACAAATTAAATGTCAAAATTTTTTTTTAAACTTTCGGTATTTGAAATAAATGTATCTTGGGATAATTAGTTTGTTTTTGTTTTTTTTTCCTTCCAAAAATATTTCCTCACGTCACAGTGAATGCCAAACAAGTAAATGTGCGTATCTTTTTTGTATTAATGTCCACAACCTGCTTACTTGCTCTAAATTGCTGATACCCATATTTTTTGTAAAAATCCTTAAACCTTGTTTACTCACAACAATTTTTTGTAATATTTTTAAAAAGTCCAGGAAATTTTTCATGTTTAACATAAATTGAAATCAAATAAAATTATTTCATAATTCATTTCGTATAATATCATTATTACTTAAATAAATTTTATTTTCATTATTTTTCTTTTCAATTTTGTTGTACTGTTCTTAAAATTATTTCATCAGTTGTGCCATTTTAAGAAATCATCCATCAGTATTTTTGATTATTTGTTGTACCATTAATACTTTTTAGTGCATTTGTATATTGTCAAGTGTTATTTATTTTGCTTTATATTAAGAAACGTCTGCATTTTGAATTGTACATCCACGGTGAAGGGTATTAAATAATTTTATTCCTTTATGTGCTGCGTGTGCAGAAATAAAGTCTTTAATCCTGTATGAATAATTTTTGTTATAAATAAATCTGTACAACATTATCGTGCTGCATTTTATTTTTTAGTTTTGCTATTAAGTTAAATACACTTTAAAAGTATCAAGAATTTCTCTCTATCAGATCTAAATAGCTTATATTGTCAAGATTTGTAGTTCCATAAAACTACCAGTTTGAGAATATAAATCTAATTCTTAAAAAAATCCTACAGCTCTGATTCAAAATATTAGAATAATTGAAAAATTCGACATTAAAAACTCTCTTACTTTATTTGTTTTTTACTAACTTAAACATTTAACGAGTTAAGTCTACATATTTCACAGTTTGTTTTAACATTAAAAAAAAATCAAAATCGAACATAAATTATCTACACAATTTATTTGTAATAAAAATCAAATTATTAGAATAAAATTTTGTGTGGTTCAAAATATTAGAATAATTTACTATTAACTTGAAAATTCAATAAACAGATCAAGAAAGTTACCTGATATTTTGTAGCATCGCCTTTAGCTTTGATCACTGCTTATCTAGACAACCTTGCATATAATCAACATGTGTTTCACATTCTTTTTTATTTACATTAGTCCAAGTAGACTTAATGTTTTGCACTAGCACATCTTAGTTTGTAGGATCAACGTCTTGCAGGTTTTTCTTTACTATAAATTTTCACTTTGGATAAGATCTGGTGAATTTGGCCTCGGTGACACTGTAATTATGCATTGCTGCAGCCAGATTTTAGTTGATTTTGATATATATATGGGGAAGCTAAATCTTGTTGAAAAATAAAATCATCGTCAAACAAGTTTTTTGGTAGTGCCCGAGAATATCTTAACCACTTCCCGTACCAATTTTTGTTGGAATAAAATTTAAAAAATTGTTATATTTTTTTATTATTTCATTAATTAAGGGGTCACAGTACCTTTGCAACAATTTTTTAAAATAAAGGTATAATCATTCATTTTGAGGATGCTTTACATGCTCATTTAAGTTATAATCAATAATTTATCTTCAAAAAATGATTAAGCTGTTTAATTTTTTTTAAATTTTAAAAAAAGTTTAAAAAATTATAAATTTTCAAATCCCTAAGGCTTTTTTATTTTAACATATTTTCCAAAAAAGTTTTTTTCATAGTGCTTGCAATATTTATCTTAACAATTTTGCGCATTCATTTGTGTATATATCTATTAGAATATTTTTTATAGATTCTTTTGTAAAAAAGTGTAAAAATTCCTGTTAGGTATATATAACATGCCGTAAAAATTGTAATACCTCATAAAATGCTTATTCCATGCACAGTTTAAATAAGTGTATTATACTCAAGATAAAAAAGTTTACTTCAAAGCTTTATCTTAAATAGCAAAAATTCCTTAGGGATTTAATTAAGATTAAGACACAAAATTATCATCTATGCGAAAAAGCACTTCCAAGTCAGACTGCTGAGCAAGTTTCTGTATAAAAACAATTTAAAATCATTCATAACTTTTTTTAAAATGTAGATAGAGAGATGAATTTCTTTCTGTACATTTGAGATACTTTGAAGTTTCATTATAAGCAATAAAAAAAAATTTTGGTATTTTTGTCATTTTTTGGGTACTGTGATCCCTTAATACAAGGATAAAAATTGTAAGTTGAAAATTTAATTTTTTTTTATGTGGAAAAAACATTTTAATTTACTATCCCGAGTTATCTAGTGCTAAAGAAAAAAACTTAAATATTAGTCTTAGTATGATACTTTTTAAAACAAAGAACAACACAAAGTAATACTTTCCAAACGTCTGTGAAGTGATACGCCATTCTTTCTTAACTCTTTTTCTTCTCCCCCTATGTAAAATCAGCAACTATCGTATATGCAATCACCACAAAACATGTGCGTAGTCCCACATTCCAACAACAAAACTTCCAATCGCATCAGATTATTATTTTATTTATTTATTTGTTTCCAACTGATTAAAAAAAGTACTGACAAATTCTGCTACGCCGTTGTTGTATACCAGAGTTTACTCGGAATAATCAGGAAAGCGGTTAATAAATATCTGAATTGACTTTTTCTTTGAGGATAATCGGGTACATGCACTTCAAGAAGACGAAGATCACGAAAACCAGCACATGTGATTAAGAAACTCCTTTATTAAAAGAAACTTCACGCAAAATTTAATTTTTCATGATACAACAACGTAATAAGAAAAATGAAGAGTTTGGATGGATTTTCCCCTTCATTTGGTGTATAAAATTCCAATTTTTTTTGCAAATTTTTAAATTTTTTCCCCTCTTGATTTTCAAGTTTTTAGTCTCCTTTTTCCTTTCCAAAATAATAAGAATACTTAACAATAGTTTTGATTAAAAGTCTTCGTGCTAAAATTCTACCAAACTTTCTTGCGGGAGTTTCGATTTTAGTCACAAGTGTTAATGAATATTTTTGTTGTTTGGAAGAAAAATAAGTTTAAAAATTTGCAAAAAAGAAACTAGAAAGTACGATTGTTTTTAATTATTTTATTTTACAATTTTAGAAAGAAAAAGTCTGCCTATCTGCTCTACAATTGCTCATGATTCACTGATTTTCATCCTTTTAGAAGAAATTCTCTCGCAGCTGTCCTGATAAGTTGAAAGGATTCACTGTGTGAGGACTTCCTGACCTCTTTTACTTATCCACTTTTAGTCAACAAAAATGCAGCTAAATATATTTGATACATTGGTAATTTCAGTTTGTTCAAGGGCGAAAAAGAGGGCTCTGTCATTAAAAAATTTGAAAGAAAAAATTTAAGGTGGAAAATCCCTCAGAATCTCCCTCCTTAATAGAGCTGTTCAATTTTTAGAATTTTTTAACCCTCTTGTTCCTTGATCGAAGTCGGGTATAAATTATTTTTCCTTCTGCTGAATCGAAAATTATCGCAAAGTGATAAACTTAGAAGAGGTTTGTTCCTGGTAAACAGTGAGTAGCTGGGATCATATTCGGATTTTAAGAGTTCATTGTGCGTAAGAATCAACAAAAACTGTGACAATATTCTTATTTTCTTACTTTTTTTTCAGGGCAGTGTAATTGCTCTTCATTTAATGTCAATTTTTCTTAAAAATCAAAATAAGATTAGTTTGAGGTTATTATTTTGTTTTGCTAGATAATCTTCAGACTTCAATAAGGTTTTTTTTTTTTTCAGTCTGAAGCATTTATTTGTATTCCTGAATATATGTTTTATTAACATTCTAAAAATATTTACATAAGGGGTTAATATTCAGTATATTCTCAACACCATAATTTCGAACAAAAGTACTAATTTTTGTTAATTTATTCAAAAAATAATACAAGATATATTTAATTTGAAAAATACTAAAATACAAAATTATTAAACTAGCAGATTTTAAAATATATAAAAGTCTTACTTAATAATTTTTGATGCCTCAGAATTTGAAAATAGTCACAATAATGTCAAATCTGTATCTTACGAATTTTTATGTATATGTGGAGTCCTTTATATATATATATATGTGTGTGTGTGGGTGGGTGTTTAATTGTATAACCGTCGTTGAACAGCCGACCCAATTTTGAGTTTACGACTGCCAATGTTCAACGCCGTAGCCTTGTAACTTTGAACCCAAATCCATAAGACAAGAGAACTCCAGTATCAAGTATTGGGAGAAATTTTGTCTTTGTGGGGGAATATTTTAGGGAACTAATCAGCATTTACGCTACATGGAAAGGAAAACCACGAAACCCTGCCACGTTAGTCTGACTGCAAGAGGATCCCTTCTGCAGAGGATCAAAATTGCGATGGCATGTCTTCGGATCATCCTCATGGATGTTTCCCAGACCGTCGCCAATAGCCCATTGTGCAGCTCTAGTGCGACGTAAATGAACAACAACAACTGACTGCAAGAGGACTCTAACCCATGATCAGTCTACCACTGAGGTTATTTTGCGTCAGCACTGTGGTCGGTGCAACCCGGGTGCAAAATTCGTATTGAACAGCCATCGCTGCTATTCGAAGCTCTATCAGCTGAGCCACCTCGAGGTATACGATCCGATCTAAAACGTATCCTAAACGTATACGATCCGATCGGATCGTATACGTTTAGTTTTCTTGTCCAAAAATTAAGAAAAAAAATTTATGTTTTCGGATTCGGAAAATAATATTTAATCAAGACAAATAAAAAAAAATACGTCTCACAAACTTAACGAGAAAAATGAGTTTAAAGACATCAAAAATTGTTTGATTGATACTGGTATTTCAAAATTTTTCTAATAGTATTTAAAATTAAAATTGTGAGGTAAAAGTTTCGTAATAACCACCCTTAATTCTTGTAAAAAAAAACATTGCAATCACATAATTTTTCTTATAGAATACGTATAAGTTTCTAAAAAAATCGATTCATAATACTCCACTTAGCAGTTTGTGATCAAAATTTATATTGAAAAAAAATAGCGCGTGAAGTCCCTCCGCGCGGAAGAAGTTAAACTTCGCAACCTCCGACGTTAATTGTAGAGGAATCAGCAGTCGTAGAAGGATCACTAGTTCTATTCAACGACTCTTTTTCCTGCTCCGCTCGCTTCCGTGCTCTGTAATCACGGTAATATTGTGCATTTTTCCCTCGTGGACCTCTTGAACCAGTGGAAGTGCTTGTGGTTGCCTCATCGTCTCGCCCTGGAAAATGTATTTGTATTAATAATGTATGTGAATGCGTCATAATGTAATTTCAGAAGAGAAAACCTAACAATCAATTGATATTCACAAGAGACGTACCTTGACATAACCTTAAATCCGTCGCATTGTCCGTGGGATTGTTTTCACTCATTTTTTACAATTGTTATCCACTAAATTTGAAAATAAAAAATACTACCCTATTAAATTATATGTGTATCAAAACAAACTAAAAAAATATTTATAGCTTTTATGACTTTTGTTATTTTTATGCTAGTGTGAACCAAAACAATATGGAAATGAATGAAGGAAAACTGGATCCTACCACGTTATTTCCCGGCCAATAAAAATGTAGCGTTAAACGTTTAACGCAACCTTGTTGGAAGTCGCATAAGAAGTATAACTTCAACAACAAAAAAAAAAAAGTAAACACAAGCTATCGTTATTTTAACAACCATAATGTATAAGCAGTGAGTTTAGAGTGTGTGTCTAGTGGTACTATTAGTAAAGAAGTGAGAAAATAAATTAAGCATACGTTACAATTTCGAAAATTTACGTTAAAAAAAATTGGCATTTCATGGTTTTCTTCTAAATAAATATTATCTCCATCAAGTATTCTTCATTAACCACTGCCAATATTCTTAACTCAATTTTGGTTTTACATTTAGGGCAGAGGCTAGGATTTTAACGGTCCCCAATTTAAACAAAACATATAAGCTGCGTTTTAAAATTTCTTTCTTCTAAACACGTAGAAAGTTTGAAGAAACAAATCGTACAGATTACAATTATAAATGTAAAATGTGAAAACTAACACTGAAAAGCATAATTAAGATTTTATGAAAATTTAAGAGCAAAAATGTCAAGTTTACAATTTTACCCGACGTACCCGATTTTTTTTTAATAAAGAAACTGACTCTTAATACCATAGTTAAATTATATTGTAATAATATTCAGATTTAAAAAAAAAATATTACAAGTTGTTCCAATTTTAAAATTGAATGAATTTATGAGCAAAAATGCAAGTTTACAATTTTACCCGACGTACCCGATTTTTTTTAATAAAAAAACTGACTCTTAATACCATAGTTAAATTATATTGTAATAATATTCAAATTTTTAAAAAAAATATTGCAAGTTGTTCCAATTTTAAAATTGAATTAATTTGAATGAATTTATGAATGAAATTGTTTTTTGGTGATAAATCTCAACCGCCCAGTTCACCATCCCATTAGCACAGTCCTAGTCCTGACTGATATTCATCAAACATAAGCTCTAAAAATACAACAGATTGCTTCAAAAATATAACAGATTGCCAAACAAAAGAAAAGCCCCTATGGTATAACAAACAAAAGATAAGTTGTATCAAATATAACCAAAAATAGTATGTGAACAGTTGCTAAATACAAAATCATTTCCGCATTGTTGAAGTGAGGGTGATGTTTGTCATATGTTTGTAAAAACTAACGAATTTCTCTTCATTTTTGAGTAAATGTTTTGATAAAAATGAAAATAGAATATTCAAATCAGGTAAAAAAAAAAAATTCCTTTTTCAATTCTAATTAAATCTATATATTTTATACTTTATTTTCCGTAATTTGTTCCGTATATTAATTTGCTTAAATTTCGTAATAAAACCATTTGGAACAACCAGGCGAACGGAGATGCCCCTGAAAAGAGTAGTGTATTCACTGGAATCAGGGATATAGGTAAGGGGATACGCGAGGAAACGGTGAACCCCCAATGGTTTATCGAAGAAGAAGAAATTTCCCACGCCAATTTTGCAATATTTTTATTCCTTATAATATTTTTATTTACTGTAATTTTTTTTTTATGATTTTCATTATGTTGAAATTTTTTTAAATGCTTTTAAAGATGATTAAAACGTATAAGTTAAATGATTAGTAACATTTCTTTTTTTTTATTTTTATGTAGCATTACATTATGTTATAAACTTAAAACAAATGGAAAAAGCTTTCCTTTAAATGGGTTATAAGTATTTAATAGCATTTTAACCAAATGTAGCTAAAAACAAAGAAATTTTTCTAGGACTTTTTTTTTAAAAAAAAATATGTACGTAAAAAATTTGGAAAATTAGCGTTCCCACACAGGAAAATTGGCCGCCACAACATAGACTAGAATGAGCGAAAGCAGTAAAAAGTTTATTATTTTTGACAATATATTTCTTTTTCTTAATTGTAAAGAATATTTAAATTTTGATAATCCGAAACTTCACTCTTAAATTTGTTTGAAGATTATAATACATTTTTCATAAAATATTTTCTTGTTTAAACATATTTTTCTGTTAACAAAGTTAATTGCATAATAAAAATAATAGTTGTAAATTCAGATCTTATGTCGTTATTGGGCAAATGGATATCCCCATCGGCTAGATGCCTGGGCCATTGCCTCCTTCAGCCCCCTCCCCCTCAGCACGTCGGTGCTATTACAATCATATCTCAAAACCCCTACAGTTTATTGGTAGTGAAATCTTGTTTTAATCAAAAAGGATATATTTTTTCCATTTAGCACTACTTTGCTTAAAAAAAAAGATCTTGAGCGTTTCAGATCCTTATTAAATAAACTATTGCAAAAGAATAAACACTGTCGTAATTGTAAAAAGAGGAAGGCGGAAAATCAGTTGAATTGCCAAAAGAAAGAGTTCTAACTTCTTTCTTTATCGACTTTCGATTCCTTTGTGATTTGTCAAAATTTGATCGAATTTTTGTTTTCTTTTTGCTTAAATATTAACTCGTGACCCCAAACGCGCATACTACATGAAATTTTTCAAGTATATTTTATCTTATATTATATAACCGGTGGTGAACAGCCGACCCAATTCTGAGTTTACGACTAACAATCTTCATTTTTGCTACTATGAAATTTTGAACCCAACCCAGAAGACAATGGAACTACTAGATTAAGAATTGAGACAAACTAGTCTTTCTGGAGCCTTTCTTTATGAAACTAACCTGCATTTGCGCTACATTGAGTGGGAAAAAATCATTAATACCTTCCACGGTTAGACCGACGGTAAGAGGAATATGAACTCATGATCCATTTAACACTAAGCATATTTTACGGGTGTGGAATTCGTATCAAGATATCAGGTATATGTTTTTTTTTAATACCATTCGACCCAATTTTGAATTTACGACAACCAGAGTTCAACTTCGTAGCTTTGTAATTTTGAAGGCAACCCAGAAGACAAGAAATTCCAGGATTACGTATTGGGACAAATTTTGCCTTTGTGGAGGACTTTTTCATGGAACTAACCCGTATTTACGTTTTATGAAGAGGAAAACCTCTAACGGTTAGTCTGATGGCAATGGGACTCTAATCCATACTCAGCCTACTATTGAGGATATTTTACGTCAGTACTGTGGTTCATGCAAGCCTGGTGACAACTCGTATTGACCAGCCGTAACATAACATATTTACCATTTTATAACATATTCTATAACTCAAACATATCTTACATATCAACATATTGGGCCTGGCATTGCATGCAAGAGAACTACAACCTTATACATCATGGCTAGGCATTTCTTTCAGGGTACCCTACATAACAGCCTTGAATTTGAAACCCATTGAAGATATTATCTAGTTTCCGAAATGGAAAGCGCTTATCTAGAACAAGATTTTCTTCAGTGCTGTGAAAATGCGAAAACATTCGAAACACGAAAATTGATTCATTACCATCAATAAATACCAAAAAAGATGTCTTTATCATCTTTTTTTGGTATTTATAAATAATAAACTGATATTGCTAAGTTAGCAATAAAACGTTAAAGCCAAATTATCACCACAATGCAGAAAAAATTAATAAATAAATAAATCACCAGACGATAAATTTAATTTTGAATTTACATGAAAATATTTCAGTGTATGATGACATTTGTGGATAAAGTAAAAAATGGAGTTTTATACAGAATAAAATAGATATAATATGAAAAAATACATATATACGAAAAAAATACGTATACAGAACTTCATATTCGAATTAATTCAAAGTACTTTCATATATTGAAAGTGTACATATACTTTTAAGAGCCATTGTAAATATTTTATTGATATCAAAGTTCTCTATATTCTGCAAAATTCTGGGTTTTCCCCCCGTATTTCAAAAACTAGGTTTTTTTTCTTCGTATTCCTACGTGCGGAACTGCAAGGATTCTCTATTTAGTGCTCTGAAAGTCTCGTGTTTCGTCAAAAGGATTTCGAGCTCTTCTAATAACTTTCTAGTTTTCTTTTCTCGAAATATCCATGTAAAAGTCTAGACATCAGATAAACAGTTTCCTTCCTTTTATTTAAATCAGTTGTAGGCTCTGACTTTGGCACACGAACCCCCGACCTTTTGTCACAGGACCTTTGTGCCTCGGCTATCTCGGCTTACGATGCTTATTAAAATTAGAATTTTAGAATGGCATCGAAGGAAAATGTCAACAAAACAACATGTCCGAGGGGAGTTGTAATCAAGAAATTATCGATGATCGAGACATTTATTATTCCTTTTCTTTACAGGAGAACCCTTACGAAGATGGAGTACAGTTGGAAACACCATCGGAAAGAGAAGCTCCACTGACTAGTAATTTTCGTAAGTCGTGACTGTTTTATTTAATCAGTGTGTTGACATTTCACACATCGTCTTTGACAGGCATACTTCAAAGGAATTACTAAACCACCTTTTCTGTTCCAATTCATTATTTTACGCATTCTAACCTTAGAAATATGTGAGCTCAGTGGTGTAATACATTTTTTCGAGCTAAAATATGTCTGGTGTTTGTTTTGTTGAACTACTGCAATTTTCAGCTGATGTCGAATATATGAAAAAAGGTTTTTGTTTCCGTACTTATTTCGTGTTGATTGACTTTTATTTTTATTATTTGTATTACATTAATTTTACTACAAGTTACTTCATCCAACAGAAGTTTTTAGTGTTTATTCCTTGCATCACTGTTTTAAAAACTCTAGTTCTTCGTTCTATGTTAACTTGGGATAATTTTGTTAAAAAGACAAATTTTTTCAGATTAGTTTCAGAAATTTTCCTTGAAAGGAGGTAAATTACAATTTACGGTAAAATTTATTTTTTTAATTGACGTGAATTTGTTTTGATACTTCTAATACATCTGCTTCTGAAATGAGTATTTAAACACAAGGTTAAAAATTTTAATAGAAATGCCTAGCATTCATTAAATAAACAGTTAATGAATATACATAAATTAATATGCATTATTTAGTATTTATAAGCTCTTATTTCATTGAAATACTCAGTTTTTTAAATGTTGCAAAATATAAATTTGTAGTTATTTCAGAACCAAATATAAGCATTTTTTCATACTCCCTGAGTATACAGATTCTTGTATACTAGTATATCATAGTATATACTAATATATATTATACTATATAATTCTTATATACTATATATACTAGTATTCTTAATAAGTATATACTATACTTCTTATATACTATACTAGTTAACTGTTTTAGAAAACATATTAAAGCATAACCCAGCAAAATTATGTAGCAAAAACTCTAATTAAATAAACCATAGCTAAGGATTTTGTACTTGTAATAATACTTCATGCATTTTAAAATTTAATAGGATATGTTTAAATGTATTTGTCAATTGTGAAAGAATTTTATTTATAAGCTATTAACTTGTCTTATTATCCCCTTAATATAATTTGTACAATTTTGAAATATTAATTTTTTTATTTAAAAATATAACTTTCAACAAAGAACTGAAGTCATCATAAAAATGGGTCATTTTACCCATGGCCTTGTATCCCTATGATTCCAGGTGTGCTGATGCTATCTGAAATTTGTTATTTTTAATAGTGAAATTTTATGTCGATTTCTATTTAATGCTAAAATGGAAAAGAATTCAGTCCTCACATTTTTGGGATCCCCCCCCCCAAAAAAAAGAATCAAAATTATGGAATCAAAATTATTAAAATCAAAATTATGGAATAAGAAAATAAGATTTATTTAAAATTTTATAAGAATATGTGTTTTTTATTGATCCTTAAATGCAGACTTCTTCACTAAGAGCCATCAATGTGTGTACATATGAATTATAATGTGTATATATTTAAAATTTGAAGTAGAAAAAATAGAAAAAAAAATTGTTGGCATTAAGGAATCAAATTTGAAAAAAAAAAATTATTAATTTAATTTTAATAATGTAGTCAAAAATCTGGTGTACTAAGTGGTTCATTTTCTTGAGGGCCCAGCTAAATGTTTTACCTAGCAAAGTCTAGCAGCTGTTCTTGAAAAACAGTGTTTCATCTTTCTTCTTATTGGAAGCAATGTTTAACATTTCTGATGTAAACATTTAAAGTTTATATTTGGAGTTTAGCCCATGTCAAAAATATGATTATTTGATGTTAAAGTTGTATGTAGAAATTTAATATTTATGTGCATATTTTTTTTATATATTTTTTATAATTTTTTTATAACTAGAGGGTTCCAGATCATGTACTACTTCAACAAGCCAATTTCTTGATGACACTCCTCTTGGATATGCACAATTCCAAACAATTGATGATCCTGTTGATAACTCTGAACAATGGGATATGAATTATCATGAATCATCTATTTTCCTGGAAGTAATAAAATTTGTTAATCAGTGGTTGTTATTACTTTTATAATTATTTTATTTACTCTATTTATGATTTCGATAAGTTGTTTAACAGCATTGTATCTGTTTATAACACTACAATTGATGTGACATAGGTTGTAGATTAGTTACTTACCTCTTAGACAACTTCAAATGAAAAACAATGGGCGGATATTGAGATATTTTCTATTTATATATTAATTTTTATTTGAATAATATGATGTAAAAAGTACAGTTTGTCATATTAGAAACATATTTATGTTAAAATGTAATTTATTATTTACAAGAGTGTTAACTATTTTCTTTAAAATGTTAAGTTTCCTGTGTGTTTTATATATGTAAAGAAGGATAAAAAGTCTCACTGATAGTATCAAAAGTCTTTTTCATTAGTCCGTCAATATTTTATATGTTTCTTATGTTATAAAATATTTTTATTCTATAGAAATTTTCTATTAACTTTCATTAACATTTGTATAAGAATTTACAATATTCAAAAAAAGAAATAATCAAAATTATTGTATAATGAATGGAGCAAATTGAAATAGGACTGTAAATGTAATTGTTGAATGCCACCAAATACATAGATGTCCAACCTTTGGTGTGCTTGCCTTAGTTTGTTGCAATGTGGTTTGCACAGTATAACTCAAAATCTCATTAAAAAATTTGTGAGAATCATTTTGTCTTCATAAACTTTTTCATAATTTTTAAAAGACCTACTCATACTTACTGATTACAACAGTGCTGTAAAATGGCATTACTTGACACCATTTCAACAAGCAAATTTTTGAAATGGTGTCCAAAGCAATTTTCCAAACTTACATCATTTAGCTATGAGATATTTTTGTAGCTTTATATCAATATAAATTTCTGAGCACATGTTAATGTAAATATGAACCCAATGAAATTATGTACATGAAAATCAAAATGACTCAAGAACAACTGATATGCATCTAAAATAGCTAATTTTGTTGGAATCTTGTAAAACTTCTTAATGTGGATAATTTGGTAAAGAAAAACTTCTAATTCAAAAGCTATTTTAATTAAGTACTGTTTGATAATTATTTAGACTTTTATGTTAAAAGTACATACTAAATAACATAATCTAATAATATTTTTTAACCTCCACTTCTCAACTTGTAAAGGAATAGAGAAAAATAGAAGTTAAGTTTTTCAAATTTCAGTATGTTTTTAAGCAAGTTGGAAATTACTGATAATTGTTTCCCCACTACAGCACTCTTCTTAAAAAGGTTGGTCATCTTTAGCATGATGTATGCTAAATTAACACTAAATTTCTTATGCTGGCTTTTTTTTTATTTTTTTAAAGCATTAAAATTAATGGAAGCGATACTTTAAATATAGAGTGTGCAAAGGAATACCTATATTAAATATGATATAATTTTCTTATCGGGGTTTGATTTTTGGTTAAATAAAAAATTAGATTTTGTGTAAATAAAGGATTTTTCTTATCCAAACTGTGTTTTTAGTTATAAGGTTTTAGCCAAAAAATTTTTTTTAAATCTTTCTTAGAAATTCTGAATAACACTGCTATTTAATTCTTGTTTATTTGCTGTTAATTTCTACAAATAAATTAGGTATACCTTCACACATTTCAATGTTTGTTTTGTAGTTTATTAATTCTTACTCTCTATATAAGAAATATGAATGAGTGCATAACTTCTTTTTGTTCTTTAGGAAGGTGAAAACAATGACAAGTTTACATTTCATCCTAGAAATCGAGATGCTCTCCCAGCATATAACTTGGTTCACAATCAGATTTTTTATTTTTGTGATCTTGTCGCTTCAGTTGCGCTCTTGAGCTTAGCATTAACAGAAAAACCTGCTGTTGCAGGTTTTGCTGTCTCAGAATGGGTTAGTAAACTGCAAATATTTTTCAAACTTTTTAGAAAAATTACTTTCAGTTAGTACTTGTTTAAGTGTGCCTTGATTTGTTTTCTTCATTATTCTGATCTTGAATTTAAAAAAAAAAAAAGTCCTTACTTAAGCTTTTAAAAGAAATAATTGCTATCTGCATGCAAATTATTTATCCTTGAAAAGTTAAAGAATTAAAAAAATTCTTATTTTATAATATAATAATTTTAGAAAGTGCAAAGTTTTGTTTAAAAATTCATTTGTGCCTCAAAAATTTAGTTATTTCCTGTGGATCCATAGTTTCAAAAATCCACCAGAGTCATTGAGTTTCATTACTGTGTTCATATCATTAATATACCCTTTCATATCATTGATATTTTGTTTTCAGTTGTCAATGAGACTTTCTATTTGAGCATTTCTTAATAAGCATTTCTTAACATACAAAAGACATAATTTTGTTATGAATGTGAATTAATGTTATGATTACATCAATATCAATAACTATGTGAATATTTTATTATTATTATTTTGTTAATCAAGGTGCAAAAGATCTGTTTCACATAATGAATGTATTTTTTAAGTGTATCTTTAAAATTATATGTCTGATTCAGAAACAAAAAATTTGCTTGTTTTAAAGTGTTTAAAAATGTGTTTAACAGATTCATGCCACAATTGAGTTGGTATGTCTTTCTCTGATGTGTGGGGAAATTTTTCTGAAAATTCGATGGATGGGAAATCAAGCCTTTTTTCGCCATAAAAGAAGTGTGATTAAGGTGACTATGCTCTTGAATTTTATGTTTCTTAATTTAAAATGTTATCTTTGAAGTAAAAAGGAAAAATGTAATGCTTTTATATTTAGTTATTTAACCTACTGGCGGTTAAGGAAATGGGCAAAATTGGGAGAATGTTTCTCCCCTACACACAGTTCCCCTATCAGTTAACATGGGAAAACCGGTTTTGCTATGCAGAGAAGACTGCAGGATAAAATGCGACTTTTTACGTGCAGAACCGCCAGTGGGTTAATGTGATAAAAATATTTTTTAGTATTATGGTCTTTTGAGTTATATTTTAAAACAACTTCGTAACAACAAATGCAAAAATTATGTTTTATTTCATGAAATTTTGGTGTATAGAATTAGCTGATTTATTTGGATGTGTAACAGCAATATTGAAATGCATTTAGAAAGCACCATTAATATTTCTCATTGATGTGCAACAGTTCTATGTATATGTATATATAAAATGTTTATTGATTTATATTTTTACTCATATGCTTTAAACAATAAACAAAATCTTTATAATGTGGTATAATCATTTGAATTTTATATCTTTAAAAAATAAACAAGAAATTATTATTTACTATGAAGTAAAATTAAGAATTAGATAAATGAAAGCATTAACTTTTATTGAATTATGAAATGATAAGTCACGAATAATATTTTTAGTTATAAAAAAACAAATAGGAAGTGTTTTACAGTAATTGTTATATTTTCTAAAAATTCTTTTTAATAATTAGTTCTTGATTTTTAGCTTGTGGTTTTAGTCATCATGATTGTAGAAGCATTCGTTGTTGCAGTCCGTCAAACCAGCCATTTTCGTGTAACTCGTGCATTGCGACCAGTTTTTTTAATTGACAATCATTATTGTAAAGGTATCCGCAGGTATGTTAAGCATATGTAATTTTTTTAGTATTTTAATTTTGAAAGATATGAAGTTAATTATAATGTATATATTATTTAAGCTAATTTAAATATATTTTTAAAATTTTGTCGTATTTATAAAGTAAAATTATTTAAAAATAAAGTGATTTGCTAATTTCAATCAATAAGCTTGCTTTATAATTTTTCAGTTTATTTTTTCTTTAATTAAATATTTCAAGAATGGTTTAAATATTAATAATATTACTAATTTTTGCAATAAGAAATAATTTTTTAAAATTATTTAAATAAAAAAATTTCTTAAATGTGTCAAAAAAATAATGAATTTTGTTTCAAGTTGTTAAATTATTAAAGTATGCAATTTTAAATACCGTTAGTAGATTGAAAACAAATAGTTTATCTTTAAATTGTAGTTTAAAATACTATTTTTGATCATTTTTTTTATTTAGTTTTTTAATTATAAGTTATTTTGATGTTCCATTTCATCTTTATAGTTATATATTATTGCACATTGTTTAGATGCTTCAAATGGAGAGTTAGTTAATGTAAGTTGAAAAACTTTTGTAATTTTGCTTTGTGCATTTTTCAAATATTATTCAAATTGTAATTTTTTCTTACTTTTATATGCTTGTTTCTATTTTTAAAGTTAAATTTAAAGCATTAACCACTAATTTAACCACTTTTTTAAATAATTAACTTTTTGATTTCGAAAGTTGATTTTTAATGTAACAATTTTGGAAATTAGAGTAAATGTGTATTTAAGTTGCTATCTTCTAATTGAGTTTCAAGAGTATGCCGTATGAATTTTTAAAAAATGTATAGGTTAAATTTATAAAAAATTAGCATCAATTATAATTTAGTAAAAGAATTCTTGTGTTTCTAAAAACTTTAAAGTTAAAATATTGGTCAAAACTTTTAAAAACAATTGTGTTATTAATTTTTTTAATTCATACTTAATTATTAGAGCATAGACTATTATATTTCTATGTTGTAGTTTCTAATTCAAAACAAGATTCTCAGAAAAAATTATTTTTTAAAAGTAACCTTTTAGACTTGTAATCCTCAAACATATTCTGTAATTTCTTTCATATTACCACTTTAAAAAATCAAACTGTTCAACAAAGTAAATTTGTTAAGTGTACTGTTTTGGTCAAAAATATTTTGATTATTTTTTTCCTAACAAATACTATTATGGTTGATTCAATTTGTTATTCAAATTATTGAAATTGAACTGAATTGAATTATTTTAAAAGTTTTTTTGAAACTCTTAATATCTGTTAAATAGCTGCAAGCCAACTTTACTTGAAGTAAAAAGTTTAACAGGAAAATTATTTTTAAAAAACAATGCAATTATGTAATGACTTTATAATTTCTATACTGAGTTTTTAAATAAAGTATAATGCACAGTTATTTTTTTAAGAATACTTCGTTTATGTTAAAGTAAAAGGTAATTGTTATCATATTACATATGAGTGAAAAAATATTGAGGCCTTCAGAACATGCTTTCTATGCTTTTGCCTCCCTGCTTTATTTCAGCATTTTTTAATTATTACTTCTTCTTCTTCTTTTTTTTTTGTTGCATTTATTATTTGCCTGTAGATTTGAAAAGAATCTTAAGTGCAATAAGTAAATCATATTTCTGATTTTGTGTAGGAGGGTAGATTATTTTCAATGTATTATTACACTGTTATTGCACTGGTCTAGTTCTCTTTTCTCCTCTCATCAACTTTTTTGTATTGTGTTGCATTTATTAGCATGTTCGATTTTTTTAAAAATAATAAATAATTCATATCAAACATTGTTAACAAATTTAAAACCGCACCATAATAAATGTGAGTCAAATATGGCGTATCCTTTATGCTCATGCCCAACAGAAGACTGACTAATTTCAAAATCAAAAATAGAAACAAAAAATGATAGAGAAGTGAAACAAGTGGTATGTCAGTTGTGAGAGCTGTAAAAATTTTTTGCAGAAGTGTTAGAAATTGGTGAGGAAAATTGCCAACAGATGGTACTACAAGCCATTGATGAACAGAGCAATCAGTTTTATCATTGAAACATGAAAAGAGGTTGTTGTACTGGATTAGCTGGTACTATATATTCTGTTGAACACCATGTGTATCTGGTACTGGAATATCACAAATTAAAATACAGTTCTGTAGAATTTGCATTTTTTTTCAAACTCTGCACAGTGTATAATGTCATTTGTTTACAAAATTTCTATCTAATATTTGTACTGCTTTCACAGTGGACATACACATTGGTGACAAAATAATACAAACACTTTTATGTATATCACCTCTTTTCCCCAAGATTTTTAATTTTAAAATCAGTATTTTTTGTTAGACTGATTTTTAGCAATTAAACATTCAAAGAATATTTTTAGACATTGTCAAATGTTATTAAATTATTTATCGTCGATGTTTTTGAATATTTTCTACTCTTTCTTTATTTCATATAATGGAAATTATAGAGAGCTGCGATGGCTCAGTTGCTAAGGCATCGAGCTGTCAATTTGTATGAATGGCCATGCTTTTTATTCCTGGTGCCGTTTGTTGGTTGATCCACCATAATGTCATTGGTTTCGAAATTATGGAGCCTTCACTTCAATGATCTCTTAGAACTACAGCGGCAGAAGTGTTTTTTTAGATATTATTTATTTGTGAAATCTTATTTCTGTAGCAACTCTGTAGCAACCAAGCGATGCCCTGTGGTGCCACCTATGTCCTCACCACCGAGACTCAGTTCAAGTTCAGATATGAAACCTTAAACATGACTTTTCCCCTATCCTTGAGTTTTCTTAAATTTTAATTCTTTCTTTTACTTTTGTTCAAATGTAATTATGTTGTATCTGTGGTTATTAATTAAAATTCTTTATTAAGTGTACTTTTAGTCACTTTTGTCGTAATTTACATTGGATTAAGTTAGCCGGTATTCCTTTACACTACATTTCTTAAATTTAAAACAACTGTTAAAAGTATGAAATTGGATAAATATTTTGTTTTGTCTAACCTCAAAAAAGATTTCTATGAAAATTATGTTGTGTCACTGATGATACACAACAATTTATTTAGTAGTAATTCATTTAATGATAACTTTAGATTTATCTAAATACTACTAAAGTAAAATAAATTTCTATACACAAATTTTCAGGTTTAGTGAAGGAAGGACTTTAAATTCTAACCTAAAAATAATGAAATCAGAACAATTACCATTGAAATCAGAAATTTCTCTTCACTCTTTTTATTTATTTATTTATTTTTTTGCACATTGAGAGACATATTTTCTTTTTTATGTTTGAATTTATGTTTTTAGCTTGAAGTGAAGTTATGTTTTTTTGTTTCAGAGTAATTAGACAGATTATACAATCTTTGCCACCTATTCTTGACATGATGTCATTGCTCTTGTTCTTTATGCTTATCTTTGCAGTTTTAGGTATTATTATTTTTTTTAAATATTTCTTAAGAAAAATTTGATTACTATTTTTCTATAATGAGAGAGATTTTAGCTCATATTAAAATATTTCTTTCATTGCTTTGTGCTGAATAATCTTTATAATTTTAAAGACATCTAATTACAATTAGCAGCAACAGAATCTTGATGAAAAGAAATCAAAGTTTAACTATTTTTATAATTTTTTTTGTAAAAGCACAAATAATATTTTTTAAAAAAATCTAACTTTGTATTTTTATTATTAATGATAAATTTTAATTATTAAAACTACTTTATTTTTTTATAATTTTAATTTGTAATTTTTTATCATTTCTTAGTTTTAAAAGAAAATATGCTGTCATAATTTTAAGTGGTGTAATTAATTGAAATTATGGCAATGCTTAAAAGATAGAAATAATTCATATTGCCAGTTATGTTCTTTAATGCAGATCATGCTCTTTATGGTGTAAAAAATTTAGCTCCAAAGTAAATAAAGAAGTATTTTAAATAATGTAATATATTTTAAGAAATTTAATATTTTGAAAAGAGTACTAAAATAGTTTGCAATTTTTTTTAATACTTCTGTGAAAAACAACAGACATGTTTTTCATTTCTAATGGCACAAAAAGAAGAAAAAATGTGCAGGAATATATTCTGATTTTGATCAAAAGCAAAAAAATTATAAGTATTACAGGTTTATAATTTTTTTAGTTCATTTTTTTTTTAATTTATGGAAAATTTTTAAAAATATGTTATGATTTGATAGAATTATTCTAATTATTAAGTTAAGAAAAATTTCAGAGCAATTACTTTGCTTGTCACTTTGATATTTTAACATGTTGTGGTTTATTAGAAATTAATTTTGTTTTTAAAACTAATGTAACTATGTTAAATTGTATTTTATTTAACTGTACGAAATCATTATGTTTTGAAATTTATACTTTATTTTTCTTATTTAAAAAATTCAAAACTTTCTTTTTTAGGATTTTACATTTTTCGTTCAGTCGAAGAAGATACAGTAAGTGTTTTATTATATTTCAAATGCCTATAAATGTCTTATTATTTTAAAACCACATGGCTTTGCTTCTATTTTAGTATTTCACAAGTTTTGGCAACAGCTTTGTTAGCATGTTTGTTCTTTTAACCACTGCTAAGTAAGCACTTTATATATTGTTTTTTTTATTACTTAAAATTATTGATTTTATATTTAATTTGAAAAATTATGCATTTATTATAAAAATATTATTATTACTTGGAATGGAACCTGAAATCAGCTAAAAATTAAATGGAAAAACCCACGTAACTAGCATGAAATATGTTATAATTTCTCAAACTAATTTCGATAAACTTCTCTTAATAAAATGAAATTATGCCAATAAAATTTAGAAATGTTGGTAGGCTAACTCAAAGTAGAAATGACAAATGTTTTGATTTTTAAATTTTTTCTTAAACACTAGATAAGATCACCAACCTGTGACATTTATATGAATTCTAGATATTATCATAACACTCTAACATTTTAAAAGATTGCAAATGTTGCATTTTAAAACTTTTTTTAATTTCATTAAAAGTATAATCACTTAAAATTTGCTGACTAGTTTACTCAACTTTAGATTTGATTAGCATATTAATCAGCATGAAGGAATTATAAAAATCGACATTTTTATGTATTAGATGAGTTATAGTTATGAATGTTCGATGATTAGTAAATAAATAAATAAATTATCTTTTCTCCATAAAGACAGTGTGTAAGGCTTCAAATATTTTTTAATTCAAAAATATTGTATTTATACTTTCTATATATTATATATTCAATTTGCTTCTTTGCTATTTCGATTAAAACAAATTTAATTGTTCTTAATATACTTAAAATTGATAAAATTACAAGTAATTGATATAAAATTTGAATAATTAGTTATTTTATTGTGATCCCTAAAAGCTTAGAAAATATTTTGTAACCTTTTTCTGAGAGTGGGGTATACACCACTTAGGTTAAGTATGCCTAATATGTGTGGCTCTGTTTGTATAATTTTACTTATTAATTTGTTCATTATTCAGTTGAATTCTAATTTCATTTTTTTTATTAGCCTTATTTTTGTTTTGGCATATTTTTTCTATAATTCTCAAATTTTCAATATATTTCTTTTGCAAAATAGAGTTTAGTATGTATTTTAATTGTTAAATTCATTAATTTAATGCAAACTTTTGAATTATGTATTCTAAATCAACTGTTTCTTGTTTTATTGTCAGTTGAGATATAAAGACTGGTTAATATTAAATATTGATTAAATCTATCTTATCCTGTTATAGGGAAAACTTTTTGTGTTACATATAGTTCTCATACTTAAACTACTTATTATTAAATATTAAAGTTTCTAAGAAGCTTGAGTAAAATTTTATGAACTGAGTATCTTGCTTGTATTCTTAATCTGTTAACTCTTTTCGATTGTGCTGTTTGCATAACTTTTGCACTTAGTTTAATTTTAAAATAAGCTATTAATATGGTAAGATTTGTTAATTTTTTTATTGTATTTGCTATATTTTAGATACCCATTGCTTTTAATATATATGGACATTAAAGTATTTAACTGTTAACCTAAGTTATTGTTAGGATAAAGCTTGTTTAGAAATGATAATTTTTTATATAAATATTAAAGCTAATTTCTTTCACTTTATATATATATATATTAAACTATTTTTTAAATTCCTAATGATTCAAATTCCCTGTAATCAGAGACATAATATGCTTCTAGAAATACTAAATATTGTAATTTTCGTATAGTAATATCTTTAATGTTAATTTGTTAAACCGATAAATCTGTTAAAAATTAATATTTTTTTGTCAAATTAGATTATCCGTTAAATCTAAAAGAAAAATAAATTTAGTAGTTATAAGTTATTTGTTATTTAGCCATTGATATCCGATACTTTATATTTTCCATTAATATTTTTTTACTTGTTCATAGTAGATTTAGAGTCTGTATTGCATTTTCTTAACTATATTAAGCAAATTTAATAAAAAAACGTATGAACAAAGAACTTTTTTAAGTTATAGAAGCATCTTTAAAGCTGAACTTTAAGTGAACCAGTCAGACTTCATAGGTTCAGTTCTGTTACAGATGGAGATGATTTCTCTTTTGCATCTTTCCTTTTTTAATTTTCTATCTTTCCTCGTTTATTTATTTGTAAAAATAACAGTGTTACATAAATAATTTTTCCTTCTTGTAAAAAAATGTTTTTGTTTCCTAACGAGTTTTGAAAGTAGTGTAGAAATTAAAAAAAAAAAATAATAATAACTCAGTTACTCCCCTCTACATTTTGTATAGTTACCCAGATGTTATGATGCCTTCATATGCTGCATCTAAGTGGTCATGCCTTTTCTTCATCACATTCATCATCATCCATGTGTATTTTTTGATGAATTTAGTGAGTTAAAATATTTTTATGTTATATCTGTTAAATGTAATAATTGCTATCAAAAACATATGCCTGCCTTACTCGTTATTTATTTATTTTTATGTTTGTTATGCCAGGTTTGTAGCTCCTTTTGAAAAAAATATCAGTTTATTGATCATTTTTATGGTAATCTATAGTTATATCTGTTTCAAATTAAGAAACAGTGTTTCAAGTTTAGTGCTGTGAAACCTCATAATTTTCCACTAATGAAAAAGGCATTGTAATTTTCTCATTCTCAGGAAGTTTCATGTTATAAATTTTTGAATTAAAATACGATAATGAATGTATGAATAAAGAATTAAAAATTCAGTTGCGCTACAGTCCATAAAGGGCCAAGGACTACTGTACTCAACTCAGTTTTTTTGACCTTGAGCTCTGGAGTGTAGGAGATGTTCCGGTTGGGTGGTCAGCCGAGTGTGGAACCCCCAGTGTCTGAATAAAGAATTAAAGATAATAAATATGATTAAATTACTGCAACATGAATTAACACTTGAATATTTGAGCAATTAAATAAACTCGTTCGAATATGAACAAGTTAGACCCTTTCTTTGAATTTCAACAAAATTGGTGAAAACAAAAGTCATTCACAACATGAAAAATGTCTTTTTCCTCAGCTTTTAAAAGTTGTCTATAACCCCTCAGTAGAATTAAAATCACTAAGAATTGCTGAAAATCTATTATTTGGCCTCTTTGGGTATAAATTATTACATATAGCATTCTATTTAATTGAAAAGTGGAAATTTTAACCCTCTTTTTTTAATATGAACTTTTTTGAAATTTCCCACTTAGCTGTTTCGTTTGAACATTTTTATATTCAATGCAGAAAAGGCCTATACAGGGAAAAAATCAATACAGTTTTGTTCATACACTTTAATTTCAATGGAAATCAGGATAAATATTTTAAGAACTGAATTTTGATAATTTATCAGACCTGTACTTATGAAGTTGCCCATTATGTATGAAATATATTGTCATATGTTTCTTTTCTTATAGTTTCTATATTTCTTTGAATGTTATCTAGATGCTTGCAGTTGTATATGAAACCTTTATAAGAATTGAGAAAGACAAGTTTCGTAAATTATTATTACATCGACGCAAGGCATGCCAACATGCATTTAGATTGCTTGTTACTAGAAATTCTCCATTGCAAATGAGTTTTCGACATTTTGAAGGACTCATGAAATATTTTAAACCTAAAAATAGTAAGTCAAAATTAATTCTATTTTAAATTTAAGATTTTTTAATTTCTCAAATTATTTTTCTTTTACCATTATTAAAATTCATAGACATAGAAAAATACTTCAAAAAGATCTTTGAAAGTTTTGATTAACAACTTGAGTTTTCAAGATTTTTAAATCGAACCCTTTTGTTTAAAATTGTAAGTGCTTTACCATTATTTAACTTCACAGACAATGAAAAATAATTCATGAAAAGAATTTGGAAACTTATGATTAGCATCTTGAATTTTCAGGATTCGTTAAATATATGTCTATGTGAACCACTTTGTACTTTGAAATCATTGTAATAAATAAATCAAAATTGTTCTATGAAATGCATATACTTCACGACTTATCCAACTTATTTTTATATGAAAATTTTATTTTTGTGTTAAAATTCCTACTTTTTAGTGTTTTCAAGGGAAAAAAAATTAACAAACATGTTTTTTTTCATTTAAATGTTAACTTTTTATTTTTTGTCTGAAGCTGTGCTATTTTTTGAAGATTAATTTAGGAAGGAAAGCTTGGTTGTTTGTAACATAGTTATTCTTGTCCAAATTATTTTCTCATCAATTTTCTTCTTAATTATCTTTTATTACTTTTTATTACATTATTATTTTATACATAGTTATTTCTGTTTGGTTTATTTTTTTCCTCATCATTTTTTTCATCATGCTTTTTATTAACATATGCTTAAAGTTATTTCCATTTAGTATATTTTTACTCTCTTTCTTTTTTTCATAAAAATTTTTTTATCATGCTTTTTATATAAAGTTATTCCCATTTAGTTTATTTTTTCCAACCAATACAACTTTGGTAAGAAAATTTCAAACTTAATTTTTTTAAAAAAAATTTTCTTTTCTACTGACATTTATGTAGATTGTGGAGATATTTTAGTTTTCATAGTTGATATTTGACTTAGAATATTAGTTTTGTGAAACTTTTTATTTCAAAATTTTTTTTCCAGGTAAATTGGACAATTATTTGATGTTTAAGACTGTAGACATAAATAAAACTGGCTATTTGACCATGAATGAATTTTTAAATGTGTTTGAAGTTAGTCCTTTAAAGTGGAAGGTATTATTACTATTATTTTTAAGCTTTCATTCTTTCAAATCATTTTTTATTTATCTGCCAAATTTTATTTTAAGGATTTTATTATTATACCATGAAAAAAAATTTTTTTTTGTTAAAGATGTGTGTTGTATTTTTTTAAATAATAACTAAATGATAAACTAACTTTGATATATTTAAATGAGTTTTTAAATGAAATACTTATGTTTGGTTGACTTCAATAATTTTTCAATCAGACCCCTTAACCACTAAATGATAATGGTATGGGTTTGGCAAAGAATAATTCAAGAAAGATAACCATTAAAAAAGAAGACTAACTGATGAAATTTTACTAGTTATTTTTAACAGTAATTGAATTACTATACTAAAATATTTTTATTTGTTATAAATTTCTTCCCGTCATTTTAAGTTTACTGGGTAGGGGAAAATACCGGAAACTGCTAAATACTTCACTTAATTTAAAGTAGGAGTTCTAAATATTTATAGCATTAAATTACACACTTTTCTAATCAATTCAAAGAAGCCTTTCAGTGTTGAAATTTAAATAATAAAATATTTCTGCATTTTAGCATTAGAAAAAGTTTTTTACAGTGAGGTGTCCTCAAATGATTTCTTATCCAGAAGTTATGATGACCCACAATTTTAATTGAAGAGTTCATTCAAAAACATGAGCAAAATTTTTTTCAGATCTTCTATAGTAGATGATTTTCTTCTATAACAATGTATAGAAATTTAAAATCTGAAGTAGGATTTTTTTCTTTTGATGGCAAGAAAAATACAAATACTAAAAGTTGTGACTGCAGTTATTGCCTCAAAAATTCTTTAGCTCACCAGTAAAGCACTATTTTAGAGTCACCATTGGGGTTATGCACATTTACAGCTGTAAACAAAATATTAGTATAAAACAAGCAAAATGAAAATGGTTTCAGAAAAGCATTTCTTTCTTTTGATCTTAATAATTTAGATAAAGTTAGTTTTTAAGTATTTAAGTGCATTTAAAAATGAAAGGTTTTACTGGTAAATTTTGATGTTTTGGGAAAATGATGTTCTTGGCACAATAAGATTGCTTATTAGATGAAGAAAATAAGGAATTATATTGACTTTGTGTTTATTTATAATTGCTTTTACTTTTTTTTAATAAAGTTTGTCTATTTAATTAATATATTTTTTATTTTATGTTGTAGCCTAAAAGACAAGATGATCTTTGGTTTGTTCATTTAAAGGGAGTACCCCTTATGTTTTTCAAAGGTGATTACATGAAAAATAGGTTATTTATGTGTTACAACTTTGTAATTTATACTTGAAAATAGTCTAAAGAATGTATTTATTTTTATTTTTAGGTCTTAACAAGGTGGTAACACATCAAACAACTGATTTTATTGTTAGTGAGTACATTTATAAAAATAAACAATTTAGAAAATTTAAATAAATTATTATTATTTAACTACTAATAAGTAATTTTCTGGTAGATACAGTCTTTACTCTTTTGTAGATACTTTGTAACATTCACCCATTACAACAATCCTTCCTTTATAACAACCTATACATGAAGACCCATTTTCTATTCTATTGATGCAACGTTATTTAAATGCCTATTGTATTTTAATGTCATTATATTCATGCCTTTAACAATATTACAGTCCATACTCTTTAGTCACTGTAATGGAGTGCTTTAGTGCAAAACGCTTCATTACAGCAACCCTTTTATTAAAATGACCAATGAACAAAGTCTTGTTTGCTATTCCATGAATGAAATGTTATTTTAATGTGTGTTAGAACGTCCACACTCAAACTGTTCATTACAATATAGTGACTGAAATATAGTCAAATTTTGTCAAATCAAATTTTATATGTATTTAATCGTAGTGATTATATTTTTGCTCTTTAATGTAGATGCTGTCGTTGCTCTTAATGGACTATGGCAAATTGTGGAAGCCTCAGAATTGTTTGGTGATTATTATCATCATTATTTTAAGTATTATAATTAGACATTTATGTGTATGCAATGGTATAAGATCATAAAACATTCTTTTTATAATAGGTTCACAACAACCCAAGGAGGCTTACTATGAAGGTATTTTAAATTTGAATCTGTTTAATAAAATTTTCCCTTTAGGGGTTTTCATATAACACTGAAGACCCTCTGTTTTATTTGATGCTTTTACATAAAAGCATCCTGTTACAATATTTTTATGAGTATTTTTATCTCCAGGGAAATTATAATTTGAATTTTTTCTTTATGCAATATTCTAAAAGAGGTTGTATTTTTATACAGATTTAATCGTTAAAAAGCCCAAGTTTTAAATGAGTTAATGTATAGTGAAATTGAGTTAAAAATGAAATTTTCACCAGTATTATAGCGCATGAGTAATACTTTCTCTGCCTTACTGTTTTTATATCTTGTTCAATATATTTAATAAAAAATAAAAATTTATAAATTTGATGATTGATTTTTAAAAAGATTATAGTCATTTTAAAATTCTTTTACTTATTCAGTTATTTACATTTTAAACTGTGAATATTGTGTAAAAATTGTTTAATATTTTGATTTACTATTTTATACCCAAACAATATATTTTCTTTTAGAATGTGATGATGTAAGGTGTGACATTCGCCAAAATATTTATGGATGGGTATCTATTGGTTTTGTAACTTGTAAGTTTATATTAGGACACTTGCATTTCTCTGTTATTCTTTTCTTTTGAATTTTGTGTAATGATTACAAATTTCTTGAACAGATCTTTGTTATTTTTAAAATCTATGTTTTGAACTTTTAATTGCTCTTATTAAATAAAGTGAAAATCAGTTATGCAAATTTTAACAGGTTTTTAAGTTTCTTTCTTAAAACTTCAATAAATTTTTCTTTACTTTTCTAATTTTTAATGCAAAAAAATTTTTGCTATCTAAATCTGGTATTAAAAATTTTAAATGAAATTAAAATGCATACATTTTTATTATTTTTTGTTTTTGTTTGAGTTTATTGCTTTTTCAGATTTCCTAAATTATTTAAACATTTTTAATAAACTCTGTGAATATTGCAAATCTGGCTGATAGGAAATATTTACTACTGTTATATAATGCTGTTATAAAAGCAAGAAATTAATCTTGGTGTCAAAACTTACATAACAAAAAAATGCAACTGTTTTTACATTGTAGTTAAGTATTATTATAGGTACCAAGATAGCATCATAGCTGAGATGAATAATTAAGATGAAGCTATCAATCATCATCTATCTCTATCTATTATAATGCTTGTCTGTAGCATTTTGACTTTTGTATGTCTCTCATTTACATTTTTTTTTTGTACTCTTCACATTATTCTTTTGTTTACTTTCATTTATACTCCTTTATTATAGAGACTTCTTTTTTTTTTCACTACTTTAATTTATTAATATCTGTGACATATTTTTTTTAAAATTGAGTACTAACATTTTGTTTTGATATTTTTGAAGTAAATCTCATTTATAATAAACTTTTTTATATTTTAGTTTATACAGTAGAAGTATCAATAAAAATTATTGGCTTAGGAATCGCAGAATATCTAAGTTCGAAATGGAATAGGTAGGTCACAAATTTTCATTTGCTCAATATTTCAACGATGATAAAAATTAAAATACTGTTTAAAATCTTTTTTTAATAATTAAATGAAGAAATAACTTTTAATGTTTGAAATGGTTACATTAATCTACTAAGCTTATTAAAAGTCACTTTGATTAGAAATGAAAATTAAAAAAAACTTTATTATTAACTTACCATTTTAAATAATTTTATCTTTTTAGCAATGTTATTTTTTATGTTTATTTGTTTAAAAAATTTTCTTTTTAAATATGATTTCTTGAATTGCTGATTTTACTTTGATTTTCTGCTTAATCACCTTTGTTTTATTTTTATTTCTCATTTCGTATTCAATTTATTTATTTATTTTTTCTTTTAGTGCATTTTTTCTCTTCAAGTTTTCTTCATTTATCAACTATTTCCTAGTGTTTCTTTTTTATTTGTCTTATGATTTTGTCACTATTTATAATATTAGTTAGAGCTTCCATTTAACTCATTACTTAACATAATTTCTGTAGTATTCATATATATTTCAATAAACATTCTTCTTATTTTAACAGGTTTGACTTAGGAGTTACTGTTCTAGCATTATGTGGCCTAATAGCTGAACAATTCCGTTGCCCTTTCTCTTATGTTACAATTCTTCGATCACTTAGGCTGTTGAGGTGAGGCCACTGACCTATACATTCTTAGCATGTAAACTTGTTTGTTCACGAAATATTTTATTTCTTTATCCAAATACAGTTGAGTTTTTGTTTGAAGGCGTTTTACTGAATCACAGTCTTTATATAGAGATATGTTGTAGTCTCAACTCCTTCATAGCAGTAGAATCTCTATTTAAAAAGAAATGCGTAAAAAAATTTTTTTGAACGTTTTATTTTCAACGAGGTGTGAGAGGAAATAAATTTGGTCGTAATGGGATTGAGAAAAATGGGGAAGATGTTTTGTAAAAAAAAAAAACATTTTTAAACTAGTGAAGATATTCTTACAACTAATTTGAGATGTTGATAAAATTTTCAAAGATTTAAAAGAAAAAGACAAAAAACAAAAGAATGTTGAAAATGGAGTATAACAAATGAATCACTGTCTTCTTATGCAGATACAGCTATTACTAGTGACATTTTAAGATCATATATAATCTCATCCAACATGGAAGATAGCTCCTTTTATAAACTCGAAAAACTGGCAAGAAAGTTATTAAAACAAGACCAAAATTGAAGCAATCAATATTTTTTAATTTTTTTTAATATTGTTTAATTCTTATAAATATTGGATTTTGTTATTCAATTTTAACCTTGTAATTTAAGCAATGAAAATAAAATTATGAAAAAACGCTTTTTTAAGCATATTTATTTATTGCAAAATAAATTGACCTTCTTAAGCCAGTAAAAGGTGTGAGGGAAAAATTTTCCCAATCATTCCCCCCTCAATTCTGTTTAACCGTTTGAGTTCGCCGAAGCGCTATCGCGTTTTGTTTGTTATGTGCCAAAAATGCGGAGAAGCACGATAGCTCTTCTCTTGTTTTGTACCGAAAATGCGGAGACGCTACTGTTAGTTAGTATAATTTTCGTTATTAACATAACAATTAGTGTTAATAAGCATAATAATTAGTGTTAATTATAACCATTTCTATTGTCCTCCAAAAAAATTACTACGCATTTCATTCCGCCCTATTAGCATATATATAAGAAAACTCTTCAGCACTCAAACGATTAAGAATGCACTCTACTCTTAAGAATGATGTTTCACAGTCCGTTCAAAGTTGTTAAGCAGAGAGCCAACATGTTTTATGCTTACATTATTATTAATAGTGTATATAAATCTAATAAATATTACTTTTTGTTTAAATAAGATTATGAATGCATTTTATTGATAAAATGAATGAAAAATGAAACTAGGTTTAACCAGTTAAAGTGGAGATTACCATTCTTTGTCAGTTGAAGCCCAAATGATTTGCAACACTTCTGCCTTAACCTGGCTTAAACTAAGTTTAATTAATCCTAGTCACCTAAAGGCATAAATTCTGTTACAAATGTTAATAAAGCAATATATTTTCTGTTAGTACATTGAAATTTTGAGTGCCTTGTCAGTCATCATGCCTGACACTGAACTTTCTGTTTAGGCGTATCTGTTGTCAGTGACTGACAGTGTAAAATATGATGTGAAACTAAAAATTTACATTTATTGAAATAATTTCTGAAAAATCATTTAAAATTTACTTAATATTTATTTATTACATATCATACTTTAATGTATTTCAATTTATTAGCAGTGCACTTTCTATTGCTGTTCCACAATATGAGTATTTATAAACTGTGCACATAGTCTAATAGTATAACATATCTACTATCTTGTATACTTGTTATTTTAAGTTATTGGTTCTGGACAATTATAAGTATTGTAGATATTGACTTTGAATCTTTACTAAGCAGAATTTGTTTGACCCAGTTGTAGTCGGTTATATGATGCCACAATTGGTATTACATATTTATTTTCTAACCTTTTAAAATATATTTCATTACTTAAGCTTATTTTTATTAATAGAATTATATTTAAAATAAATCGAAGGCTTAATCTTTTAAAACGAACATAAAATATTTATTCCTCTCGTATGGATCAATGTAACGGATGCTTTTTATTTCATTACTAGGCAGACTTATTAATTCACTGCTGCTCCTAATTAAAAACAAAAATCTATTTATAACTTTTTATGCTAAATTTCTAACCGCTAAATGTTTCAGTTGCATGGTTGTAATAATTCTCATAAATTAGTTGGCGACTCGTGTCATTCTTTTATTAATATTGATATGCTGGTTGGCTTTGTTTTGGCTATGTTATATTTTGATAATTCGCCAATTTTGGATCTCCTACCCATGCTTCTGTGTCCGTTGGGAGCAAATTACATGGACTTTTTAATTTGGTCTTGGTTAGGTAGGTCATGAGGGATTTGTCTCCCATGGCCTGTCCTTATTAATATTACTATGCAAAATTTATTTAACTTTGAACATTATCATGGATAATACAAAAATTTTGTATCTCGAGCTCTGCAAATATTAAATAAAAGCTTCTTATATCAATCTTCTTATATCAATCATGATCTGGTTTTCATTTTTAAGTGTTATTTTCATCATCCCCTGATTTCAGCATTAATCTTTAATTGATCAAGTATTTTATAAACTTCCAACCTACACCGAAATTTCCATCTCAACATAAATGGGACCAGAAATATACATCTCCATAAGCCGGTTAAAACCGGAAACATTAAAAGTTAAAAAATTCTTTGGGCTTCAACCCGCTAAGATCAATAAACCTAAGTTTATTTTTTCTTTTCTACTTTTGATTTTTTTTTATAAATCTGCATATCTTGAAAATCACATTCAACAAAAGTTGTCTGGAAACTATCCTTGGGACAGTTGCAAAAAGAAATAAAAATCTAATTTCAGGTTATTCAAGCTGAAAAAAAGATATCGTGATGTTTTGGGAACACTATTTATCATTTTACCTCGATTTTTAAGTGTTGCATTAGTGTTGGTTATTTTGTATTATTTCTTTGGAATTATTGGAATGGAAATAATGTCTGGCTACGATCTTGTTAACTGTTGCAAGTAAGTAAACTCTATTCCCAACATTTTAACTAGATGTAACTTTTTCAATGTACAGTTTTGTCCATTTCACCAATTAAATTTATTTTGGCTTAGAAATGATGTTTAATTTTTGAATTATCAGTGAAAAAAAAATCAATTATTGTTACCACCAAACCTAAAAATTAATATTATTAAGAAAGAAAAACTGTAAGAAAATTAAATTTTTAATCTGTATAGAGCAGCTATTTTAACTGAAAATTCAAATGGTCTAAGAAATAAAGTTCTTTATCTTTTCATAAAGTTTGCGAAACATATTTTATACTATTTACAGAATTAAATTATGAAACTGCACTTTTCTTTCTTTTATGATTTTTCTCATCTTCACTTACATTAAGTTTTTAATAGTTAAAATTTTCAAAAATTAGGTCAAAAAGAGAAAGTTGAAAAGGTGTTGCAAAATGCTAAAATGTCTCCAGATATAACTTATTTGTATACCATTTTGGATATTTGGATATGTTTCATTTGTACTGTAAATAGATTTTAAATTTTAGTTACTACATCTTTACGTATTTATTAATTTGCAACGTAGGCTAATTTATGTATGTGAAATTTGAAATAAAAATTAATAATTGTATTATTAAAAGAAAATAAATTAAATTAAATTCTAAGACAATACAAATGCAATGTAACTAGTTTTTTAGGGGACATGACGCATGCTGCATTAACTTTAAAAATAAGTATAGTTGAAATTCACAGTAATTTGAAAATCTTAGCCATGATTTATATTCTTTTTCAACGGATATGGTTATAGTAGCTACATAAAACTCCGTATATAAAATTTTTACTCTACTTTATCTTAAACGACTTTGTCGATTTATACAGATACTGCCCTGCCCCAACTCGTTCAATCTGATTTTCTAGTTCTCATTGAAATTTTTTGATAAAATATTTTAGCAAAATGCTAAATTGTATGCATTTTAGCATTTTAGAAAGTCTTTAAATTTTCGTAAAAAGACTTCCATTGTAGAAACCTTGCAGTCAGTTTGTCGTGTTTGATAGTACAAAAAATAAGTTTTACACTTAAAATAAGAGGGTCATCCCGAAAGTAAGCTTTTTTTAAACCTAAGAGAAAGAAACGAAGCAATGAAATAAACCCCAAGAAACAAAACATGATTATCTGAAAAGATGCTTTAATATATTTAAAGACAATAACCAACAAATTGTGACACTTGTCTGACATGTGCTAACAGAAATTTCTGTATATTTGTGGAGAAGTGGTGATTAGAAAGGAATTTTTGCGTATGCAAATACAAGAAGAAAATGCTGGCAGTGAGATAGAAACTTTGTTAAACATCCAGTGACACGTCTGCAGCTTTCAGCAACTTTAATTTATTGTAGAACATGAAAAATCTTCTGCCTGAGCAGTACTTTCCCACAGACATCTGTGACATTTACTGTCTGACATATCTGTGGTTTACAATTATGACAGTTCTTATGTTGAGAAAGTAGCTTTTGAAATCTTTCCAGGTAATTATGTTTTGTTTCCTTTTATGGGCTGCGGGAAACTTGCTTTCAGGATTTCCCTATTGTTTCATATAAAAAAAAGTCATTGATAAATGTTTCCACACATTAAATATTAAAATACTCTTACGTATGCATCAGTAATTTGAACTCCATTTTTTACTATAGTTTAATAAGTATGTAAGTTATTTTACTTTAATAATTCTTTGTTTTGTTTTCATGTTATAATTTTTTGGTTGTTGAGTATTTTTAATTTTCATTTTTTAAAGCCCATAAAGGTGCTTTTTTTTATTGGGCGTTTATAAAAAGTGCTTTATTTTCTTTGATTGAAACATTTTAAATTTTCAAGACATTCAAATGGAACTTTTTTCATTAGTTACCAACTACCACTCTCTACAAAATTATGGGAAATTAATTTAAAAAATTTTCTGCTCATACGCAGTTTGAAAATATAAATTTATATGTTTAGATGTTGTGCAATTTGTTATGAATTTTTAAAGTCAAGCTGGAAAATAATATTTTTTAAATGAAAAATTAAAAATTTTGTTTCATTTTATGCAATATTTCTGCAGTTATGGTAAGAAAACATAAGGCAAAAAAATTAAATGTTATAAAAATGTTCGTATTTCTATAAATATTTAAGCTAGGCTTACAAAATTTTGTGCAACTATTGCACTGTTATCAAACCTCGTATAACTGTAAACTTTATAGATAAGTATGAAAAATTTTGTGACCTAAGCACCTTTAAACGTTTTAAAATAACTCTTAGTGTTTTTGAGAAATTAAAAAAAAAATTTCTAACTTAGTGCCTCATCAATTATGGTAGGGTAGTGTAAATATGAAAAACCTTGAACTTTAAGAAAAAAGTGTATAAGTGTGCATACCTTATTTAATTTCTATATAAAAAAGAATTCTTAAAAATATTGTTCAGTGCTTAAAAAGGGCCTATTTTTTGTAAAAAAATTTGAATGTGCACCATGTAGTCCATTTTCTGTAAACATCTGCTTTCCAAAGACTAAGTATTTTTGATTTAAAATTTCTTTCTATTTAGAAACACAACTGTTGAACAGTATTATCGATATGACAATGACAGTTCTTTAGATGGATATTATTACCTAAATAACTTCAACAATTTTCTATTTAGTCAAGGTGAGAATTTCTCCTAATGTTTACAGTGTACTGTTTAAAGAATTTTACAACTTCATTTAATGTTATTGAACTTATTATAGTCCAGGATTATTTTATTTTACTACTTAGTAGAAAGCATTAAAATTTTTTTAATTCATCCAAATTCCGTACTTCTGTAAAATAGTACTTCTGTAATACTCAAAATTTCTGATCATATATTTAAATATTATTTTACTCTCATAACATTAATCATTTTTGAGTAAAAAAAAGAGTTATTAAAAAGTAATTTATTTTGATGTAACATGATAAAAATGTCCGATTTGTTTGAACATTTGATCTCATGATTTTGATTTAAAATGTAAAATTTAGGTGCTGCCTAATGTTGATGTTTTGAATGTAAGTATCCACCAAACTGACCTGTTGGAGCTAATTTTAAGTTACATTACAAATAAACAATTGGATTTTTTGTATAAGATTATATTAAAACACAGAGTTTTCCCTATGAATAAAAAAGGGCAGGGTGCTTACTCTCTGAAAAGGGGAATTTGAGTTTTGAAAGAGCACTCACTTAATGTAAATATTTATCAAGATGTGTAATATTAAGTGAGTTTTATGCTCAACAATTTTTAAATTATCCTCTCATACCATTTTATGAGTCTATTTCAAATGATAATTCTCTTTCATTATCAAAAGAAAAGAAAAGGTGGTTTATAAAAGTAATTAAAGACATGCTAAAAGGTAATGTCTGTGCAAATTTTTCTTCTTCAAAAAATTAAACTAGCAATAAATGATTTATTGATAAACAACTTGAAAGCTTTTTTCTGTAATTTAAATTGAATTGTGAGAAAATAAACATTTAAAGATGCATTTTTTTTTAAAAAAAAAAAAGAGAGAGTCATTAATTTAAAAAAATAGTTTTGAAATCACTTAAAAATTTTATTAATATTCCCCGCCCCCGAAAAATGAAAAATTTATGAAAATTTAACCAGTTGAGAATAATCTTAACAAAGCAATTATTTGTTATAGTAATCAGAATTAAACCTATAAGCACAGATAATTTTGCCACTGTGTAATTATAATTTAAAAAAGATGAATAAATTTTTTTAATCTGGAATCTGAGTAAAAAGGCAGTGTTTTTAAGAGATGTCGGCTTACTTTTTCAAAAAAGGCAAAGAGGGTGCATTTATTGGGATTAAAGGGCAAGCAGGACGGGCCACCCTTAAAAAAAAACGCTTAAGGAGAACATTGAAAGCAAATGGTTTATACAGAAAATTATACAGTGAAAAAAGAATTTAGAGGGAAAAATTGGATCTCGCAGGTTTTAAGCAAATTAACCTATTATCTATTAAGAAAGTTTTTACATAAATGAAGAAAATGTATTTTAAGTTACTGTAAAGCTTAGTATATAAAGTTATGTATTGTAAAAAAAAATTTTAAGGCCCAATGCTTCCATGATATGGAGAAAATATCAGCACAAAAAAGGTATTTTATTATGTTCTGAAAAAATATATTGACTAACTTCCTTGGTGTTGTTAAAGTAGGAGTATTAGATACATTAAGGAAGTTTATTGTTGTAAGAGTCTGTTTTATAACAATAATATTGAAATATGGAAAATCTTGTTGAGAATTTATTGTGTTTATCTTGTTAATGTTGAAAATTGATTTGATAATATTTTTTCTTTTCTGCAGAGCTAATTTAAAGGATATGGCCTTTATAACTGCAATGAAAAGTTTTTTTAAAAAGTAGCTGCAGCTTGCTTGTGATTTTGACTTCTTCTGCTTACGGTTTTAAAATGAACACTTTTCTGTAATAGAATAATAACTTAATATAATAAAAACTTAATCTTTTTTACCTCATCACTTACCTTTCATTAAGTTATTGTATACATGTCTCAGTAGCTCTCAAAAGTGATTATTCTTCCTGGGTATACATTGAGAAGTCTGAGATAGGTATTTCCTACAGAAACTGTATGTAATTCTATATAATTTTAGGTTTTATAGTTTTATGTGTTTTGTCTGGCATTCTTAAAACTTATAAATAGAAAAAAAAGTTTTAAAGTAGTATTTCTGTTAGTGTTTTTCCATTTGATTTTAAAGCATTTTATGCTAATGTACAGTGCGCCAAAAAAAAACTGACCTCCCTGAATAACTTTTGCCCTAATAATCGAATCTTCACTTTCTATGACTTATTCTTAAAGATTCGAGGGGGTGACCTCAAATTTACTTATTAATTAGTGCAGACGGTATTTAAGTTATTATATCATATGCGAAAACGTACTTTCTCTCATAAACATACCTTTTCCCGACGGTTTCAGATTTTGGCTCCTAAAATATAAAGGGTAGACGCAATCTGAGATATATGATCCTAATAGTTTAGTCAGGATAGCGATCCAAAGTTAGGATCCCCTAAGAGTAATTTTATTTTTTGCGTATTTTGTCATATCTCGAAAAAATGTTGCACACAATTATAAAATTCGTTTATCCAAAGATAATTGCAAAAAATAAGTTTTTGTAAATATTTATTATTTTTATATTTTATTTAATAGTCGAAAAAATTTAGGAATTGTAAGGTATAAAATTTTTTACATAATTTTAATGTATCTAATTTTACATGGCGTAATACAAAATCAATTGAATAGCTCCTAAGAAATCTAGTTTTAAAAATACGACTTTTTTAAAATTTGATTTCTCAGGAACTTTTCAAGCAATTTCGTATTTTGCATGTAAAATTAGATACTTTAAAATTATGTAAAACATTATATATCTTACAATTCAGTTTTTTTTTACTATTATTAAGTGAAGTTGTAAAAAATAATAAATATTTACTAAAATTTATTTTTTGCATGGAATTATCTTTAGACAAACGAATTACATACTTGTGTGCAAAAATGTTTCAATTTGCTTAATAAGTTTGTGAGATACGGCTAAATATGCAAAAAATGAAAGTAACATAAGGGGTCAAAACTTTGGACCACTCTCCTGACTAAACTATTAGGACCATATTTCCCAGATTGCAGCGACCTCCGATATATTGGGGGGCAGAAATCTGAATTCATCAGAAAAAGGGTATATATTTATTCAGAGAAAGTACGTTTTTGTGTCTGATCTCATTACTTAAGATATCGTCTACACTGAATAATTAGCATATCTGAAGTCACTCCCTTGAACCATTAATATTGAGTCCTAGAATGTGAAGATCTGATCATTAGGATCAAAAGTTATTCAGGGTGGTATGTTTTTTTTTTCTTTTCTGTGTACTGTACAAAATACCTGATGTCTCAAAAATAACAGATGAACTGAAAAATCAGTTTAACAAAAATGGAATGAGATAGAAATGTACTATTTGCTGTGTTCTGCTTAGTAGGTAACAAGATAATTTTCTCACAAAGTTTAAAAATAAGTTATTATAATAATAATAATTTAGGAAAACTATAAAATTCTGCAACAGCATTGCATAGTCTAAGGGTAAGGCTAACTGATGCCGGTGCAAATATTTCTGTTGGAATAGTCTTGAATACTGTTGAAACTATGTTAAACAATTTTTCGAATCATCATCACCATCGATTGTTGTACTCTATCGCTATTATTAAATCTAGTGAGAATTTACCAACTGGTTTACTAAGCAAAATGCCTTTAACTGTACAATTTTATCTTCTATTGCTTTCTTTTTTTTAAATTTCTCATATTTTTAAAAATGCTGCATAATTGGGTATGCAGTACAATTTGAGCATGTATGGATTAAATATAAAATAATGAATTTATTTGAATTTTTAAATTTTCCTTTCTTGGTGGGCACTTTACATTTATTTTTAAACTTGAAAAATTAAACTTTTTCTGCATTACATTAACATTCAGGGAAAACAGTCTTAAATGATTTTTATTGATATTGAGTACTAGTTTTAGGGCACGTTGGTGTTGTATAAAGTAATGTTTGTATATCCTTAACATACATTTTTAATCTTCTAGTTACTTTATTTGAATTGATGGTCGTCAATAATTGGTTCATTATAATGGAGGGTTATGCCCTTGTCGTCTCTCAATGGACAAGGCTATATTTCATGTCTTTCTATGTTGTGACGATGGTAAATATTTTCTTTTATCCTTATATATTTTTTGACTTTTCTAGTTACTTTATTTGAATTGATGGACGTCAATGATTGTTTCGCGATAATGGAGGGTTATGCCCTTGTTGTATCTCAATGGACAAGGCTATATTTCATGTTTTTCTATTTAGTAACAATGGTAAATATTTAAACATTTTTTTTATCAACTCATCATCTGTGTCAAATCAACTCCTCCATGATTTCAACAACCCTGCTGTGTGTTTTCGTCATTTTCCTAGTGAGTCAAATTTTGTACTGCTTGTTTTCATCACTTCATTCACACATCGATGTATTTTTAATTCCTAGAACACACTCATCGGCTGTTTTTCACGCCACAACATTTTCTTTCATCATTTTAAACTTTTTTCAGTATAGTCGAGTGAGTTCTATAAAAATTCTTGAAATATCTATGAAATTTCATGAATACAAGTATATCTATAATAAATATATGAATTCTATAAAATACCGAAGCACTATTCTTCAAAAAAAAAGAGATTTAGTTAAGTTCAGGATCTTAATGCTATGTTTTCAACGAGTTTTTTTAAAATCAAGATTCAAATTTAGTTTTAAAATTATTTGACATTTTTTGTATTCCATAAAATCATTGTATCAAATATAGTTTTTAAATATATATTATTTTGGTGACAAAATTTTCAAAAGTGTCAATGATTTTTATTTTTAAATACTATTGTTAGAAATGTTGTTTATAACCCTATTTAGGTTGTAATCAACATTGTCGTAGCTTTTGTATTGGAATCTTTTCTGTTCAGGATACAATATAAACGTGCGACAGGTGACATGGACAGTAAGTTTTCTAACTTTTCTTTAATTGTTTTTGAACAAAAAGCATCTTAAAAGATTCTATTTTAAAATTTTTTTTAAATTTAAATTGCGACAATTTTTTCTAATAATATGGAATAAAAGTTATTTTTCTTTTTATTTATTAAAGAAGCCAAACTGTCAATTAATTATACCTGCCACAACTGTAAAATGCTGTAATTGTTTACTGTTCGATTAACTTTTAACTTAAGATCATAATTTTTCAGTTAATTTTTTTAGAAAGTTATTTTTTATTAATATCTTACTAATTAGTTTAATTGTTTTAACCATATTGAATTTTTTTCATTAATATTGCTGTCTATTTTTTAATGGCAACTTATTAAAAGTTGCTAATTTCTTATATCCATCAAAGGAATACATGTAATTTTCTAATAATTCAATAAATATTTTATTTCCAATGTCCCAAAAAAAAAGATTTTTGTATGAAATTGAAGTGTTTTTTTTTTTTTTATTAAAGTTTTCTTTCTTCTTTTTTTTTAATCTGCTATATTTTAGAACTCTTTAAACAAAAAAGCAAAATATAACTACTTTATTTTTAAATTTTATGTAGAACTTCTGTTTTAACTGTAATTTTTCTTTACTTTTTATTTTTATTTTATTGCATTTCACCCCATTGTCAGATTTTTTATTTCATTAAGAATAACTATTATCAAAAATAACTATTTTCTTACATTAAATATTTTATGTATATTAAAAATATCTATTTAACTATATTAATTTATATTATGATAAAAATGTAATTAATAATGATTAATTTGTTGAATTTCATAGAGGACACTTTAGTCAGAGTTGATATTGGGTTGAATGAACAGGAAATAGATTTTTGCAGGAGTAAAACATATTTATCTAAAGCACAAATGAAATCTTTTGCAAGGGATGAAATCTCTCCTAGAATTATATACCGTGGGACCAGAACTCGAACAAAATTTTCTTTTTCCTTGAAAATGCATGCTGAAGAAGTTAAAGTAAGTACCAGTTATTTTAAATTCCATTATAGTTCTCTTTCCCCCTTACTGACTTTTACAAATTGTTTCCAGAAATTTATTTTTCTCAAAATTAATAATTAACCCCTACTGATTTAATGTGCCCCAGACACCATTTAATACACAAGAACTCTTCAGTTGGCTAGATTTGAACGTTATAATCTATTTTTGAATTATTTAATAACTTTACCAGAAATGTAAAGTGCAATGCCTTAAGTTCTTCCAGCAAATTCTTGTTACGGTTTGAAAACTTGTCCAAACACTCCTGTTGTAGACATTTCTACCATTCATGAAGAACAGAGCTATATAAATCAATCTACAAGCTTCTGACAAAAGTATTTTAAATAAAAAAAAAATTTCATTTTATGGTAGTTGATTTTTTTTAATACTACTTAATTTTAAATATAGGTAATGGCTCATAGCGACAAGATTGTGATAACAACAAATTCACATGCTAGTTTTTACCGTAGTAAAAACTTCGTTGTTGAACTTTCCTGTAAATAACATTTAGGTGAAATGCAACATTTACATTGATACTAAGAAAACATATACAACAACTAATAAATTTTTGTGCAAAGGTGGAAATTTTTTTACACTTTTTCAGCTTATAACTGTATAGTTAAAAGGCGAAAAGTACATCAGAAATCATAATAAAGTACCAAAGATAACCGGAACATCAAATTGCGATTTTATAAAAAATAATTTATATAGATTAATTGATTTTAATAAGGAAATTATTTTTAAAGAAAGTTTATAATCGATCCAAAAGGATTAAAAAATTAAATTAACTGAAGAGAATGAAAGAAAAAGCTTTTCTATCACAGATACTAAAGATTGTTTTTGCAAAATGTAGATAAAATTATGCTGATTGTTGTTTGAATAAAAAAAAATTTTTTAAGTAATGAATAAATATATTAAATCGACAAATTCAATTTTGTAGGAACACACACCCATAAAATTGGCAAAATCCTTTTAATTTTATAAAATTTCACAATAAACTCATTTACGAAAATTTTATTATATTTCCAGTTAAAACTGCTTAAAGCGTGTGTTAAGCTGTGAAGGTATAGGACTGCACTTAGCTATTGGTATCTTTAAACTACATTTGCACCAGAAAATATGTTTCTTACTTTTTGGCTCAATAAGTTGATTCCCAACCTATCAGGCTAGAGTTATTTTATCGTAAGGTTAATAGTGAAGGTTTTCATATCCATGTAACAAAACTGATAAAGTTTCTCACAAATTTGCCAATTGGGTTCACAATTACAAGAATAAGAAGTTTAACAGTAAGAATAGAATCCTATATGAATCATCTACACCAGCAGTTCCCATTTTTTTCAGCTATGGAACACTGAAAGATCAAACTTCTTTTGTTGGAACTCTGACTGTTAAAAAAGAGAATTAGCTGGTGTGAATATTCTAACCAAAAAATAACAAAAAACCTACAAATTAATTTTGAAACATTTAATGTGAAGAATGAAATTTTTTCATTGTTTAAATAAGTCTTAAAATTAGGATTTATGTTAAGTGTTGAATTTGAAAGCCTGCAGTAACTTTTAGTCTATTAGTTTTTGGTATATGCGTAAATCAAATGAAGTAAATCAGCTGAATTATGGTTTTTGAAAAATAACTTATAAAATGTGAGAGTGTTACAATAGAAAAATTAGTAGTTCTTGAATTAAGTTATTTTATTTAGCATTTTTTTATTTTTATTATTATTAAGCTTATTAATACAATAAGCTTTAAAGTCGATGAGAAATGCTGATACCATTTATAAAAGCAAAACCTTTTATTAATTCATTTAATATAATGTTACTTGGATCAAAAATATAAATATATGTTTAAAATTTTTATTTTTATTGACATTTTACTTAAATGATTTCAGAATAATAACTAAATTGATAAATAAACAATTAATAATCGGTCAAATACAAACCTATTACAGATTTCAAAAATCATTACTAGTTAAAAAAAAAAACTGAATCACAGAACTCTTGTGACCTTTCCATGGAACCAAAAGGTCCAGTGGAACACTTTTTGGGAACCCAGGGTTCCCACGGTCCTTAAAAATCCTTAAAAACTGCTTAATTTTTATTTTGGAAAATAAGGGCCCTTAAAAGTACTTAATTTTATTACAAGGTTTTTAAAAGTCCTTAATTTTTTAGCATCACTAAGGATAAGCAGAATGTTACATAAAAATTTAAATCTACTCAACTAAAAGATCCTTAGATTTTAATAATCGTTTTATTCAGTTAACATTGCAACTTAATATACTGTTTTTTAATTTTTGTTCAATTTTTGGTTGCTTTAAAATTAGTTCATGTTATTCACCAGAATGTTTAGTAACATTATGTAAAGTTAATTCTTAACAACATGTTTGGCTGGATATAATTTTGTTTAAGTTTATCATGAAAGTAATTGTGACACGTTTGCTGCTCTAGTAGCGAAATAAAAAAACTTCCTGTAATCATTTTTTCAATGTTTTTGCCAATTTTCTTTATTTACTTCTTTTTTTAATATACATGAAAAAAATTGCAAATCTTAATTTCTGCACTTAATTTTACAATTCAATTTCAATGAAATCATTAAAAATGGTGTACAGATTAGTTTCATATGTTAACTTTTACAATCTGAATGACGTTAACTTTTAACAATCTGAAATTTTTTTTCAAAAAACCCTACCCGGGTTTGCAAAAATTGCCTGGTAATTCTTTGCCGAGCCTTGTTAATTAATACAATTATAACACTGCTTACATTATAATAAAATTGTTTATAATTTTTTTAAAATTTATTGATGTTCTTAGAAAGGCACTGTCACTGGTGGCATAAGTCGTTAATTTTTCAAAAAAGTGCTTAATTTTTTCAAAAAAAAGTCCTTAAAAGTGCTTAATTTTTGCTTTGTTAAAAGAGTGGGAACCCTGGAACCGCTGCTCTATATAACGTTGGTAATAAAATAAAACTTCCACCCATCAATGGAAAAATATAACTATTGTTAGTAAAAAGATAACTTAGCCACTGGTCCTATCACTCTGCTTTATATGAATAAAGGGATAAAATTATAAGAAAAAAAAGCAATATTCTTTTTTTTTGGTTTTTTGTATTGATACCAGAAATTTATGGTAATAAAAGACTTCTTGTAATTTGCCATACTCGTTAAACCCAGCCTTTACTGTTTCTGTTTAAACTTTGTATTTTAATGAAGCTTGCTAATTTGTTCAATTTACAGCTCAATTAAAATTTTTCCCTGCCTCTCACTTGTGTAAATAGTTTGATTTCTTTTAGGAATGGTTAAAACAAGCCGATACTGAAGAACGGACACAGCGAGAGTTACTACTTTCCAGATTACAAGTAGAACACCTTACTGACAGTAGGAGAGTTACATTGGAGGAAGAATATCATATCCGTACTTTAACTATCTAATTATTCCCGTGCGTCCTTTATTGTTAAATTATTATTTTAATTTAGCTGCTGCTTATATTTATTTTGAAATTGTAAATTTATTTCTTTTGTAAATAGAGAATGGTTTTAACTATGAGATGTATTATAAAGTATGAGTATGTGATCTGTTTTGTTTATGAATGTTTTAAATTATCTAAGAATTTGCATGCCTGTAATCTCTGATGATCATTAAACTGTTCTGCTTAAATAAAAAAAATGAGATGTAGACTACTTTCATTTGTAAAAAAAATTCTGCAGTTGTTTTTGATACTATTAAAACAGTATCAGTGACACTGAACTACCACCATGTGTATGATATCGATAATTTTTTTAAATTTTTTATTGCGCAGTTCCGTATTGAAAATAATATTACATTATTTTGGACGTAATGTAAACATTGTGTGATTTTAGGAAAGTCTAAAAACTTGCTTAAATCATTTTGTGTCTTCCATGTTCTTGAATTAAAATTAAATTTTATGCTGTAAATTTGTTCATTATTAATGTTTACAGCTTTTATTTGTTTTTTGTATGTTTATGATATAACCAGAATTCAATTGTAAATAGTTTGAAAATATAATATTCCTTCATTCCAGCACTAGATGCTTTTTCCATTAAAGTGCCTTAATAACTCCTGCTGTATTTAAAAACTATAGAGAATAAATATCCTCTAAGAAACTGAATAATAATAGGCTGAATCTCTACAGTTTCTACTTTTTTGTGCAAAATACTTCATACAGCCATGAGTTATTTTTCAGTGTTTTATGATAATTTTCTGATTTATAGTATATTTTGAGAAGAAAAAGAGCTAGTTTCTTAAATGTTTTGACTTTATATTAAAAAAACTATTAGTAGTATATTAATCAGTGAACAGTAAATTCCTGATTATTCATGATATTGAATGGCCTGGTACTAAGCAGAAATTTGCTGAGAAGTTAGTATGCCTGGGTGAGAAATTTTGTTGTATGTTTTTGAAAAGGAAATTGAATCACAAGTAAACAAAATATCACTGATCCGAATTCCATATGTATTTTCTTGAATCTTGTTGTTGTGTGTATTTCTAGAATATGACACAGTATAAATGGCGAGGAGAATAATTTACATGTGATTGTTTATTGTAATATTTTTGTTCTGCTTTACTAGTCTATATTCCTGTTTCTATATGCTGTACGAAAAAAACATGTTTAATTTAAAGAAAATTTGTTAACTCTTATATAAGTTAGTTACATTTCTCTTAAAAGATAAGTTATATTATGTGTATCAATTATGTATGTGATAGTTGAATTTTTTATACAGGCACTTGTTCATGTAAATTGTATAAATTTGTAAATGGTAATGTGTTAAAATTTTGTGCATTATTTTACTTATCAAAACTGATATTTGTGCATGCATGTTATTCTTAAAAATATTTTTTGGTAATAGTTTATAAGGTAACCTTTGCCTATAGGTTACCTTAATAGTTTATAAGGTAACCTAATTACACTGGGGAATTTTTTTTATTTTTACATTTATATAAAAACTTGATCATGTCCAATTCAGGTGTAGGTATTTCAAGTATGAAATTTGTTTTGCCCTAAAGCAACGGAATTTTTTAATAACATTTTTACTATATTTTTGTCAAAATGCGCAAGTTTAAAAACGTTACGTATTATAGGGGATTGTGTAAAAAGTTGCGTCTAACTTCTAGGGGAGTTAAGGCACATTATCAGGGATTAAAATCGCATAGAAAGAGATGTATGGAAATTCTGTTGTACAGAGCTAGGAGCACTTCCCTGTTATCATCTGTTCAAAAGCACACAAAGAAATAATTCCTAATGAAGATGTGCCCCTAGCGGCGTATGACGACATTTTCTAGCTTCCCAAGAAATTTGTTCCAACAATTATTTGTCCCCAATCTATAAAGACGTTTTTAAACTTGCACGTTAAAAAAATAGACTCAAAATATCATTTTGAAAAAAAATTGTAGATTGGAGAGCGAAATCGATTGCAGGTTCGAAGTCAAGTATACAAAAGTTTTCGAGATCTGTTAAAAAAAAATCTCTTAAAAAAAAGCATTTCCCAGTGTTATTCAGCTGTTACTTTAATTTCCTGCATAATAATTTACAATCATTGATGAGAGATACATAAAAATGCTTGAAAAAATTTACTGTCTTTGACTATTTCTATATCACATTGGCATGCATTTATAATTAAAGGGTTTCTACTGACGATTAAAAAACAATTACCTATAACTTTTTTTTACCTTGGGGGGTTTGTCTTTTTTAAGCAAGAAGGTATTCAAAAATAACTATTTTTAAAAAAAATAGTAGGGACCTTTTTTTTTAAAAAAAAAAGTAGCTTTTTTAAAACTTTTAACTTTTTTTTTAAAAAAAAGTAGCGACCTTTGCCTACTATTTCGTCATATAATGTTTAACTAATCAGCCATAGGTTTTTTGCTATTTTTCCACTTTTTTTTATTCATGAAACTCACTCTTTCTAACTCATAAGGATCCATTTTTATGCTAAAATCTACAGAAACGCATGAGTAAAAAAAAAAAAAAAATGAAATATGAGTTTTTTTCCCCTTTGGGTAGCCACGGTACAAAAATACTCACCCAACCGAACTTCAAATGTATAGAGATAAAATTATAATAAAAGGGTGTTGTTTTTTTTTAAAAAATATATTTAAGTACTGAAACGAAACTGAAATTTGTAATGAAGACAAACAATTTTGAAAGCGTGCGATTGTTGTTAGTGCATCATAAAATTATTGGCTTAGAAAGTTCCTGTTTTATGATAATATTGCTGATAGTTGTTATGTTTGTGCTTTTAGAATTATATTTTCATATATAATCATAAAAAAAAATAGAAGCATTAAAAAGGCTCTAAAATCAAAAGTCTTTGTTAGTTTCTATATCATATTATACTACTTATCTTATTTCAAAACTGACTTTTTTTGAACAAAAGCGTAATATTTTCTAACAAAAAATAATAATTTATTTATTAGTCATATTTTTATTTGTATTTTACACTGTTTAGATATTTTCTTTTCTTGTTTTATTTAAAATGCAATTTGTTTTACCAATTTAAATTTTATTTATAATGTTACTTTATAAATAATATGAAAACTTAAATAAACTTAGTAAAAATTAATATATGCATTACTTGCGATTAATCATTTTTTAAAAATTAATTTTACTTACATTATGTGCAATTTTGTTAAGAAGTTGAAGTGTGAGTAGTTTTGTAAAAATAGATTGCTTTTGTCTAAATAAAAATATGTTTTATTTCAAAACCAATTGATTATTGAATATACACTCATATTAGTTTTGATGCCTAATGATATATTAATTATGCACATTATTAGATTAAAAAAAACTATATTGGATATTTCTTCTTTGTTAATACAGTATCCTGTACTATGCTGCTCCTAAATATGAAAAAAAGTTTTAAAAGGAAAGGTACTTATGAAATAGTAATAGTTAATATTAATTTTGTAGTTGATTTTTAAAAAGTAATTACTACACATAGGCTAAAAAATTTTTTTAAATAAAAATTAATGTCAGTACATTTTTTCATTGTCTAGAAAATAACTTGCAATGTTTGTAGTTTTAGATCAAGAAAGTACTCATTTCTAAAAATGGTCGTTTAGAAGAAATTATGTGGATAAGTTAATTCAGTGTGTTTTTAAGACTTACAAAGTAACTAGTAATGTTTTTTAGTATTTTTTGCTTGTTAAACCTGCAGCAAAATAAAGCAACAGATTTGTTTTCTTCTATTTTTAAAGTGATTTGATTTTACTTTTTTTTTTAGTATATAACAACTAACTACAGACAGTTTTACTTCCTAAAGCTATTCTGGTGAAGGGACGTTAGTCATCAAATGTGTATATTAGGGCCTGCTTATCTAAAAATTTCTCCTTAAAGTGGGGATAGTTCTTGATATTATTTGATACAGAAAAGGAAGAAATGGGGCTTTGATATATGTATCAAGTTATGAATGTAATTGATGTTCACTTTCATTCTAAAACCAAATACCAAAGAATTTTAATTATTGAAACTGCATAGATTGCATAACGAAACACATATATTAAGTTGAACAAGCATAAATTATTGAAACATAATAGTTTGTTTAGATTTAGTAAAAAGAACTTGCATGAGTTTATGTGTTGAGTACTTGGTATATTATTCTGTAAAAAACTAAAGGAAAATGTTTTTTAATCATTACTAACGTCATCTGTGAATAGTGGTTTTGAGAATAGATTTCCCATGATTGTATTATGATTGAAAAAGCATACATTAATTTTTTTTAGTTAAACATTCTGCATAGAAAGTGTGTTAAATGATTGTCGTTGTTGTTCATTTACGCCGCACTAGAGCTGAGCAATGGGCTATAGGCGACGGTCTGGGAAACATCCCGGAGGATGATCCGAAGACATNATTGACGAACGTCTAAGAAACATCCCTGAGGATGATCCGAAGATATGCCATCACAATTTTAATCCTCTGCAGAGTTGATGGCACCCCCACTTACGGTAGCCCGACGACCTGCACGCGAAGTCGAGCACTTTACGGTAGAACAGTTTAACGAGGACTAATACCGCACACCCTCGGTCCCGACGCAGACTGATCCAAGTGGTCACCCACCCGCACACTGACCGCAGCCAGCGATGCTTGACTTAAATGAAGTAAACATATGATAAATATGTGTTACAAAATAAAAAATAAGTGAAACAGTGGGTCACGTCGTTTTTTATTTAAGGAATAAAGGCTGACACGAAACGATTTCTTATATACGTTAACGCTAGAATGTGCACAGACTATGTGAACTTGCTAATGGTCCAGTCTTACTGTGTGCAGTTTGTGCACTTTTAATCGCCGTGGAGGGAGAATGAGAACCTGATTGGTGAAAAAAAATTTTTTGCTAAAAATCTGCTTTTTTCTCGATCATCAGAGGAGCGTGAACCGCATGCAATGAGAATGGTGCTTAATGAAGAAGGACAAGAATGCTCCTCCCTTATGCATTTTGGTTGCGTCCCGCAGTGGACTGATCGTTAAGACACGGTCCCCAGCAGATCACCGAAGTCAAGCATCACTGACTGCAGTCAGTGTGCGGGTGGGTGACCACTTGGATCAGTCTGCGTAGGGACCGAGGGTGTGCGGCATTGGTCCTCGTTAAACTGTTCTACCGTAAAGTGCTTGACTTCGCGTGCAGATCGTCGGGCTACCGAAGCGGGGGTGCCAACCCCTCCGCAGAGGATCAAAATTGTGATGGCATGTCTTCGGATCATCCTCCGGGATGTTTCCCAGACCGTCGCCAATAGCCCATTGTGAAGCTCCAGTGCGACGTAAATTAACAACTACAACAGCATTTTGGTTGCATTTGAATCCTACCTGTACGGCTAATTCAAGCCATTTTCACTGCATCTTATCTCCCTACACATTCTTGCAAAAGTTTAGAAAATATATGGAATCATCCCACGACATGTGACTTCTTTAGACGCGCTGGCGAATTTAAGTGGCGTAAGACAAAGGGAGCATGCTCCCTAACTATGTTTGTCAACCCACTGATCTTCGTCGCGATAAAAAGAGAACTTGATTGGTGAATTTTTTGAGGGAAAGTATATTTTATTAATCGAGTTCTCATTTTTGCTTCGACTGCGACTGGAAGTGTGTGAACCACATCCAGCAAGAATGTCCTTTTAGATCGATCAGACGCGCGATTCTAATGTTTGGCTCTCTGAATAAAACCTGTGATTAACTAGACGTTGTTAAGAATCTGGATCAGTCCAAGGGAATAAATATTGCACCATTCTCAATTCCTGACATCCCATGTGCGATCTGTGCAACTGTAAAGTGCAAGCACTTGCAAAATTCGCAACAACCTCATCAAACTGCAAGTATGAATTAAACATCACTCATCAGTTTGCTCAGGAACAAGCTCAGCCACGAACCTCGTCGCCTTCACAAACTAAACTAAATCACGTGATTTTCGTCTGTAGACGTAAACAAATAGTGGTTTAGAAGTTAAATACACTTTTTTTTCAATAATTAACACAAAAATAAACTTATTTTATTATTTACAGACAACTAACCTTTATTTGAATTTTGCTTGTTTAGAATCTAAAGTCGTTTTAAAGTTTCGTGAATTGAGCTCATGTGAATATTTATAAACGGAATGTGAAGATATTTTGTTGCAATGAGTAAACAGAACAGCCGTCATATTAATGAGATGGGTGAAAATGAAGCTAATTTTAACTCAAAGGGTATAGTCGGCATGCCCGAAGATACTGATAGTGTTAATGACCACTCTATAAGTGAAGCTGATACATTTAGTGATGACGCTCCTGTAATGAAACAAAAAAGGGAACTCGAAAACAACGTAAGTGAATCTTTCTTGGATGACAGTGATCTCTCAGTTAAAGATAGTGAAGAATCCTACTTTCCCAGTAAAAAAGTTGAATCTACAATTATTTCTGAAATCATCGTTTCAGATGAGAATGCTCACTCTGAATTTAGCGAAACCTTATCGTCAATCAGCGACGGAATTCAGGAGTCTAGTGATACTTCAACAAGCGAGGAATACAATGAATCACTATCTACAGCCCTTAAATTTCTTTCCCCTTCTAAAAAGAACAGTAAAACATTGAACGGAGTTATTGAAGAACCGAGTTATGCTAAAAGTGGACTAAATAAATTAGCAAGAGAAAGAAAAATTAACGAAATTATTCATGCTCTTGAAGAAAATGATATTGATGCTCTTAAAATTGCTGCCATTTCACCCGGTGGGCTACTAAATGACAATATTCGAAGAAAAGTGTGGCCTAAGTTGGTCGGAGTCGACTTGGTGGAAGCTTCTCCTCGTCCCTGCCAAAAAGAAATCGAAGAACACCCCTATTATCAACAAGTCGTCTTAGATGTAAATCGATCTCTGAAGCGATTTCCCCCTAGTATAGAAGAAGCTCAGAGATTAACTATGTTGGACCAGCTTGTTATATTAATTATGCGAGTATTATGTAAACATCCAGAATTGCACTATTATCAAGGTTACCACGATATTTGTGTGACATTTCTTTTAGTTTTAGGTGAAGAAACTGCTTATCATGTTGTAGAAAAACTATCACAAACTCATCTTAGCATATTCATGGAGAAGAGTATGGAGCGTACTATACATCTATTAGAGTATATGTTTCTTCTGATTGAGAAGAAACAACCAAACTATAAACATTTTCTTATGAAATCTGAAGTTGGAGTTGCTTATTGTTTGAGCTGGCTCATTACTTGGTTCAGCCATGTTTTAAATGATTATAGCACTGTGGTCAGGTTTTTTGATTTCTTTATTGTGTCACATAGTTGGATGCCGCTATATGTCACGACTTCTTTAGTGCTTCACAGACAGCTAGAGGTAATGAAACAAGATTGTGATATGGCATCAGTGCATTCATTTTTGAGTAAAATTCCTGATGATATGCCATTCGAACAGCTTTTAACTGAATCGCTCAATTTATTTGGAAGTTGTAAGCCTAAAGCTTTGGCGAAGGAAAAGCCTTATGTTAAGAAAGTTCTGCCGAAACCTAAAAAATTGAAAAAATGGGAGTTTATACCTAGATTGAAGTATGTGCCAACAACTATAGTTATCGCTGCTGCTGTTTTGGTGACTGCTGTAATTTATCAAGCTTTTAATTATTAATTAAATTATAAAAATTTTATAGCGAAATAATTATGTCTAGCTATTTATCCAGATGTTGATAATTATTTTTAGGCCAGTGCAAATATATTTTCAACCAAAGATTATTTACAAACATATTTCTTCTTTGGGTCTTGGTACGTAATTAAAAATGTGACTTTTAATTACTTGCAAAAACTTCTTTCTATAAAAGGATTAAAATTTGTAACTATTGATTGATTCCTTATACTACTATATATATGTATACAATTATAAATGTTGAATTGTGTTTTAATTTATTAATTAACCAAAGAATTATTGGTACTCATACATTGAAGGAGTTGTAAAAAAATTACCGTACAATTATTGAGGTCAGTATTATTAAGTTAACTGTTGTAAGAAGTACCTAATATGCTAATATAGATGCTGTCGTAACAGATTTCTTTACGGTCCCTTTTAATGAATTAATACTGATTTTTCTTCTTTAAACTTCTATTGTTATTTACTTTTTAAAGTAAATTTTAAGTTATATAATTTTGTTAAATTACTAAAACATGTTTGTTTTGAAATTTTAGTAAATTCTCAAAATTTGTAATAACCAAAGAGAATAAATTTTTTTTCTTACAAATTTTCAATAGTATTTCTGTATTTTTCTGTTTCTCTCACAAAGAGTTTTGTTGGTATTCTCATAAATTTTTTTGGATCAATTTTATTTACGTTTTGTCTTATTCTCATAAACCATGTGTTGAATTCTCAAAATAATCATAAAAGATTCGATGGTCGGAAAGATATTTATAGTTAGATTTTATAGTTAATTACAACTTTTTTTTTTTAAAATGTTGTGACTACAAACTACGTCAAAATCTAGTTACTATTTCTAGAGGACGAACTTTGTGTTGTTCCATCATCCATGTTCAAAATGGTATTGAGTAATAAATTGGCGTAGTTGGTATTTAAAAATGGGAAATCATTATAAAAACTGTTTACATGAGCCAATCAGTTATTCTAAACCATTTTTTACAAATTTGTTCTTTTAATCTTCAAATTTTTATGTTTATAAAGACAGTAGATATTTATTAAAAAAAATGTTAGAATGTAATCAAATATTTGCGATTTTTGGTAAGTGTTTAATGTTCTTTTATTTCTTCTGAGAAATAAAGTACACTGAAAATTACAGAAAAAATGTATTTCCTTCTAGCAGAGCCGGATTATACCTTTCGTAGGCCCTAGGCATAGTCATTTTTGGGCCCTTCCCCCACTCCTCCCCTCTTTTCAAAATATATGCTAAAATTTTCTTGCATATTTTTTTTTAACATTTTTATTAATATGGATTTTAATTTACAAATTTGTTTATCAAACTTTATCTGCAATACCAACATACTGCCGACATACTTGATATCGATAATACCATTATGATTAGTTCGATCGATAACTATAAAATTTGTCAGAATCTGAGATTAAACTAAAAGCGCAAAATTTGGTGAAAATTTACTCATCCGATTTAGAGGAAAACTTTGTAGATGAATTTTTACTATTTTCAAATTTGTATGAACATAAATCTACACAAGAAATGTTGAAGGCTCGAATTAAAGATAAACTCGTGAATACTTTTCCTATCGTTCACATTGCATTAAGAATATATTTGTCGATTCTTGGATCAAATGCAGAAGGAGAAAGATCTTTCTCCAGATTAAAATTGATAAAAAATCATTTGTGTTCAACAATGAATCAAGATCGTTTGGCATTGCTCGCACTTATGTCTATTGAATACGACATTTTGCGTAGTTTGAAATTCGACAGCATAATACAAGATTTCGTTGAATCCAAAAATCGCAAAAAAGTAATATATTAGATCATAAGATTCTGCAGAACAATTTATTACCGAGAAATATTATCTTTTTATTTGTATCTTCATAATTTTGTGCAAAATACACTTGTTGTTTTCAAAGCTAAATTATTTTTGTCAACAAATTTTTTTCTCCCAAGTTTTCGTAGGCCCTAGGCACGTGCCTATATGTTAATCCGGCCCTGCCTTCTAGTGAAATAATATCAATGTTTCACGAGTGTACATTCACATTTTCAGATGTGACCTAAGCGATAATTTAGCTATTATTCATAATGGTTAGTTTAAATATTAGTAATATTTAATTATAAATATGTAGTTCTTATAACACTCTGCTTTCGTTACATTCATTGGCAGTTCCGCAAAGATTTGTACCAATCATATTATAAAAGTATTTTAATTTAAACTTAGTTTCTTTACGAAACTAATGTTAAGAGAAGTTGCCAAGAAACCACTGTTTATTTTGTTTCCTATTATTCACTACACAATTTTTTTTCAAAAATAGCATAGTGTGCAAAAAATTACAAAATAAGTGGCAGTAGTTTAAAAGTAGTAAAAACAGTAGTTTAAAAGTATTAAAGTTAGTAGTAGTAGAAACAGTAGTTTCGCTCTTTGTAGCATGCTACTTCTGATGCTGAAAATAATGTTTATTTCTTATATAGTAAAGGAAACGGATACATTCTTTGTACAGCTCTCTCACAATTGTAGAATTACAGTTATCTTATAATTCTTTAAACAGAAGTCTTATCTTTTCAAAGGATCTAAATATTTTCATTTTGTTAGCAAATTTTATAGATTTAATTGTTGGAAATATATCACATATGTGCTGAAAGCCTACAAATTTTACTTTGAAACCTGGAGTATCAGCAGAAATGATTTCATTTTGTTTGTTTTCTAATGCAAAATTGCAGAGACAATATTTTATACAAAAGACGCAAGTCAATTGATTCAATTACTATTATTATTGGTAAGAAATAGAAGATAGATTTGGGTATCCGTAAGGCTGTTTTGAATTAAGTTGCGTTTTTTAATTGAAGGGATTAGGAAAATACAACAATATGGCATGTTTTTAAATTCTTCAGATGAGGATTTCTGATAGAGAGAAACTATATGCGTAGAAAGTCTTTGAATATCTTTTTAAAAATGATGTTAAGTGCCAGTTAAATGTAAAAATGTCACCATTTAAAAAATTATGGCCACTAGATTGCCATGAGATCTTCAAATTTTTTTTACAAAATTTTAATTAGATATTATAACATTAAAAAATATCTAATTTTATTTATGTGTAATAATTAAAATTAATATGTTATATGTGAATAAATAATTCAAAACTTAAATTAAAAAAGAAAATTTAACAAATTATTGAGTTTTTAATTTTATTCATAGCATTGAAAACTATTTTTAAATTACAATTTTCATTTAGCGAAACTTTTTGGAAGAAAAAGTAACTTCCAAAGTTCTGCATTCTTTGCAATTAAATTAAGATAATTCTCATATATATAATTTATCATTAATTCAGTTGTTTTTGTATTGCATTTCCTCTGCATTAAAAAACAATTACTACCACTATCATCGCAGTTACAGAACATTTTTCGCCAAATGTGTGTTTACTCTCATAATTGAAAAACAATGAAATTTAACTACATGAAATTTCGCATATTTTTAGAGAAATGTTTAAAGAACATTCTGATATCAAAATGAAATTGATTAAGTTGTGACATTTTTAATTATTTTACTTCAAATTTGGAGATTTATTTTTTCTGTTGTGTAATTCAGTATAGCCAAAACTATTAGCAAGAGGTTTAGGATTTTTTTTATTTGCAGTTCACATTCTCCAGTCAGTAAATGAGTAACTCATCTTGTTTAAATTTCGAAATAGTTTCAGAATAATAAAACAGTTTACATTGACGGTTTTACGATGCAATGAAAAACTAATTGCAGTAAATTTTAATTATTGCATTCATGTACTCTGAAGATAAAAAACTTGTGACCTTTTTTAAAATTGCAAATTAGTTTTAGAGGTTTTATAATTTTGATGTTTTTTTACGCTATAATTCTGAACAGTAAAATGAAAATAATTATTTTTTCTGTCATTTAGACATGAGCAGAACCAAAGCCAAATATTTGTTCATTAAAATAAAAATATTTGGGGTTTATTTTAACTAGGGGACTCAATGTCAATAGATGGTTGACTGTGTAAAGCTGAGCACAGATGATGCTAGGGGTTAAAGTTCGTCCTATGACTTCCGGGTTACTACTTTCGATTGATTTTTGCTCGAAACCGTGGAAAAGCGTGCCATTCAATATTTTTTAATACCTGTAGTGTTCGCAGTTTTTATTGTTCTTCCAGTTCAACTTTCAACGAAAAAGATAATAAATGAATTTGGAAGATCCCACGAGCATGCTATGATGTTACACAAAAAATAACCTGCAATACTTTACTCAATTATAGTCAAATAAGGGATAGCATTCAAACCGTAGCAAATCTTAACCTTTATTTACGCTGTGATAATATTTTTATTAAATTTTCTTTAGGCTTATGACCTGTTAGAATTTATAAAGTACAGAAAACTTTTATAAAAGATAAAATTTTGGATAAATTTAAATAAAACTAGAATATTTAGCTTCTTGTCATATCATGTAAGCATAACACAAGTGGAGGGATACACCAGAAGTTTTCTAAATTTCTCTCCTTGTTTATTGTTTACATTCAGTCAACCATCCACATATAAATTAATATCGAGAGATTTTCGATTCTTTGCCATTACCACACCTTCCTTTCCCTTCTCACTCATAGGACATCAGAATATTTTTTTACTCTCTTTTCTATATGGATGGTGCTGTCAATACAAAAATAAACAAAAACAAGTCTCGAGCTCCGTTATCTTCACCCCTTCCGGAAAGACAGTTTACAGCTGCTTACTACATATTATGCGAGACAATATTTTTAGGTAGGTACATTACTTACGTTGCACTAGAGCTGTACAATGGACTATTAACGACAGTCTGGGAAACATCCCTGAGGTTGATTCAACGATATACCATTACAATTATGCCAGGCAATTATGCTGAAGGGAAAGGAAATTTTCTCCAGATCTGGATCTCTGTACCCATGGCTCAGCACGATATTTTCAAATAGATAATTTAGTTTAAAAAAGAAGAAATTACACATAATCTACTGCATTTTATAGGATATTAATAATAGTAATTTTGGTTTGAAAATTTGTTATCGTTATTTGTATATTTTTGGTTTCTTAACTTTTTTTATCCCATTAAAATTTTATTTCGAATTTTTTAACAATTGTTTTTATTTTAAGGACTGATGAAATGAGCGAGTGAAGTGTTTCGAAGACTGCACAAGCTGTTTCGAGAGTTGGCGCGTGATATGCATTAAAATTTATAATGGTATTAGAAAAAGAAAAAAATTTCTACCCTTTTTTTGGTCG